GTGAATATTTGATTGATGTTTTCAATATGGACAATAACAACACAGTGATTTCTGTGTTACTAGTTAAATTAGATTGTGTTTGTTCATTATTGTAATTTAGATGAAGATATGGCTGTATTTAATTAATGCATAAATCAAGATCATTCTAAAGGGTTCACTAACCTTTTCTTGTCACTGTACATCCAAAGTAGGTTTGACCACTTGTTGTTTGAGGTCAGTCTTTAAAAGTATCTTATAACTTGCTCTCCTACATCCTGACTTTTACATGTTTTGCTTCCGCAGCAGAAGCAGCAGTGTATCAATGCTTATAATCTTGTCTACTATGACTGTTGTGTGTGTGATAACTGAGAAATATGATACTAACTCAAATGAATGAGTCACACCTTCCTGCTGAAAATCTACATGTGACAGAAGACTGTGATAACCCTGAAAGACACTGAAAATGAGCAAAGTATTTTTCTGGATATTTATAAAAAATTGTACAACTGCAACATTTTCCTGTTCGAATCACTTCTGTCTGTAAATGCAGTATTTTAAGGTTAAAGTGGCAGAAACTGAGGTTTTCCAAAATCTCTAAAAAAGTTTCTGTCCTCATTTGAGACTTTTGGTCACCAATTAAAACATGTGTTAATGCATCCAAAGAGAATAGTGAGTTATCTGATGTGGCTCTTCCAGTTGTCTTATCTGGCCTGCCTGAAACTCCGGAAGTCCCCTTGTATCCCTAAGGGCCTTTCACCAGACCACCATGATGGCCTTCACCAGCTCTACAGTACAATATATAGTACCTTTGAACATTTTCTGATGTTTTGCCTTAGATTGCATATACTGACCACCCAAAGGACAAATGGGACAACAAAACATTCATCTCCTCAGTTTTTATGGAAAAATACTGATGTCAAAATCTGTGGGCTGCTCTTTCACTTCACTTTTATTGCAACATATGAAAACACCAAACTTACTACATCTGATTCATAGGGCAAAAACTTCGGAACAGAAGTTTGATGTTTTAAAAAACATGATGAAATGATTTTAAATTGACCCAAACTTGGACAATGGGATTTTTTTCATTATTTCCAGTGATTTCTGGTATGCATTCTGGTGTGAATTTATCCCATACGGAAGGTAAGAAGGTCAAGTTTTCCATTGGGTGTTGATGCAACAAAGGAAGAATGAATGTTATGTAAGAACTTTTGTATGTCAGGACATTAAAATGTTGAGCCGTCTCAGTTCATCTCTGATCTCTGTCTCTACCACAAACATACCAGCAGACCAGGCTGCCAGCGCTCCTGAGACCAGCACACAGCTGAGCTAGCTGATTTAAAAAGTGCATGATTTTGCATTTCTCTGGAAGAGATTCATTTTATCTGTTTATGCATATTGGTGTTGAAAAAGCCACGGTCATTTGTTAAATTTTAAAGGAATAGTTGGTCATTTTGGGAAATACCCTCATTTGCTTTCTTGCCAGTAGTGAGATGATCAGATCAATGCTGTTTTGTTTGGTTTCTCTGAGTGTTTTACCTGAAATCAACTATTTTTACTGGATCACTCAGAAAACAGTCAGCCAATCAGAAGAGAGGCTCAGAGCCTCCTCTCTTCTGAGTGGCTCACCGACCTGTTGTTACTAAAGCTCCAGAGAGAAGCCTGAGAGAGGAGATGTAAAACTACACTGAGATGGTTTTTGGCTCTTAAAACTACAAATATATCTTCTTATGGATATCAAAAATTCAAATAAAACACGGGACAAGTGTAAAATATGGGCCCTTTAAAGTTTACTAATTAATCTAATTAAATTTAGTCTAATTTAATTAATCTCTTGCCTGTAAGCTGGTCCCAGCCAGGAAATACTCCGCCACATATCCCCATGTACAATGGCAAATTGTCATCCTCACGATTTTTTAGACATGTTTATCATGCAGATTATTGGAGCGCTAAGGTTGAAATGAACTTTATAAAACTTTAGAGTAAATAGGCAGAAATACACATCAAGGACCTGGAGTCAAAAAAATAAAAATCCACAAAGCAAAAGGGATCTCAGTGAGGTAGGGTAAGGCATCTTCTTTGTGCTTATAAAGTGTGTTACAAAATGCTTAGTTTCCATCCAAGTCTTTTCTGATGAACCTGTGTGTCAAACTAGATTATGACAGATGAAGTCATTGATCTTTGCTTAGGGAGATGTCCAGGAGTTGAACAGTCAGAACAGTCAGGAGAGCCAGTGCAAGGAGGTTCTAGTCAGCTGTGCTGGTATGTTAAAGTAGGCTACCCCAGACTCCTAAAAAAAAATAACATGTCAACGGTGTTCTTTGACAAAATGATTGTGTTTCCTTTGCTTTGAGATATCCAATAAAACGTGAGATACTCTTTCATGATAATGCTTTTACATCTTTAACTCCACTGGCCTGTTCATAGAACAGGTTAATACTTGCACTAACAAAACTTGCACAGAGCTGTAAGTGTACTCTGTGTCATGCATCATGTAATTCTGTGAATGAGATCCTGGCTTTTGTGCCCTTCCACATACATTTTAAACAATAGCACACAGTGATTTGCCTTTGATGTAATGCCATTGTGTGAAAGAAAAGGCATCATTATGTCAGCAATTTATTGTGACAGCGAGTACATTAAAATAATTTTCTTTTTTTTACTGAGGGAAGCAAAGCACTGCAGAAATATGTGGGAGTGTAACTGTTTCAAAACAAACCACTTGATCACCAAACATAATGTGTGCGCATGCGCATGCGCACGCACACACACACACACACACACACACACACACACACACACACACACACACACACACACACACACACACACACACACACACACTGAAGAGAAAAAGGCCTAGGGCAAATAGTGCTCATGATGCAGTATTTTATTGCCTTACATGCCATGAATTCTCACACAGCCACAAACTCACACTGTTAGACCACAGAGCATTAATTCTGTGACAGCGTTGATTTTGGAAGTGTAAAACAGTATGATTTTTTCCTCTCTTCACACCTTTAATGCAAACTAATGCAAATTACGGGCAGCGTCCACCCCTGTACTTTGATTGACCATAATGCTAAATGTAATGTCTGTCTGAGGATCTGCAGCTCTACTTAAACAATAATCAATATATTTGTTCCTTTGTTTGATCTTTGCTCCTTGCAGGCAGCTTCGACAAAGAAAACACAGCGCATCACTTGAGCAAACATTTGAGCAGTTTGATATCTTCTGGATGTTGACACAGGTTTACTGTAGGTGCATCATGTCCTTCTACAAACTGATCACCACCTTTCAGCTCCGCTTCTTCATTTGCAAGATTGCTGCATATTGATGAGCGCTATCTTTCCAAACACCCCGGAGAGATACTTAGGCCACACCTGGTTCTTGACATGTCAAACAGGTTCATGTGTGGCATGAATTTCTTTAAAAAACTGCTGTGATGTTTGCAGCACATCACAGTCTTTTACTTTCTGTTGTGGCAATTCTTCGAAGTAATGAGCGTAAAAAAATCTCATCATGTCTTTGCAGGCAGGTTGATTCATATGAACATATGAAGACACAGACACAGATGCACTCAAATGTACAAGTCAGCGTTTTTCAAGTCTTTCCTGTTGTAAACAATAAACCACATTAAGAAAAATCTATTAAAAGTCAATCAGGCTGGAGTTTCAAGGCTGGAATCCAATGGATTAATCAATGGAGTTTGTGCCACAAAAACCTGATATCTGCTCTCTACTGAATATGGGACTTTAATGCATGAGTCCAGATCATCAACTGCTGAAGTTACAGCTGGCCTTATAGATGCTTTAGAGAGTAATAGAAGCTATTTCTAAATGTGCAGCCAGTAGGAGAGGATAATTGCAATGGTCTCCTCACTATTTATCAGATAAGACCATTAGATAGCTATGACTTATTCAGATGCTGCTGCTCAGGTTCTTACTAAAAATAAGAAAAGAGAGCATATTACTCCAGTTCTCAGGTCTTTGCTCTGGCTTCCAGTCAGATACAGAGTTCAATTCAAAGTTTTACTTATTGTGTTTTCATCACTAGATGGACTGGGCCCTGAATATATTTCAGAAATGTTTGATGTATATGAGCCCGATATAGGTCTCTAAGATCTGCAGGAGCTGGTCAGTTTGTGGAGCCTGGAGTTAAAACTAAACAGGGTGAAGTGAGTTTCAGCAATTATGCTGCCCACTGCTGGAACCAGCTCCCACTGAAGATCAAATATGCTCGAACTGTAACTGGGTTTAATAAGCTTGAAAACTGATCTATTCTCTGCCGTCTTCATTTAATCTTTTAACCTTGCACTTAATAAGTTATTATCTATTTTAAAATCTGTGTTTTATACTGTTTTTTATTATACTTTATACTTCCATTTTTAAGCTTCTTTTATTTCTCTTAAGCACATTGAATGACCTCTGTGTACGATAATGTGCAATACAAATAACCTGAAGACAAATTTTAAAAAGAAAACTCACCAGTGAAAAAGAATATTATAGTAACAGCCTTAAATTTAATGGTTTACTCTGTATAGCCTAAATATATATATATATATTCATAACATTGTTTTGCATGTCTTCACTTCACTTGTCTCTAATATAAATGTACTCATTATGATTCATGAATTTCCTTGGGGTCATTTCATTAGCTAGGCTATATATTTATTTAGTTTAATTAAACCACTTTCGTCTGTAGCAAATTCCTGAAAGTGAACATTATATCAGCTTTGATGAAATATATTCAGTTTGTCTTAGGCTATATTTTCAGAAAAGAAAAAAAAGTGGAACTTTTGAAGCCATGATAGTTTATTGAGACTCTGTTAAACTTAGTGCTGAATGTCACTGTATGTCGGCAGCTGCTCACCTGTGGAGAAACAAACAAAAAACGGTCAAACTGAAGAGGTGGGACCATCCTTGCTGTATTTTTTTTTCTGGGCGGATCTTCGCTGCTCCTCTCCACTCCCCTGCTCAGAGTTCACTACTTCAGCAGCCACTATTTCTCCGGCTGTGCACGTGGAGAGAGTACTAAGCTGCAGTAGCACGCGCGCTCAGCTCGCGCTTTATGACTTAACTTTTCGTGCTGTTATGTCTCGAGCCCGATGCCATCAGCAACGGCACGTTTCTGTCATTTCTCTGAGCCCATCGTGCGGAAGAAGAAACATTTTTGTTTAAGCCAAAAGACCTGCTGAGAATGAGTCCCGCATAACTTCGGGTATTGTTATCTACCCCCTCCTTCTCTCATTCTCCCCCTATCCCGCGCTCTCTCCAAGTTGAGTCATTGTACATAAGTATGGTAGATAAAGGCCCCTTGTTGACTTCTGCCATTATTTTTTACCTGTCCATTGGGGCAGCAATTTTTCAAGTCCTGGAGGAGCCCAATTGGAAGCTGGCTGCAAAGCAGTATAGTGCCAAGAAGGATAAAATACTTGAGGACCATCCCTGTCTGACGCAAGATGATTTGGACAGAATATTAGAGGTATGGACATGTTCTTAAATTTAACATTTTTCCTTTTTGAATTTCTGAAACAAGCTACTCTAAACCACGTCGAGTGCAGCAGGCATATTTGAGTCCACATGAAGATGATTTCAAAGTGAATCACCTCCTCCGTGTTGAATACTGGCTGTAGCTTTCTCTAACTTGAAAGGGGTGACACATGAGGGCTTAATGAGCCTCAGCTGGTGTGTTAGCTTTCACCAAACACTAACAAAACTCCTGAGGAATGACAAGTTGTCAGTCCATGGTTCAGCCTTCTGGCTCAACACACCCACACTTGAAGGCCTGAACTTTAATTTTCCATAATGGCACCAAACGTCATGAATTGTCATTAAATTCGCTGACTTATCACAATTTTTTTTAAGTATCTATCACAGATATTATCGTTATATTATCATTATCTTTGGTGGGTGCATTGTATCCATATTTAATGAGGATAATTATTTTATTACCCTGTGCATATATGTTTCTCCTGTAAACTGGGCAGGCTATCAGTCTGGGACAATGATAATGGTAATAGATGTGGAGGGCCAATCTATAAGCTCAGCTGCAGTACATAGTGTTCTATTGCCGGCTTCTTGCCAGAATTGCAGTTTTTTAACCAGTAGTAAAGCTGGTGCCATTGACCCCTGTGCTTTTACTGTGAGCACTGACTGAGCACAGTAAGTCAACACTCGTGATTTCACAGGTGTTTGTCCACAAGTGTGGAGCCTTTATGACCTTGGATTTTTTTTTTTTTTTTTTTTATATTTGTCTGAGTGTGACAAGAAGATGTGAGTATAGGTCTAATGTGTAAGACTTGATTTGCAGTGGTAAATGCAACATACCAGTAAGGTAAATTTATGAAAAGACACAGATACAAATATGTTTTTCTGCTTGGTTAGTTGGTTGTTTTTTGCACTTGCAAGTGTTACCAGAAACATGTCTCAACCTGTTTCCCTTTTTGGGCCCACATTAGTATTGGGGGAGATTTACTACTCCCCCCTTGTTCCCCCCTTCTGCTTCCCTCTGCGTCTCCTTTTTGTGTTGAGAGGGCTGAAAGGGATATGCCCCTGAACCTCCCCCCACTCATGGCACCTCCTTAACAGCCAAAATCCCTGCAATGGCCAACTCTGCTTCAGGAATATTATGGTTGAGAGATTTTGGAACAACAGCTGAAAGACTTCAGCTTTCAAGACTTTGCTTGAAATCTTAGAGGCCACTGAACTGAAACTGAAAGACAACTTAATACCACGTGTGGGATTTTAAGGCATGGTCGAAATATAATATTAAATCATGTTTGACGTCTTAACCCCAACCCCACTTACAGTTCATTTCTAGACACGCAGTCTACCAGTATCTTTCCTCTGTTGGTGTTTGCCAAGACACCTGCTGCAGCAGCTCTGGAGTCAGTAAATTAAACAGAGAAACGTGCAGTGTGTCACCTCAGCCTCATTTGTTTCAGAAGCCGAGATTCTATTAGGTTTCCATTGTGGAAACTATGCTCAGCTTGTTAACAATTAAAATATATTAGCAGGCTTAACGTGAGACGGCGACACTCCTGTAAAAGTTAGTCTCCTCTGTTTTTATTAACAAGGAGTTTACTATTAACTTTAGGTCTCTTGAAGTGGTCACAGTTTATAGATTGGATTTTATGGCCCATCAATGTTGGCTCTTGAGAAGCGGTAAAAGCGGTGATAAAAGCTTGCAGGGGAGGAGGGGAGGGTGGGTGTGTGTAGATTTGGGGGGGGGGGCATCAGTTCTTGTTGCAACTGTGTTAGATGTGTTGACTCAGCTGGATGATCATTTTGGAGGCTGCAGTGCGTCTGTTATTCAGCCTATCCTCATTGATTTGAATGGGGTGGGCAAAATAATAGGAACACCTGTTGATATAACACAGTTTCTGTTCAACAGCACCACAACTGATCATAACTATGAGAGGATGTAGAGGATTTATTGCAGGATTGTTGGACACTATTAGTGTATAAGCAAAAGTAATTTAATACTAACATTGAAGGTGAGCAATTTCCTTTATCAGTGTTATAATGTATTATAGAACCTTGAACTTTTACTGAAGGCATTAGTTGTACACACCTTACACCTTGAGTAGATATTCAGGTCAAATTCTGTAAAGAACACAACGGCCATGTGTCCTAGTTTTCTGCTGAAGGAGTAGCCCAGAATATTGGTGTAAAAAGTTACGTGTAAAGAGTTGAACTGTAACCAGTGATGTAACATTTGAGTTTCCTTAGTGCAGCTTCTCTTTGCACTTGTTGGCTTGTGGCTTTTCTGAGGAGTGTTATTTTGATTTCACTTGCGTGACTGCAAAAAAGTTTCTCCTGTTAGTCCCGCTGCATATGACCTAAAGATCACGTTTGTGTGGTCAAATAAGACGTTTGCAAACATGTATCAACACCCTGCTGTCACATGCTTAAAGTGAAACAAGGCCTCTGGTTAGAATGAAAGCACAAATGAATGAAGCAGCACACTGTTTGGGGATAGCTAACTTTGTCATGTGCTTATATTTCTGTGTAGAGGCTTTTACTCTGACATAGCTGGGTCTGTCTTCCTCTTTCAGAAAGTGTTAAAAAAAAAAACAATGAAATAATTGAAGGTAGCAGTTAAATTTAATGTCATGAGTTTAGGTTTAGGCAATTACCTGGCAAGACAGCAATGCCTTTATTACCTTGTGTGCCTAATGTGACTTTACTGCAGACCCTGATTGACTGTACAATGTTAGTACAGTTTTAGAATGTCAGCATCCCAATAGCAACCACTGTACACTGTTCACCAATCAATCAATGAACAACAATAATCCCAAAGAAGTTTTAAATTGGATTAAATGTTAATCAACTTGGCAAAGAAATTTGAGAATTAAGAGAAAAAAAACATGGGTGATATTAATGAAGCAAGTTTCACAATTTCATGCAATATCATCAGCAAACATGAAAGCAGCACACAAATCAGTTAATGGTATAATATGCTCTGTTAACCAGATGTAAGATAACAATTCTTTTGCTGTCTAGGGACTTCACAGCTTGGCCCCTTATGTCTTTACCAAATTCCAGAAAAAGCTGCAGCTTTGGAATAAGTCACGCGAACAGTATCCCACACCTTTCCAGATTTTCCATCTCTTGCGAAGTTCCTTTCCCCCCACGCTCTGTGTTGGATTTTTGACTTGGTGCACACAGTGAAATCTCAGCATTGTTTCCTGGAGGCATTGTTTGCAAGTCATCCACCTCTGTATCAGAAATCAATACATAATGACATGGAAGAAAGAGCTTGAGTGACTTCATTGTTTGTGTGTCGGTCAATCCTGCCCACCAGCAGCTGTTGCTTGTATGCTGGAAGTGGAAAACTACCTAGGAGCTTGAGCGGTAAGCTGGATCGCCAGCTGTCCTGATAACAGTTGGAGTTTGTCATTGTGGTTTTTACTGTTGTTCGGTTATCAGAGTGTGGCAGTGGCAAAGTGCTAAGCCTGCAGTTTGGAAATAGTTTCAGTTCTATAAAAGTAAAGGAATCCTTTACTTGACTGTGGCACAGACTATGTTTTGGTCATGGGCTTAGTTTCGGTTTGGCATCTTTTTTTTTTTTCTTGTTGTTGTTGTTGTTGTTGTTGTTGTTTTCAGCCTGAATGGAAGTCAATATAATGGATTTCATATCATGCCTTTTCACATCTTTGTGCGATCCTTTTTATTATAGATGTCTAGCTTAAAACTGTTCAGTTGATTTCTGTTTCAACAAAACCATATCCCAGAATATGTATATCCAGTCAGTTAATTATTATTGTTGTAATTATCTGTTTCAGAAAATATTGCAAACATCCAATTGAAAAATTCCAAATGTCTTTAGAGGTCTTACAGAAATTCAACAGTTTTTGTTTCCATCTTGTTGTGTCTCTGCGAAGTCTTCCTCCGTTCACAGCAACTTGCAACTCACATTATCAAATGTTTAGCATAAAATGTGTTTTTAAAGCACTGGTAGCATTCTGTTGTGCCTTAACTGATACTTTTGGACATGTTTTGTGTCAATTTTTGTCAACTTATTTTTATAGTTTGCTCTAGTGGTGAACGTCTGGAGACTATGATTTGTAGGTCGGGGGATCTCTGTAGCACCACAATGCTTCATTTATGTTGGTTTGTTGTGACATATTTTACCTTTTTATCAAATAAATTGCAGCCCCTGTAACTCGTAATGTACAGTGTAATAATCCTGACACAAAATGAGTCATATTTGAGGCTGCAGCTGTAAGACAGAGACAGTTTTTATGCACGAAAGCATTGCTAAGCATAGCTAAAACACCTTAACCTTAACCATTTGTGTGACATTTTCCCTAAAAGGCAGCAGGCCTTCTACAAAATTATTTCATTATCAATTAATGTGCAGACTTTTGTTTTTTGATTAATGAATAATAGTGAAAAAATGTCCATTGGAACTCCTAAACTCTTAAGTGACGTCTTCAGATGTAGAATGAGTCAACCACAAATGGCTGCTGTTGTTTAATACTAATAAGAGGTTAACTTTTGTAAAAGCAAGGATATCTTGTTACCATTACTGTTCTACTACTTCAGTAATGAGTCTCAGTATGAGGTTCATCATAAATAAAGCTTTCTTTTTTCATGTCTGTGGTTTCCTCTTATTTAGCACACTTTCAGATATTTTGCCTCTTTGTTCCATTTGTCAGACACTGGTTACGCCATTTTGCACAATTCAGTTTTATAACTGCAAAATTTATTTACCAAGACTGCTCTTTATTTTATGTTTTTCCTTTTTATTTATATTCTGTAACTAACTTGGACGTTAACAGAAGAAAAACGCGTCTGATGAAAATGTTTTTTTTTCCTAAGGTCATGTTAGTTTTTTCCAGTGCTGTGTTTGAGGCTAGTGGCTCTTCTTTAACACTTTACTTCATCTAGCCTTTCTAATGAATTGTCAGCAGAAGTATGTCTGTGTTGGCAGCTGTGGTTTGACATCCAGTTGTCCAGAGGTCAGACTTGTGAAGAAGCCAGTGTAACAACTTCCTCCTAAGCTGCTTCGGGCTCACTCTGACACAAAAGTGTCTTATCTTCCTCCCCCAGTGCTTGTGCTTTTTGCCTTGTTCTCAGGATCATTTGTGCCCTGAGGCGACCATTAGTTGACCAGTCAGTGACCCTTTTATATTTAAAGACCTTGTGCATTGCCAAGCCTGTTAGGTCAGTTACTGCTTTGTGGCTGGTTAATACCTCTTCTTCCTGGTAGGTGAAAGTCAAGATAGTTCAACTGTAGCAACACAGGATATTTAAAGATTTGCATTAACACGTGAACATGTGAACCTCTATCGTCAGCCTTCGTTTTAAAGGTCATATTCCTTTGTCCTCCACTGACATACATTGAGGGGATGGTGTTCGCTCCCATGATTTTAGCTTGCACTCTGCTCTTATTCCTGTGAATCAGCAGTTTGCATGTCTCAGACTTCAGCACTTTTTATCAGGCAGACAGACTGAACATGTGCAAATCACCCTCATTAGGCGGGGGTAAGGTGCAGAGCTGAACACACACACACACAAACACACACACACCGCAGACATGACACACATAGCACTGTCACTTTTTCTGTTTCACACATAGCAAACAAACCTCAAACACCTTTTTAAATTGTGTGTGGGTTAGAATTTTCAAATATGTGGTTTCATTTCATAAAACTGGTGCAGCTGTGTCATTGTAAATGCCTTCATGCTTAACCACACCTAATTCTACAGGGCAAAAGAAAAAATGTACCATTTTGGTGGCTAGATGTAAGAGGTGAACACATGTTCTGTTCTTTAGAAGTGTCTCGCTTTTGATTTGATACAGTCTGCTGTGGTGTATCTCTGTGTTTCCACTATTTGTGCATCAAAGGAACATTTTTATGCCAAAAAATACATTGCACAGTTTACTCGGCACAGAGATGTATTTCCTGTGTATATGAGATGTAGTGAACTCTACACAGTTGGAGGGTAAATGGAGGCTGTTTATATCTTTGTGACTGCAGTGTTAATTGGCTCATCAGGTCAGCAAGTGATATGCAGCTGCTGCGTACAAAGGTTCCTGTAATCAGTTTAAGCCAAACAAGATTTTATCCTGAGCATGGCCAATAACTAGTTTACCCCATGCATATAAATGTATGCAGTCATTACAGATGCTGTGAGCTGTCAGGAGGACTCACTCCAGTGAGGTTTTTCCTCTTTAATTTCTAGTCATAGATTGAACACAAACTCGGTGGTTACTGCTGTCATCCTAAAGCCCAACGGAAGAGCTGTGTTGTTTCAGCAGACAAAAGAACGGCCTCCACTTGTGCCGGTAATTACACTGCAGAGCTGTCACAGACCTGTTATTATTAAACAACGAAGCATCTTCTAGTACTTTAGGGCTTATGCGAATTTTGCCAACCCCTGCACATTTCCCCTCCTGCCAGCACATTTGGAGAAAGAAGAACTTTAGTGTGTGTGTGTGTGTGTGTGTGTGTGTGTGTGTGTGTGTGTGTGTGTGTGTGTGTGTGTGTGTGTGTGTGTGTGTGTGTGTGTGTGTGTGTGTGTGTGGGCAGTGGGAATGCATTGTCCCGGCACACATGGCCGAGTGTTTGTGGATACCCAAGAGGGGCAGTTCAAGTTACTGTTGTGGCTGTTGGAGCACACATTTGGTTGGGAATGATTTTCTGTCTCCTTTTTGGATTTCAACACTAAAACCTCCTCACAAGAGTGAGCTGACGTATGCCATGCTAAAAGTAGTTAGACCTTTTTCTTTGTATTGTACATATTCAGTACAACTGTGTATCTTGGAAAAAGAAAAACAAACATAAGAGAGCAGCCACTGAATAAGCACCTGGTGCATTTTAATCCACATATCATGTGATTACGAAATGACTGTTTAGGGATGTAGCACTTGCCTTCCTGTTTCCTTACCAAAGTAAGCAGTGGTTGGAACTACTGAGCCCTCGGGTTAGAGGCGACTCTCCTGGGTGCCTGAGTGTCGTTTCAGCTCATCAGTACTACTCAAGATACCATCAACGTATCGCAGGAAGGATGTGGTGGAAGAAATGGAGCTTGCACACAACAAACTTCCTTCAGCTTAGCCAGGCTGGACTCTTCTATAACAGCCAATTGATAAAAGTCAAAAGTTCTTTATTAATTCCTCTTTTAAATTGAATTCCCTCTTTGTCTCAGTTGTGGTCTTTTTATTTTTTGGTGGTTTCAGGTGGTGTCTGATGCTGCAGGCCAAGGGGTCACCATAACTGGCAGTAAGACCTTCAACAACTGGAACTGGCCAAATGCTGTTATCTTTGCAGCCACGGTTATCACTACTATCGGTAAGTGCTTTTGGAGTTCTGTTGGGAAAAGAAACTTTTTTTTCCACTTGTTTTTGTCAAACTTTTTTCCAAAATGTTCAAGGGAAAATGAGATTTAGTAATGCTGCTGTAGTCAGCAAAAACATGCTCTGGGCTGACACGCAGCCTTAACACTGTCTTACAGTGACAGTCAAATGTTTTGCTTTTTACTTTGTGTAAATCAAATGTACAGGACATTACAGATGATTTGGATTAAGAAAATCCATATTACTGGCGTGGTTTTGTAATTTCCTGCCATTTTGTTTGCATGAAAGTGTTGTTTCATCTGTACATAGATGCAACAAAATAACCTTAACCATTTTTTTTTTTTTTTTTTTTTTTAAGGATATGGTAACATTGCCCCCAAAACATCAGCAGGCCGTGTATTTTGCATCTTCTATGGGCTGTTTGGTGTGCCGTTGTGTCTCACCTGGATCAGTGAGCTTGGAAAGTTCTTCGGTGGCAGAGCCAAGCACCTGGGCCAGTATCTAACCAAGAAAGGCTTTTCACTGGTAATCTGATATGGGCTTTTTTTTTCCCATCCATTTTTGGCAAACATTCATTTTCATCTCTCTGTGGTATTGCAAATTCTTCACCTGAACTAATAGTTCCTTTTTTCTCTTTTTTCTTTTCCAGAGAAAGGCTCAGTTCACCTGCACAGCTATTTTTCTCCTCTGGGGTGTGCTGATCCATTTAGTACTCCCACCTTTTGTGTTTATGTCCCAGGAGGGTTGGACATACATCGAAGGCTTGTACTTCTCATTTGTCACCTTGACCACAATTGGCTTTGGGGACTTGGTAGCAGGTGAGATGAGACTGGCAATTCTTGAATCATTGAAGCTGTACACAGATAACCATTCTTTTGATTGAGCAAATGAGATGACACCATGCCCTTTCTTTGCCCTGCAGGTGTTGAACCAAACAAAGAATACCCGACTCTGTACCGTTACTTTGTGGAGGTGTGGATTTATCTGGGGTTGGCCTGGCTTTCTTTGTTCTTCAACTGGAAAGTGCGGATGGTGATAGAAGCTCACAAGGCCTTGAAGAAACGCCGTAAGCTGCGCAAGCTATCTCTGGATGAGCTCCGGCACTACAAAGAGTCTCACAAGGCTGCCCTCCGTCTGCCACCCACTCCCAATGATGTCAACATCTTCAGCTTCCTGTCCAAGAAGCAGGAAGGCTACAATGACTTGATAAAGCAGATTGGCACCAAAAAAGATGACAGGACCAGTGGAAGCGCTGGCGGCAACATCAATAAATCCAAAGACATTGGTCGTTCAAAGAGCTGCAATGATGCTCCCATGTTTAATGCGCACACAATCCTCAGTCTGGACCGCTCGCCACGCCAGAAGAGACGCTACAGTTTCAGTGACCGCGTCACTGTTGCTTTTTCAAAGTCCAAGAACTACCTCCTGGGCTCAGACAATGGTTTGCTGCTGACAGAAGATCACATAGAGGGCGACCTAGACCTAAACCAGGACCAAATGTATGAGAACCAACTTGACAAGGACGTGGACCTCGAGAGCCGAGGAGTGGGAGACTGTGGACCAGGTGGTCGCAGGACATGGGACTCTAAAGAGTACCATCCCCTAACCTTCCAAAATGCAAACATTACTTTTATTGACGAGGAAAACTTTCTCAGCAACAACTTGGAGGAAGATGACGATGATGACGATGATGATGATTCTAAAGCAAAAATATCTATTACCACATGTGATGAAAACATTGAAACAAACTCCAAGGAGGAGCCGAGCTCTGAATCTGAAGGCTCCGTGTTCACGAGTGACGGTTCAGAACACAGCCACTCGTATGAGAAACTGGTAGAGGAATATGCAAAGGAAGAAAACACCGAATCTTGAGATACTAGAGTCTGTAACTGTGTTAAGTCAATACATCTTCCTGGTCACCTGTTGTTGACTTGGTTGGCATTGAAGTATATGTATTCTAATGTGAACCATTTGAAAGGATATCAGATGTCCCGCTGCACATTCGGAGTCTGATAATGAGACTGCAAAGATCAAATGTAAAATCGGCGTCTTCTTGATAATACACATCATGTTGACTGATTTCAAAAGTTCTTGAACGCTGTCCAGAATCTTAATGACTATGGACCACAGAGCATAACTTGTAACCCCATGAGTATCAAACATCTGCTCTACTTCTGTCTTTTACACGGTTTCAGAAACTATTGTAATGTCCAAACCAAGAACTATTTTCCATGGTTGCATGGAAATGTAATTGATTTTTCCCATAGTTTCTTCTATGCATATTCACCATATTGGTGTTTTATTAGTATTTATTAAAATGAAGGACGTAGTAGCTTTTTATTTAAAAAAAACAAAAACTACATGGGTTTATATGTCTCTCATTGCACAATTCCACCAAATGAGGACAGATCAAAGTCCACTCCATTGCAGATTGTCTTTTTAAAACCTGAGCCAAACATTTGTCCTTGAAGAAAAATGTTGTTAAAGAAAGGGTTACGGGCCAATTCTAACTCTTTCTTTCTTTTTTTTTCTTTGATATTTCATTTCTTTGTTTTGTGAAGTCGTTGATAACTTGTGTCTGAGATTGCTGTTTATTATGACTGTATGTGACAGAGTTGTGACTGCACAACAAGGTCATCAGTGATGCATAGGCAACATCTGAGTCCTGGAACCAACTGAGAGTGAACTTACAAAGGAAAATCTTTTTTTTTTTTTTTTTTTTTTTAAAAAAAAAAATTTTTTTTTTTTTTTTTTTTTTTTTTTTTTTATAAACAGAGAAACATTTATGACAAAATCTGAAAATCCAGCCAGAAACAGTTTAAACAGATTTTTTTTTTTTGGCAGCTGTAAAAAGTCAGCTTTGCCAATGATCTTCCCACTGTGACACAGCAGACGCCTCTCAGAGTGCACTGAAACTGGTTTTGTCAACACATACTTTTGCAGTTGTGTTTTGCTGATGACAGCATGACAAATGTCAAATCTGTGGCTTCTGGGCCCTCTACCATGGCAGCGCATAATGGGACTGAAACCTTCACAGCAGCAATATTCTCACTCTGTGTTTCTTTAGCACCCTTTCATTTCATTGTATTTGCCATGTAAATGTTGGCTGAAGGCCCATCAGTAGCCACAAACACAGCTCTGCTCAGGACACGGCCTTGCTACTTGTGTTTGCCTATTGGTGGGGGGGGGGGGCTTACGCTGGAATGAATGACTGAAGTGCCGCTTATGACAGGCAACCGAGGTTAATCTGTAACAGATCAATAATCTCTTGATGTGAGTTTTCGTCATGAGACAAAGTCAGCAGTATTGGTGCGCTCCATTATTGTACAGTATTTCCATTTCATTTCATGTGAATCCAACTGGACTCGAGGGACCAAAATATAATGTCCATTGTTTTGCAGTCTTTTGTAATAACCATTAGCTATCCTGCTAACCCACTGCCTTTTGCACATGTTAACTTGCACACAAAAACTTTAACCAGTGTTACTTTGAATGGTAAAATGGCAGCGATGCAGAGTCACACAGGGATACCTTGTATTTCAAACCAGTCATTCATGCCAGATTCAGTTAAACTGAACAAAGTACTTGTAGTTTTTTGTGAATAAGTGGGCCTGACCATCCTAACTCTGCCTTACTGCTTGAATGCCGTTAAGTGAAAGTGTCTTAAATCCACTGTTGTACAATGTGACATCTATTGAATGTACTTTTCAGTGACTCAAAAGGTGTACTCTTACACACTGGGTGTTTCCTCCTTTGTATTTCCCGACAGGGCCGTACTTTTGCGTATTCTGTTCCTCTTTCTCTCACTTTTCACTGGTTGTCCTGGACTGTCTCAGTGCAGCATTGTTATGCAGCCATGGTACTTGTCAGGACTGAATTTCAAGCATGTCTCTAGATCATTAACTAAAAACACGTTAGGCTGGTTTAACCCATTGTCCTTAGTTTTCTTCTTTTTGTTGCTCCACTGTGTAAAAACTCCAGTATAGTTGTGTTGTGTTGTGCAGTTGTCTGTTTTTTTTTATCATTAAATTATTCATGTTTGTATATAAATTCCAAACAAAACTGTATATTTCATGTAAAATAAACATTTATTAAAACCAGATTTTTTTTTTTTTTTGTGATCATTTACTGGTATTCCATACTAGCAGTAATATCAGCTGGTCGGTCCACCACAATAATCCCGTTACAAACATCTCAAATTGAAGGATTCTCTGACATTTCCTCTTGTGTCATCATGTCAGAAATTCAATTTGTCTAAATCTATTCCATGAACAAATGCTTGTGACATTACCATCAGCCTCAGCCATTTTCCAAGGTTTGTCTCAGGGGAGGCCCACAGTCTGAGACTTTGAAAACCCCTGAATTAACGTGATCATGGTGAAGAATCAAACCAGCTAACATCTGCATCTTAGCATTGTCTGTCATTGTCTGCATAGGGATGTTAGCATTTAGCTCAAAACACCAATGGGTCTGTGTCTGAGGTCATCAATTAGATTTTTCGAATGCTTTCATATGCGTTGTCCCACTGCGTCCTACAGCTGATGAAATTCTACAACAACGGCTACCGGATCATATTCTGTGGTAATTACTTGCTTTCCTTTGTCAGATGCAGTTCTCCTGTGTCCTATCATGTCCACAAAGTGAATGTTTCATAGGCTGAGATACCAGAATAACCATTTACCTGGGGGAAAAAAAGACAGTTCAGTCCTTTTAAATAAGTGTTTTTTTTCCCCAAATACTCTAATTAGATGAGTTTTTTTGTTGTTGTTGTAAAATTTGGGTTTATTGTTTAGTATTAAATATGTATTCTTGGATATTGTTGCACACTCAGTCAAGCTCTTCTGTGTTGAATTAAACTTAATGAATAGAATAACATCTAAACTCTAAATTTAACTGAGATTGCAAATGTACCATAATAAATACACCTGCTGTTTTCCTGTAGATAAACTGTAGTCCTCTTTCAATGTCAACAAGTTCATGTGTAAAATTTGCACGGTGTATTAACTTGTTATCATAGTGACACCTGGCATTGCTCATTATGCGCACACACTTCAAGGTCATGCCGTCAGCCGAGTGAACCGACACTGCAAAAGGAGCAGAAAGCCGACATGCAAGCGGAGCCATAATAACAACACTGAAGACTGAACCAGGAGAAGTGTCCTGTACATGCACAGGGTGAATTCCTGCACATTATCTGAGCTTGAAATTTCGCTCAGCAGTTTACGTAAGATTGTCAGTTGACTGGAATGTGGGTGAATTTTAATAAGCATGGAGCCAATAGAGCCAGGCTGTTGACATTTCCTGATCTGCCAAAAAAGACATGAGATTAGCATGTGCACAACAGTCAGTTGTTGTTGGCACAGGCTGGTTCAGCAGAAGCATTCCCTCCGGAGACCTGTGCATGTGAAGATTTAACATGCGTTTGGGGGGAAAAGGGCAACACATTGATATCTTTATTACTTTCTGTAATACCTATATGGTGTTATTGCGTCTCAAGTCTGATGGCGTGTGATTCACAGTTTATCTGTCACAGAGACATTTTACGTAGCATTTCTACCATCTATGCTTCACTGGGATGGGTGGCATTATAGAACTTTGCCCTTATAAATGTTCAACGCTGACATCTTAACTGATGATGGTTACTGAACCAAACCAAAGACAGGGCTCACTTCGAAAATCTGCTGAGCCTGGTGGAAACCACACTGTGTCCTGTTTCTGTGGGATTCCAGGCGCAACATAAATCCATCCTCTTTATGTCTCCAAGTTCCTCATTCTGAACTTTGAGATGGTTTACTATTGACGCTGAAGCCACTGTTGTTTAATTCTATCATTCTTGTATGGATATTATGAATCGTGGTGGGCTTCTTAACCCCTGCGCTACAGGGGCACCTCCCAAAATAAACATCCAAACTGGAAATTTCAGTTTAACTGTATCAGGAGGGGACTTAAACTTTTATTGTCATGAGCAAAACAAAAGAAGAAAAGTGAGATGTGGCGATTAGACCCCATTGTGATGTCATCACATGTGAAAAGGGGGTGAGGCTGTGCAAAGTATAGGAAACCCCGGTGATTAGATCAGGGCAAATTCAAGTCCACACTTAAAGCTCCTGAAAACTTGATTTCACGTTTCTTAATAAAATTTGAAATCCACAACAACATAAAAAGCAGAAATCAAAGTTAAAGTAAAAAAAAAAAAAAACATAGTGTTAAACAAAGTAAGTGTGGTTCGATCAGACTTCATTGACAAGAGACTACAGAAGCAAATTACCTACCAACTGTTATCAGCTCTGATTGGTCCTTGGGAATACATGACATCACCTTTTCCAAGAGAAGCCCACCCTCTTCAAACCAGTGAGAAGGGCACAGACAAAAACACATAATTCTTTCAGTTGAACCAATCATGACCACTTGAACTCTGGCAGATAATTTTGTGTTCATGTACGAGCCCATAACTCATAATAAGAATCTGATTGAGAAAATTGCTTTTCATGACCATTGAATTATGAGGACAGTAAAATATTCTGCTCCTTTTTGGACTGTTACTGTAGCTTTACTTACACAGCGAGTTTGATTTGAAACATATTATGATATTCCTTTGAAAGTTTTAATTAACCGTAAAATGTGTCTGAAATAACAGCTTCACTGAGAGCTGGTCAAAAAAATAAGAAATCAGAGTACAACTCAACTGCACTGTGAACTTTGAAGCGATCATAAAGTGGCATCTATGTAAGGAACAGTTTATATCCTGCTTGTCCTGTAAGTCTCATCATCAAAGACAAATTACTATATGAATGTCTCTTTTTATCATCAAAATAATTGCAATTTGAGAGACGCCTCAGGACAGTGAATTTGGCGTTTGGTCTTTGACTAGTCTCCCTCTGTGATGAGCATCAAAGGGATGATTCAGAGTGTTGTCTGGTGGTCAGCTCAAACAGGGAGCTACAGTATATATAATGTTACATGGTCCTGAATGCCCTCATACACATTTTGTGATAACTGTAGGTAAAAGAGGATCAGAGAGTCTCATGTGTTTAGTGGTGATGATTTTGTGTGGTCGGGTGATTTTAAGAGCAAGATTAGATGAGGATAGGGGATCAGGAGATGTTTGCCCTACTGAGATAACATGCCTCCTCTGAGTTTGTTGACATCTACCCTACTGATAAGATCCGGTAACTTGCACCAAAACTGCACTAAATGCTGGAAACTATAGAGCTGAATTTAATGGTTACGTCTTATTGTTGACCCAGAAACTTGTTTTGCAGAGTTCAGAGAACAGATTTTATTTGTCATAAAAGAGTTAAGACTGTTTGACCTTTGGAGCTGTTTTAAAGCTATTTATAAAGTTTATAGAAGTTCAAAAATGCACTTATGCAGGTTGCAAAAGATAAAAAATAGAGAAGAAAACTAACTTCATGTTTATACATGTTCATGCAAGCCTTTCACGTTCAAAGAATCACAACATGAATTCCAGGGAAGTTCTCTTCAGAACTTGATTCTATTTTATGGTATGCAACAATGAACAGCAGAACTGATGATTACCTAACCCCATTTATAGAGAATTTCAGAATAAATTAACAATGTAAAAATGCAGTAGGTCAATGATTTCCACTACATCTAAAAGGCAGATTGGAAAATGAACCCTTGGTGTGATGAGCTGCTGAAATTTTTACACAGATATGTTGAATGACATAACACAACAAGCCATCATGGGCTTCCATCTTGCCTTTTGAAGTGAGAAAAGTCAAAAACATCTTTTTTGTCCATATGAAATATAATTTCTCACACTTGAGCATCTAATCTCCTCCTTCCTTCCTCTAATCTTTACATAAGTTTAAGACAAGAATCTTAATATGTACTCCAGGTGACCTGCAGGGTTTTCAGTCTGCGTGGGCGTGTGTCTGAACACTTTTCATCTGGAGATTATGCAAGGAGTCCTGAAAGCAACCTACCTACCTCTTTCACACTGCACTACTTCCTTCAAAGTTTGTGTTTCCCAGACGTAGAGTGTACTTGTGAAGAGATTACAGCAGGGCAGTGTTTGAGACTGGTTGGCAAATACACTTAAACTCAAAACAAAGAGCAACCGAATCACTTAAATATTGGTCTTCACTGTGCCTTACATGCCAATAAAAAATATTTTAAAGGTCCCATCTAGTATAAAGGTAGATGGCTCAGAGCCTCCTCTCTTCTGATTGGCTCACCGACCTGTTGTTACTAGAGCTCCAGAGGGAAGCCTGAGAGAGGAGAGGTAAAACTACATTGAGATGGTTTTTGGTTCTAATAACCACAAATATATCTTCTCATGGATCAACACTTCAAATAAAACACAGGAGAAGAGGAAAATATGGAACCTTTAAAAATTCTCTTCTTGATGTAATTTATTCTAGTTCTACCACATGTATCCCAGTGGTATCCTGTGGCACCACACATCACTGAATTGTTTTCTTGAATGGCTATCAAGATGAACATCTTTGTCCAAAAACCTGCAACACAAAACAATCCTCAAAATGCCCAAGGTCTTAAAACGGTGACTAACACTCGGTGTGTATGAATAAATCACTGCCATCTCCCTTTGTGTATCAACAACACTTCTATCCTGGGACAGAATGATGCCAGTTCACTTCCTTGTCAACAAAGGAAGAGGGGGAACCAGATGGAGAGTTGTTTCTGTGGCCTGTAAAACAGCCGACGCAACAACAGCTCAATAAGCAATGGCCCAGGATGGGGAAATGTGACTGAGACTGGCCCAAGGACCTCTCTGACACCCAATTGTTTCCTGAGTTTCTGTGTCCGGCCTTCCGGACCGGAAACTTTTGGGCACCCCCTAAAGGTGAATTTGTATTTGTGTGTCTATGTGTGCACGCACTGTACTGTAAGTCTCAGTGTGTGTGTGTGTTTTGGATGTGAGAGCGAGGTGGGATTGTTAGTGAAGACGCAGGAAGTACACTGGCAGAATGCCCATTGCTTTTTAAAGAGCATGTAGGAAGGGATGGGAACGAAAGACACTGAGCTCTGCTGAACAATGCTGCTAACAGCTGGTCAAGTTTGTTCACAGAGGAAAGAAAGTGGTAACCCTGACCTTTGACCTCACAAGACTCCACCCATACGATACTTTCTTTGGGGTCGAGAGAGTTGAGGAATCACTAAATACTTAGAAAGAGCTGTTATTTTGGCCCTGGGAACATTCAGACTGAAGTTTCTATTTATTATTTGTTTAATGTAGCCAGTTATCCAGAGGGTAAGATCACATCATTTAAAGGAAAAATCACCCTAAATACCTTCTGTTGGTAATATAGCTGTGGTTTTACTATATAATGGCATATGTTTTGTTTTTGATGTGGATAACTGACCAAACATGACAATACATTCAGATAGGTCTGACACTAACAATATCATTCATGCACCCATTTACTTGAATATGAAAGTGGTCTCAGGCCCTTTGGACCCCACTGAAGTATCATAGTATCAGTGTCATATATCAACGTTAATCCTTAGAAAACAGAAGGTGAAAATGCAAAAAAAGCCACAAGACTCAAAACACAACAAGGACCAAACTCCAGGGCAAATACCACAAACTAGTTTACAGTAAACTGTTGAACTTCCACGAAAGGAAGATATGTAGGGTCATTATGTAACCCTCTTTTAGTTTACATGTGTGAGAAGTGCTGGCATATGTAGTGTATTTGTGTAATGAGTACATGAAATCAGCTGTTAAAAAATAATCCCAACCTACATCAACATACCCAACATGCCCAGTTGTCTTATAGCAATACATAAAGAAACAACAACAAACATGCCATAATGTTCTGGTATGAGTACATTATACATGAACTGAAGGTGAGCAGTTTTGTAAAAATAAAACATATATGTTAGAGCTGGGAGGAACAACAGTTCACCTGAAAAATGTTCCTCTACCCCCCTCTGGTGGAAAATCACTCAAATACACTTTTGCAAATACCTCTTCTAGGGCCAAACGACAAGTCAGTATAAAGTATTAAATTGTATAAAGTCATAGGACTCAACCGAAGTAATATGTCTGATTTTTTTTTTTTTACACCAAGATCCATACATTATTTAGTGTCGAAGATGCCCTATCTCGTAATGTTAAGGAAAGTGATAAAACAAAATTCATGGATCCGGCCCTTTAACCGTATCAGCGCCAAAACTTAAAGCGATAAACAAACAAACAAACAGGTGAAAACATAAACTCTTTGAAGAAGTTAGTTAAAAAATGCACGTTTCACATTTGGAATTTATATAATGATTACATGTCTACTATATTTTTCTGTATTATATATTATCGTGTCATAGAATTATTATTTGTAAAATAGCATAGAGCGCAAACCTCTGCCTTGGTCAAACAATAATCTAATGTTACAGTACAGTAACATTACAGTTACAGTAATGTTAAAAAACTTTTTTTTTTTTTGCGTAATCCTGCTCACAAACAAACAAACAAACAATCAAACAGTGTACTTAGCGGATGTAACAAATGCATCTCACGCTTTTATTTTGAAAATGTATAAGTCAGCTTTAACCCGGAAGCAGACAAGTGTTATTATGCTAACGATGTGTCATCAGCACATCAGATCCAGGGTGGGAACTGCAAATATTGGGAAAAATAAGAGTAACAGAGTTGTATTATTATTTCTGTAGAGGACCGTTTGAGACGAGTAAGTGATATTGTGTTTGTAAATAAGCTGTCACAAAGTTAACACGATAGCGGGACTTGCAAACAGACTCGCTACGCTGATCTTCCACAACTGCACCATTAGCAAAGAGGCTAACTGGCTGATTCCCAGTACGCTCGGGTGCTGACGGGACGGGAGAGAGATGTCCTGCAGCTTATTGGAGTTTTGTCGGCTCCAAGAGCTCAGAACGGTCCGGGACTACTTGTTCCACAACCAGAAAACCGAGCCAGCGGAGGAGAAGGATCAAACAGGTACCAAGGCTTGATGAACAAAACAAATGCATATCAGAATCATGCTATAGCATACTGTATAACTTAACTAAAGTCACTGCACGTCAGTTAGCTACCTCTGGATCTACTTAGCTTTAGCACTAATAAAATAAAATAAAAAGAAAAGCCATTGCTAACTTACTTAAGGACTATGCATTATATTACATTATACCAAGGGTGGCTAATGGTAGCAAGAATTGGATTAGGGTGGGGGGTCGCTCGTCGGGAACTAATCTTAAATAACTAGTTACAGGTTATAGTAAATTAACCGTCCGTTAAATTAATAGCAGTTATTTTTTCAGTGCGATACAAAGTAAATTCATGTATACCTAAAATGCATCTTATGATTACATAATATATGATATACAATATATAATGTAAAATCGGTTTTTGGTGATGTAATAAAGGTAAATAATTTAATAGTAAGGGTTTGTAAAGTGGATGAAGGAGCTGCAGCTGTGCTCTCCAACACCAGCAAGGCACAGAAAGGGTGAAGGGAATAATCTGCCTGCCCTTTATGCTATGAGTCATCCCACATGAGGCGCATGAACCAGTCACTCTCCTGAACACATTACTGCAGGATGCTCAACTGAGGAGAACAGACATGCACAGAAAGGACACTTGAACTTGAACACATCATTTAATACTGATGCCTGTAGATAAACAGAATGTGTCATCACCTCAGTCTTTTAGCACAGTGACATTGACCGAGGCATTGTGGTTAATGCGTTATAAATGTCCATGGCAACAGGATTTTGTCCTGGATTTTGCTACTTGTTCTGTCACTCAGTCTTCCACCCACTCTTGAATATTTTTAGGTTATCTCCCTGTAGCGCAACCTTCGTCAGTGTTTCCCTTCTAGTCCTATCTCATTTTGTTTTTATGGCTTGCATCTACAGTATCTGTTCAGGTAATATTTTTAGCAGCTGGTTTTAGCACTTCCATCTCCTCAACTGCTGTGACTTTAATTTCACTCTCCTCTGTAACAATTAAATCTGTAACTTTGGTCTCATCTTGGAATTTATTGTCACTGAAGTCTACTGTAGTCTGACACTGTAGCCTCACCGAAGACTTAACCTAGAGTTTTCACAATGATTGACTTCATGCAGTGACACAATCCCTAGGAAACCAAGACTTGAGCAAAGGGAGATGGACCACCACCAAGACCTAACCACTGCACAAGCACTGTCAGCATGGCTTCACAAACTAAAACCAATTTAAATTGGACCTCCTGTTTGTTCACTTTGTCTTCAGCAGATAATCAGCTGTCTTGGGACACATCTGACTGGGAGTCAGCATGGGATAGTGGTGACAACAAAGAGGAGGAAGCCACTTCTTCCTCAACGGTCTGTGTTGTTTTTTTTTCTGTATTTCATTCTGTGTTGTCTTATTCTCATCTTCGACTACAATATTCAGTAGCAATCATTTAGTTTTACAAAGTTGTCTTGGTTGCTAGGAAAGACAAGTATTTAATTATTGTTTGCTTAAACTATAGAAATATTGGACAGTTATCCCATTATAACCCTGTATTTTGTAAGCAATTGCATTTGTTTAATCCACTATAACTTGCTTAATTAATGAAATCATACTGAATAAATTGACAAAAACAAAAACCACAAGTTACTTTCTCCAATATTTGATACTTACCTGACATTTTGTAAAGGGCTCATCACCAACATTTTCCCAGATTTAAAGCAAAGACCCTTTCCCACTGACCTAGCTCTTTGCTCCGCAGGTGGAGGAAGAGGCCGTGGGGCAGAGTGCACCCTGGCTGCAGGACTGTGTTGTGTCCCTGTCGCCCTGCTCTGATCTGTTAGTGGTGGCCCGTGAACACAAGGCAGTCTTTCTTTCAGGTCAGATACTCAGACACACACACACACACACACACACACAGTACACAGTGGTGTCAAATATTGCTGTTAATGCTTATTGATCTTTACAGCTAAATGGCGTACAGATGACAGTGGCAGAGAGGAGATGACTCTGGCTGTGTCTTGGACTGGAACCCTCAGTACTGAAGAAGGGTGAGAGAAAATTCAGTTAATATGAGAGGGGATGAGAATGGTAAAAAAAAAACACAACAGAAGAGTTGATGATGGTAAGACCTGTACCTAAGCTAGATGACAACTCATGGGAAGAGAAAATAAAAAGAATCATAGAGACAGGAATGAGGATGAAGTTTAGGATGAAAATGAAAACAAACAGTTGTTTGACAGTGGGGAAACAATGAAAGCATTCTTCACCAATATACAGAATTGAGCTCAGTCACGCACACATTACACCTTGCTTTGTTTGTGCTTCCCTCTCCCTCCAGAGAGTGTGTAAGCAGCTCCGTCTGTATCCCCCTGGCAAGCCAAAAGAGGTAAGAAACACTCGTTTGGGTGATGCATGAGATGTGTGTGGAAGTGCTAAATGTGTGCATGTATATAAAACACGTGATTTTATTCATTTTAACAGTGTATGTGTGTGTGTGTGCATTCCTAGGAGCTCCACAGGGCGGCCTGACTGGACCTGTGTAGTAGTGGGTTTCACCTCTGGCTATGTCCGTTTCTACACAGAGGTACAGTCTATAGTCAAATCTTATCTCTCCGTCTTTGTTCTTCACTGGTACTGTAGCCTGTGTAACGAGTGTCTTATTCAGTTGGTCAGCAGTAAAAGGAAACAGGAAGCCATTCAGTACAGTCTTGAAATAGTAACTGAAAAAGTATCAAATGTTAAACCGATTGTGTCTCGTCAGAATGGGGTTCTGCTCCTGGCCCAGCTGCTACATGAGGACCCTGTATTGAGACTCAAGTGTCGCACATATGAGATTCCTCGTCATCCTGGAGTAACAGAGCAGGTGATGTACACACTGGACACTGTGTATGAGAAAATAGGCCGCCCACTGATCAACTGTGCGATTACAAATACATTTTTGCTACAATAAATCCTCTAAACCACAGAGAGGCTCTAACAATGCAGCAGCCTTCTTGGTGAACAGTTTCAGTCCAGTCCCAGGCAGTAACAGCAGTGTCTGCTGTCAAAATGTTCCAAACTTTCAACTATAATTTGTGTTGTGTTGGCATCTAATGCATCAGGCAAGTTCAGTTAAACTTGAACTTTTGCATTCTCTTTGCTCTCCTCTGTTGTTTTGCCTCTTTTTGTCACTAAAAAATGCAGTGATGTAGCTTTGTGAGAGATGTCAGAATTAACCAAATTATGTGACAGCAAAAGTGTATTTCCCATAATGTCAAACTGACATTGATCTTTATCCTGCCACAGCATGAGGAGTTGAGCATCCTCTACCCTGCTGCTATGGTCACCATCGACGGCTTCAGCCTCTTTCAGTCTCTGCGTGCCTGTAGGAACCAGGTGGCACGAGGTATGTGTGTGTGTATGTGTGCGTGTGTGTGTGTGTGCGCATGTGTGTGTGCACCAGGGTGTATTCATGCTTATGTGTGTTCATTATAGGATGAGAGTTACAGGGTTTTAGTTTTAAGTGTTACAGGATTGTTGCAGTGTGTTAACAGAAACTTTCTTTTACTTGCTGACTGGGTGAATAGAGTTTGCCACAAGGCACTCAGGTACTGAGGAGACATGCACTTCCCCACACTGCACTACTACCATCACACACACAGGCACACATAGACCTTATGCATATGTATATATGCGGCCTCTAGAGGGTTAGAAGCCGAGCTTCTACAGGGTTTCTTTGAGCCTCCAGTAGTAGTGTGTGTGTGTGTGTGTGTGTGTGTGTGTGTGTGTGTGTGTGTGTGTGTGTGGATGTGTGTGTGTGTGTATGTGCGCGCACGCCTATCCTACCTGTGAAATGCTGAATAGTCTTTGCTACTGTTGAAGGACAGTGCTACAGTTTTAAATTGAGCTTAATGTAAGCCATGGCTACTAGATGAAAGCAAATAATAGATAATGGAATCTCTTATTAGAAAATAAAAAATGCTCTATTTTATTGAAGTTGTTGCTTTTCATGTCATCAGCTGCTCTTTGCATCTCTGTTCAATAATCAGCCGCAGCAGCAGGTAGTGACGTGATCCAGCCTCCTCCCCTGGCCTATAAGAAGTGGGGTCTGCAGGACATGGACACCATTGTGGATCACAGTAGTGTGGGTAAGATGGATTGACTGGTGGTCATAGCCTATTCCCCTTTTGGTGTGTGACTCCATCACAGAGTTGCATTGATTTGAGGTGATTCTGAAATGGTATTACAGCATTTTCCAATGCAGATATAACTTCCTGGAGACGCAGCAAACAAGATTTATTTTTATTCTTTTTGGATTTTCATGAAGAAAAAGTAAAAAATCACTGTAGATTTGTCATATACTGTTAAGATTCTGTCACTTCAAATTTAAACTTGAAGGAGTGATTGACTTTCACAGGAAAATATTGTATTGTTTTGTCAATAATATCATTTCCTATTAATCTCTGTTCAACTCACTCTGTCTCTGTCTGTCCGCTCTTCCTCCTGTTAGGCGTCATGACGCTGTGTGTGTTTGACCAGATGAAGAACGCATCTATCCTGGGGGGGTTTAACGCTTCCGTAAAGGGCAGCCCCCCTGCCATGAGCCAGTACGTCACTGTGGGAGGAGGGCCTTACACAGGCTTTTACTATGCTGTAGAGGTGTGTGTGTGTGTGTCACACTGATGTTCACATTACATTACGTATGTGCAACACAGACTCTAAGAGTGTGTGTGAAAGAATGAATTTGAGACTTTGAATAAACATGGCTGTTCCTCTGGTCTCTTGTGTGTTTGCAGGGAAGCTCCCAGCCTCTTCTCTCTCATGTGGCTCTGGCTGTGGCTAGTAAACTCACCTCAGCCCTCTTCAGTGCTGCCAGGTATGTCTGAGTGTGTGTGCGGTTCCATGTGTGTATAAGCAAGCATAACACATTTCTAAGACATAGTCCCGAAGCCATTAAGACCAGTGATAATCACAGCAACAAGGTTAAGTGAATGAGTGATCTCTGTAGCATATTGTTCCAAAGACAAATAGGGTTGTCCAGTGTTTGTGTGTGCACTTCATTCCTGTCAGGCACACACACACGTACACACACACACTTGGGGGACTGAATGCTGCATTGTTCAGTCTTCTACCGCTGTAACAGCACAAAGCAGTCCAATCAATAATCTGAATTATAGCCTGTACTCTTGTCGCTGCCAGCTTAATCCATACAGGGAGGTTGGATGCTTTCATTCTCCCTTTCGCCCTCTTTCTAGTTTATCCTTTCTCTCACCCACCACGTTTATGACTTTTCATGTATTCTAGCCTCCCTTAATCTTTTCTTTGTACTCGGACTCATCGTCTTATTTGTCTTCCTCTCAGTGGGTGGCTCGGGTGGAACAAGAACAAGAATGAAGAGGAGGCTGTTCAGAAACAGAAGCCTAAGGTGGAGCCTGCGACGCCCTTAGGAATCAGGTACCAGTCATGATATCTATCACACTGGCACTGTAAAGCTTGTCCTTGTCCTTTCTCTTAAACCTGACCTCTCCCTTCCAGATTTGGTCTCCCAGACTCTCGTCGCCACGGAGAGTCCATCTGTCTGTCCCCCTGCAACACGCTGGCTGGGGTGACGGATGACTTTGGTCGAGTGACATTGTTGGACCTGGCCAGGGGCATTGCCATCCGCATGTGGAAAGGTGAGCGGAGCGTACAGCAAGAAGAACAAAGACTAACAAATGAATAATGTAGGGGTTTTGTAAACTGCTTGAGCTGTGCTAAAAAGGTAGAGCTTTTACATCGCTTTTATCTTCCCTTAGTCTTGCCTCTAACTTTATTTGCTGACGGCACAAAACTTTGAACCCACCTAGCATCTATACCTTCTTGAAAAGGATGCCAAGCCATGCATTCAGATTAAACGTTTTTTTTACTGTGTCCGTGTCATGTAAAGATAACTATTCATTAAATCAACTGCAGGTTACCGTGACGCTCAGCTGGGTTGGCTGCAGGTTCCAGAGGAGCGAGGTGATCGGGAGTTCTCCCCCTCTGCCTCCCTCCCCAGACGGCACGCTCTGTTCCTGGTCATCTACGCCCCCCGCAGGGGAATCCTGGAGGTGTGGGGGATGCAGCAGGGGCCTCGAGTTGGAGCTTTCACTGTGGGTAAACACTGCAGGTATGCACAAATGAAACCTTTTTTCACCACAAACATATCATGTGTAAATATGATATAATCTACAATATAATGTGTATAATTTACTCTGTGTATGTGTGTGCATGCACCTGCAGGTTGCTGTATGCTGGCTACCGTCTGATGGGGGTGAACAGTGTGACCAGTCAGGGCTGGCAGCTCCACACCCAGCAGGTGTGTCTGCTGGATCCCATCACAGGAGCACTGAGGACAGTGAACATCCCCTTTCACCTGGCCCTCAGGTTGGTGCACAGACAGACGGACAAACACACACACACACATACATTCATCTTAAAGATGTAGTAGATTAGCTGTTGAGAGCAAAATGAGAAGATCGATAATCCTTTTGTACATTATATACAAGGCTTTACCCAGCAGCCCCTTAGCTTAGCTTAGCATAAAGACTTGAAAAAAGGGGAAACAGCTAGCCTGGCTCTGTCAAAAAGTTACAAGATCCACCTACCAGCATGTAAAGCTCATTAATTAACACATTGTATCTCTCTTGGTTAAACCATATAAAAAACAAAATGTAAAACAGTTGACAGGTTTAAAGGGGGGGGGGGGTCATGTCCCAGACTGCGCTCGTAGTGACAACAAGACAAAATATACTATATTCTATATACATATATATATATTTATACAGAGACTTAGATTGGTTCATTAACTATTTAGGTCCTGGTTTGGGAAGGAAATTTATGGCAAATGGACAGTTATTTACTTTCACAGAAAAGGTTTTCAACCACAGCTTGAAGAATCTTCATATTCTCAACATATTCTCCCCCAAGCACAAAATGTAGGCTGCAGGACTTTGTTCCCAGTCTACAAGTTGTTAAAGACATCTTTTTATCAAGGGTTGCCAACAACCCATCCAAACCTCATCTTTCTGTGTCCTGTCCATTTCAGTGACAAGAAGAGCGAGCGAGCCAAAGATATGCACCTGTTAAAGAGATTGACTACCATACTAAAGAGCAGAGACCTGGAGCCTGGTAAGAGATACAAGATCTTACTGGAGATATAGAGGTTTACATTTTTCTTCTATGCGTTTACCCGTCTTTTCTTTATAGATATTTTGGAGAGCGAAGCCAAAAGTGCGCTGCTGGACATTAAACACCCTGCCATTAAGAAGCAGGTATGACTGAAGATCAGTACAAAGGCCCCCGCACACTATTGCGCACAGTGTGTTCAGTGGTCAAGACTCTAACTGCAGTCTTTGCTTTTCCCTTCAGGCTCTGGAGTCTCTGCTTTCCAATAAGAACGCTCCTGTGTCTTGTCTGACTAACATCACATGCACCTTGTACGACGCTCTAAAGCAACAAGGTTTGTACCAGTTCACCGGTGAGAGAAAACATTCTTGACATAATATTAAAACTGAACTGTCATGAACTGTTTGCCGAAGTATTTTCTCAGCTGCATGCCTGAAATGTTCAATTTAAATCATTCTGTAGTCTTTGCTTTAAGCTAGATGTCCGTGAAGATTCTCAGTCATCCAGGTCATGTTTATACAAGAGGAGGGTAACTGGTCTCGGTTGTAGTTGAAGTTTATTGAATGTAATATCTTTCACAATGCTTGTATTGTGTATGATGTTGTATTTAAACAAAATGACAGACTCTGTGATCTTATTCCTATTTTATAAAGGGTAAAAAACATAAACTTAAGTGTACTAGTTTCAGTGTGGTTTGATGTAAGAGTTCACAGGTGTGAATGAGCTTGATAAAACTATAAAAAAATATCACTATCTGTGCCTGTTCTTAAAAATAAACTTAAAGCAGCAGCTGCTACTAAAATATATGTAGAACTTGTATAGTACCCTGAAAGGCTGGGCTCTTCAGAACTGGTTACTCTACTGTGCTTATTATTTTTTATTTACCATTTATTTCTGATTGTGTATCTTGCCTATTGGATTAGTGTCTGGACTGATGGGATAGCTGTTTTGGGACCATTTAGTTATTAGGTATTTTGTGGTTGTAATTGTATTTGTACATGCTGTGACTGGGCCCCTATTCACAAGCTTAGCTTATCATGTTCTGGATGCTTTGACTTGTATTTTTTTCTGATTTGTGTGAATTAATTGTAGTGACTGAAATCTTTGATGAGAGGTACATCTTCAAGTATCTGCAAGCAAGTCCAGTTGCCCTCGATTGAACTCTTTTTGGATTGCTTTATACTAGATATATATATATTTCAACAGGTTTTCTCTCTTTATTTATGGTGCTTTGTTTCTGCATCACAGACCCTGAGGAAGTGGATACAGCTTTACTGCAGCTGTGCTTTTCACAGCTCAAGCTGCTTCAGCTCTACACTGACATCCAGCAGCTGCACTCTGCTGCAGACGTAGAGGCCTCCTCTGAAAATGTGGGCACACACACACTTTGTTAATGGTTCTTACATAAACTGTTGTAATACAATATAACGTAGGCTAACTCAAGGTTTGTTGTCACTTTAGGTCAGTGTTGTTATTGGTGTTCACCTCAAAATTCATTATTATTCCTCCTAATTCTATGATGAGCACATGTAGTTCTCCTCCAGTTTATATTTTCTCCCCTCCCAGCAGGATTCCCTGGAAGGCTTGAGGGATGAATTGTCCCGTGTCGGCCCCACCCTGCAACGCTACGCTCAGCTCACCTCGAGACCCAGTGTTTCTTTTGCCCAGGACTCACCTGACTCACCCCTGCCTGCCCAAGCCTTTCTCTCCCAGATGGAGTGCACCGAGGAAGGGGAACTGAAGGTGATCCGAGGGGCTGAAACTGAATGGAACCAGCTAGGTATGGCAACATTAATGTGTACATTCAATGCCTATACTTTTACCAAGTTCCCCTGATAGATACACCTACCAAGCACTTTATTAGGAACATCTGTACACCTGCTAATTCATGCAATTACCCAGTCAGCAGTGCAATTGATGAAATCAGGAAGATACAGGTCAGGAGCTTCAGTTCATGTTCACATCAAACATCAGAATGAGGAAAAAATGTGATCTCGGGAGTTTTGCCTTTTGGTTTGATTGTTGGTGTCAGACGGGCTGGTTTGAGTATTTCTGAAACTGCTGATCTCCTGGGATTTTCACACACAACAGTCTCTAGAGCAGAGGTCACTAACAGGTGGACCGTGGTCAGAATCCAGACCCAGACACTGTCCCATCTGGACCTGGATGTATAACCTGTAAATTATCTAGAGTTATTCAATTTTGACAGAGCGTTTCTGTTCTAATCGGCGCAGCTTTTTTTTTTTTTAGCCTTTATGGCACTGGTCACATGATGCTTCTCCGCCAATCACTGTGAGTGAGGTACGTACACAGGGGTGAAGCGATGGACAGCGTCAGGGAAATTAGTGCAGAAAGTGTGAGTGAAAGAAAGAGAAAAGAGGAGGTGTTAAAGCTGTAAAAAGGAGGTGTTAAAGCTGTTCAAGATGTTAAATGGAGTTAAGAAAAAAGAAGAAAAGGAAAATGTCTAGCTACACCTTTTAGGCCTATTTCATTTTTGTAATATTATGCTCGTTTTCAAAAGCTCTGTTGTGTATTTATTACAATCTTTATTTTCCTTGAAATGAGAAAAGAACCTCTAATGATTAGTAGAGAAGTTCCTTATCATCACTTGGCGCTTATGTGTCTTTGCAGGGAACTTTCTGTTCTGGGGTTGTCTGTGTGGAAAAAGCCCAATCCATAAAGTGTGTGACACGCTACAGCAGGCTGGCATCAGTCCACAGCAGCTACTGGTAAGATGGAGCAAAAGCCTGATTGATGGGTTTAGAGGTAGAAAGTCCTGTAGTGTTGCTTTATGAAATAATCAGTCAAAACAAGAATTAGAATAATCAAAATCCTGATCCTGTCACTTAAAAGAAAAGACGTAATTCATTTATAGTGGTAACCCATATAGTTTATTACCCTTGCTACAGAAATATACGACTATACGAATCCATCAATTCTCCCTCATCAATTCCAATGCCAACGAAATAAGAATTAAAGTAATTTTAAACCAATCAAATAAAGCTTATAGAAACTCATACTCACAACCTTTCAGTCAATTTTACCCAGTTAATAGATGAGGCCATTGAAGGATACTGCATGGACATTTAAATGCAATAACCACATTTAAATTCAGAGCTCCGCTGCAAACACAGAAATGTCTCTTCAATAATTTCAGTTAGTGAGATTGTTGTGAGTTGTGTGTGTGTGAATGAGTGTGTGTGGTCAGGTTCAGTGGATGGCTGTGCAGGGTAAAAGGCAGTGTAACGGGTTGAATTTGGTAGAAGGGGTAGAGGGTTGAAGAGGGGAGAGTCTGAGAAGTCAGGAGAGTTAGAGGCAGGGGAGACTCATCCACCTCCACCTCTTCCGTCCAAACACGTGCTCAGCACTTGGTTGATCAGGGAGGTCAAGGAGAAATCCAGCCATTCTTATTAAATGTATGTGCAACACTACTTTTATTTTAGCCAGGTTAGAATTCCAGAAACTGGATTGAGACTTTTAGTAATCTCCTCCTAGTCCTTTTTTCTCCTCTATGCTGCTTTTGTCAGTTTTTCCCTGAGCCCGGCTCACGAGTGTGTCTCATTTATCTCCTCACCTTCCCCACCTTCTTTTCCCTCTTGGTTGTAAAGGACTATGCTGCTCTTTTCCTTTCCCTCCCTCTGTCACAGTGTGGTCAAGGTTAATAGATGAAAATGAGAGTAGACATATATCGTAATGTAATGTAATGTCGTTTTTGTTATTTGTTATATCTCATAATTAGAAATCTGTGTGGATTATGCATGTAAGTGTTGCCCTAATAAAAACATACATGTAAAAGAATGGGCGTGGCAGCAACCCAGAGCATATTTCATGATTTGTTTTGTTTAGCAGCGCCATTTTCTAAATTAATGTATTTTTCTTGTTTTGTTTTCTTTCTCTATTTCATCTTTACACTCCCTGTTTCTCTGTCTGTCAGTCTTTGCTGTTGAACGTGTGGTTGCAAAGGGAGAAGGAGGTGCTGCAGAAATCAGAGGAAATTGTTAGAAACCTACACACACTGCTCATCGCCCTTAGCAACATGAAAGGTAAGTGTTCTTCTTCTCTTTGATGGAGGACACATCAAGGCTTTGATTGGTTTTGGTTACAATCAATTGCAACCAATGAAAGTCAATTAAAAAAAAAAAAGGATGAGAAGAGAGGTACCACTTCTTTTTCTTCTCCTCAGGTGCAGTTGAGGAGTCATGGGACCCCCAGTCTATCTCCCCCTGGTGGCAGCAAGTTCGCTCCACATGTATCCAGTCCCACAACGCTGCCGCTGCTCTGCTGGCGGCCTTCGTCGCTCACCGTGCCGTGAAGGCTAGCATCACCAGCCAGGCTGACAGCAAGGTAGAGAGGTCTCATAAACACACATACACGTACATGAGCCTTCTCGTCAGGCAAAAATATGAAACACACCCCCCTTTAAAATAATTCAGCACCACAACAACACGTGTTTCCTTCTACTAGGCTCAGCCATTAAAGCCGCACTCACAGCCTGGTCTGTTTTATGTGTTTCTGTGTGTGTGTGACAGTTGCAGTCAGAATGGGAGGCGGTGTCCCTGGAGCTGGAGCAGTGGGTGGTTTGTGTTCACCAGCTGGAGGATGTGCTGGTGCTGCAGACTCTGCTGTTGGTGCCTCCTCCTCAGGGGGCAGCAGGGGGTGCTGCGGCACAGTGCTCCATCAAGACGCTGTTGGAGGGAGGCACTGGTAAGCTGTGAACAAGAATGTCCTCAGGAATATTTCATGATGTCTTACTTTCTGGCCTGTCTGCGTCTTGGGCCCACTGACAAGGGGTGTTGGGGTACAACGCCCACCCATGGTGCATTCAGTGCCCCCTACTCCTCCATTATGCACCGTATACACTACCCAAAATTAGTTTTCAAGTCTAAGAAAAAAAACTAGACTGAGAAACAATTTCTGTGTCCACTGTAACGTGTGAAAAGCCATTAAGGGTAATGAGGAAAGTTAATGTGAATGATCCATGCATGACAGACAATGAGACACCACTCAGCCGGGGTCGTGGGAAGTATGGCTGGTGAGGTTTCTGCAGCAATCTATCATTATTATTATTATTATTATTGTACTGTGGCATGACACCCCACTCCCCTGGTCTCTGTCGCTGACAGCCGGCCTGTTCTCATTTATATTACCGCGAGCAGAGGAACTATTCCTGCTGGTTTCCTATAGTCTGTTCAGCTTCCTGTTGATCTGTTGCGGCAGAACACTTGGATCAGATGCAGACAGCGTCTCCAGCATTAACAAAATAAATCTCAAATCCAGCTTTGAACCCGTAGCAGCACTTCAAATGTGTGTGACAGCTCCATGCCATCAATGAAGTTATCTTGATTTCTTCCTAACTAGGGTGTTTTTATTCTGTCATTGTTTTGCTCATGTAACATCATGATGCTGTCAAGATGTTATTTACTATGTTGGAAGAGCATTATGAAAGTTTGTTTTGTTTTTTTTTGTAACTGACTACAACTAATGCTGTGGTTTTACTGGCTAAATTCCAGATACACTGCATTCAGTGGTTTAGCAGGAAGACCACATACAACAGGTGCAGTAGCCTCTTACAACAAAAACAAAAACAAAAAAAAAACCACATCAGTCAGAAAGAAAGGGGAGGGTGGCAGATGCCCTTCCAAGAAGTTTTCCCAGGCGACACTGCTGCTGCTTATTGTCTTATTTTTGTCTTTTATTTTCTGCTGGTTTCTTTCTAGATGAGCTCAATATTCTGGTTGTGGCTACATGAGACACATTCTCTTATATTTTTATTGTCTGTAAAGGTGGCATTGCTGACAGTGTCTCCAAGTGGGTGTTCAGGCACAACATGGCCCCTGAGCGACTGAAGGAAATCCTCCAAAAGAGAGAAGACAAAGATGCAGAGGACAAACTAGAGCAGAAGGCAGGAGAAGAAGGGACTGATGAGAAGGAGCAGAGCCGAGACGACACAGACAGGACAGCAGGTCAGGACGCTGGATGTCGACCTTTGACGTTTAGATATTACACGACACATTGGCAGTCATGTAAAACAACTTTAACTGTGCTCTAACTGTTAATCTTGTTAATCTTGTTTCTCCAGAGCTGTTGGTGGCCGTGTGCCAGCGGTTCCCACACTCCCTCTCACCTGACCTGCTGTTCGCCCACTGCTGCTGGGAATATGTAGTGCAGTGGAACAAAGACCCAGAGGTGTGCGCACACACACACACACACACACACACACCCACACACACACACACACACACAAACATACAAATATTGTACTATATATATATATATATATATATATATCATGTGGATACGTTAAATAGTTCAAAAGAAGTACAACAGCCATCCAATGTTTAAAAAATCTATTTTATCTTACGGATTCTGTTCATTATGTTAAGGAGAAAAGCATGTTTTCATAAGTCCAATAAACAGGGATGACGACAAACCAGCCACCTTTGTTCTTAAATGTGGACTCACACCTGCTTCTCTTCCTAGGAGGGTCGATGCTTGTGCTGCGCTGTGGAGCATTTGAGACAGGTCTCCAGTCCACATATCCAGCTAGGTTAGTGGCTTTTTTTTTTTTTTACATGTTTGCAAATGCTTTTTATTGAACAATATGATTAATATGCGTCTTATATTATGTTTTTATCTACAATTGTGAAGGAATTAATGTGATGTTCTTCAGTTATGCTTAAACTAACAGCTCAAACTTGAAGTACTATGTAACCAGTAGTTACATCAATGCCCCCACTTTGTAAATAATGAAAACTACTTAAAGTGATTGTTATTAGTTTGTCATTGGACGTTACTGAATCTTCCTCACAGGTATTTCTGCAATGATGTGGAGTACGTTCATTGTGAAACGGTTCTCAGCAGCAGCTTACCTCATGGAGAAGGTGAGTCATGCAGTATCCAGTTAATCTGTGTATCTGTGGGAAGATGCTGCTGAGTCTGTCAATGAGTCAAGCAATATATAAAATGTTTACACTTGTTTTTTCCAGGTGGGGAAAGCACCCAAAGATCGTTTATGTCGACGGGTAAGTCTGTGTTTCAGTACAGATTAAAATATATGATGCCAGTTTTGGTATTTGTTAGATTTGCTGATTCCTTGATTAGATGATTAGATTATTTCAGATCTGAAGTACTGCAGTAACTGTATAAAGCTCCATACCAGTGCATTAAGGGTGTGTGTGTGTGTATGTATATGTGTGTGCAGGATGTCGGGATGGGAGACAAAGCCGTGACATGTTTCCTGGGCTGCTGTGTGCAGCTGCTGCAGATCCTCATGGAGGTGACTGGAGTATTGGTTAAGAATCAGTCCCCTTTGTCTTTTATAAATTACTATGTAAGTAAAAAGATTCCAGGAAAAAGCATGGAGAATGAGCAGTCCAGCACAAAGCATGATGGTCAGTGAAGCGTGGCCAACACAGTCTTTTTGAATAAGATTTGAAGCTTTTCATTGAGAATGCATTACAGAGTGTGTCGGCTTTTTCAACATGCAATAAAAGGAGGTGAGATTTATTAATAATATATAAGTCAGGCTTTAAAGTGAAGATTTTAGTTGACACATAAGATGTAATCATCATTAACATCTGTCATCAATGCAGTTTTTTTTTTTTTAAAAGTACTATTGCTGCTACAACTATTGCTAATAATGTACTGCTACTAATTAACATCATATTTAACATCAGCACTTAATTTATTAGCTAGCTAGCTTACTTGAAAATCCTCTCCAGACATTTTTTGAGATATTAAAAAAATGATTGGTGTCAGAATAATATCATAATATCTGAGAATAACAAATATTGTTCATTTAAAAGATTTGACTGCTGGACACAAGATGTCTCCGGTTCACTGGAGGGGACTTTGAAATTTGTGCATGTGCTCTATTGACTGTGTGAACTACAAACTAAACAGAGTTGATTACGTTAATGAGCCACTGGTTGTTCACGAGTCCACGACCCTCTCTTCTCACCAGCTCTCCTGTTCTTTCTGATGCAGGCGGACTCTGCGGTGGAGGAGGTATCCGCTCCGGAGCTGTCTGTGGAGGAGGCGTGGTGCGGAGCAGAGGGCCCCGCCTCCATAGCTGAGCTGGCCCTGGAGCAGAGAGGCGTTCACTACCCCCTGGTCCAACACCACTGCCTGTTTGCCTCTCTGCTACATGCTACCATGACCTTCAGTCTGAAGGTGAAACCACTCAGCCTGTACGACAGCAAGGTGAGGAAACGGCACGCACGCACACACACTCTTGTTGTCTGTGAAGGTGCGCCTGAGTCTGGGCTTGTTTTCTCACACAGACACAGGATTGATACTGATTGCTCCTTTAAAACACAACACAATTAAGGCAGCCTTCACAAAAACATTATACATTTTCTTTGTTCTTCTGTCTAAACATCTTGTCATGTGTCTACCTCTACTTTGAATCAATACTTCAATGAATACATCATCCATGATTCATGTGGAAATAAACTGTGTTCCTGATTCAGATCTGAACCAATACACATTTGTTCCAGGGTAAGAATGCTTTCTTCAGAGATCTGACGACCATCCAGCTGATGCCCAGTGGAGACATGGACCCAGGCCTGGTGTCATTACGACAGGAGGTGAGAGGTCAAACTCAAACGCAGGGGATGAGAAGAAAGTGATTCTCCATACCGCTGGTCTCATGTGTTTTTCCTCATCCCCCGTCTCTGTCTCAGTTCCTCCTGCGGGTGCTGACTGGCTGGGTGCAGGCTATAGATGATCCTTCCAGCTCCGCCTCTGGCGGCGGGTGCCCCCCTCTACCCTCAGGTGGCCCCAAGGCTGACTGGTGGCCCTCGCTGTGCCTGGAGCTGGGCTCCCTGCTGCAGGTCAACCCCGACATCCTGCGACGGCACCTCGTCTGTGAGCTCTACAACCAAGGCCTGGACCTCCGGGCAGAAGAGGTGAGGGGAAACGTGGTTTGTTCTGAAGCTAAAATTAGGATGATACTACTTATGTTCTAATGTATTAAAATGTATTAAATCCTACAGTGTTGTACTCTGTTCTGACTCCACCGGTTTGGTTTTGCATCCTGTCCTTCAGGTGATGTTAGAAGTGGAAGATAAGGACGTGCTGGGCTCCCAGCTGTTGGTGCTGACCGGACAGAGGCTGAGCTACTCGCTGCTCCACAGCCAGAGCCAGACGCAGGCCGCTATGGAGCTGCTGGCCCGCCTGCCCCCCACCCTCTGCACATGGCTCAAAGCTATGGTGAGACACCCAGCACCATACTGACCTCTGCCATCTAATACACTAAAGATATTTCAGTTGCAGATTCTCAGAGACAAATAAAAGTATTTACATACCCAGCATTTTCCATTATTTCCAAACCTTGGCTCACAGTATTTACTGAGGTGCCCTGAACCACATATTCTCAAATTCACATCACTAACTCTATACATTTCTTTACATTTAAATTTTTTAAAATAATAACCACACAGGAACACGGTGCAGGTTAGAGTGTGAAAAAAAAAAAACTACCAAAACCCAAATTAATTTCAAATAAAGAAACCCTGAAACTCATTTTCATAAAATTAAATATTGATATCACTCGATTCATAATGTTGTTTAATAATGTATGGAATATGATTACTATTTTGAGCTGCAGGACCCAAGTGAGCTGCGGTGCCCCCTGGTCCCCCTGTCCCAGACCAGCCGACTGGTCAGCCGTCTCATTGAAATCCTGCCAGAGAACCACGCACAGTACAGCCTGGCCCTGCACCTTCTGGAGGCTGTGGAGGCCCTCACCACTGAGGACTGACCCTGAGAGGGAAAACGGGATACCCCCCACCTCCACCACCATCCCCATCCCCAACCCTCCTTGTACCACTTCAGAATGTGGATTGTGGTGAAGCCTGCTCATATGCAGCAAATGAGAGACTGTCAACGAAGAGAAAGATGACAAACGGCCTTCTCACCCTTTTCCCCTCATCGTGGAGGAGGTTTTGTGTTTTGTCATTCAGCTCATGATAATATGATAGAATCAACCTGGCAACTTACTTGTAGAAGGCAGTGACACACAGTGGGTATGTTAGGCCTTTAATTTTTTAATCCATAATTTTTGAGCATTTAACAAATTGAATACTTGTGTTATTGAGAAATATTGTTTAGAGTCTAACTATATGAGATGTTGTTAAGCAGTGGGGCATGTCTTTTCTTTGTCACTTTAAACTCATCTTCAGTCCGTTTGATTTTAAAATCAGATGTCAGTGTGTGGGTGTCCCGTGTGCCATATCAGAGTTCTGTTTGATCTTTCTCCTTCTTTCTTCCCTCTCACGGACAAGAGATGTATCATAAAGAAATATGGACCTTTATTTTTTATTTATATATGCAGACAGTACTGTACTAGCTGTGCCTGTACACCTCCTTTTCTGTAGTCCCACGTCCAGCTGCTCCCACTGGGCTGATCCAACACAGAATAAAGAGGTTTCTGAAAAGCTTAGATGTTTTCATTGTATTGACTTTCACTGAAAACAAGTTCCAGATAAAACTTAATTTTTTTATAACTCAGACACATTTCTTCCATACACCATCGATTGTATGGGAAAGTTTACAAGGAACAGGATTTATCATACAAAGATAGGCGTTCACCAAAATCCCCCCCCCCCCCCATCCTCTCTGTGCTATAAATCCTATACTGTTGTCACACAGTGACACTCTGTAATGAAGTGCTTCTCTATACATTTACACATTGAAAAAAACAGCAAGTCCTCTGAACGGTGTCTCTTTTCAACTGGAAATCAGGTCAATATTTTCAGTGACGTGTGATATTGACAGTAAACAATCTTTCCCATGCTGTATCGGATCGCTTGGTGGTACGAGATCGAATGTATAACCAGCACATTCATGCCACAGCCAAGCAGCTGGGACCAACTCGGACATTTTGGTTTTAAGAGTTCGCTGACAGGCTGCTCCAACAAACTCTGTGGGCGGATCAAAAGCTGTTATTGGGTCGTTCACTCCCAACGCCAACCCTGTGCTAAGCTGCAGTGTCTCTTCACTGGCATCATCAACAATGAGCAAAAATGTGACTGAGGCAGCAGCTGATTTTTCTGATGGTGACAGGGAGAGTGAAACCTGGTCTCTATTCAGCCTTCAGGGGCAACATAAAACACGTGCAGCGAATCGAAAGAGCCTTGGTGATAGCTGGTCGTCATGGTCAGAATGTCAGGCCCGTCATTGGGCCCGTGAGACCACGGTCTGGCAGCGCGGGCACAGGCAGTCTGCCGACTCAGCAGTGTAGCGCCGGCACCTTGGGCACCGGGCACTGGAAGTGGGCACCACCGCTATATCGTAGGCGCTGTCCTCACGGATGACACCACCTGATGAACAGATACACACAGACTGAGCATGTGCATCGCTCACTCATGTTTTTCCACAATGGTGCAGACATTTCTTTTTTTTTTTTATCCAGCACGAGAGCCTGTGTCAGGTTCAGCTAACTCATTCTAATAACCGCTGTCATATTATCATCTGGCTCAGAACACTAGGTTGTCAGTCATTGTTTTCAAGCGATAGAGGAGTTCTTACTTACAAGCAACATCATCAGAACCAGGAGTGGAGCACTGATATGTCATTTGATGAAATGGTGATACATTCGTTTGGTTATTACAGCAGAAAAAAAGGTGATGTTCGGCAGGTGAAATGTTTACAGTAAAAAAAAAAAACCCAAACAACTATAATTGAGTATGAGGGTGTTGAAAAAGAAGGAATAATATGCTAATATTAAAAATAAGACTGAATAAGTGTAATTATTATTATGTAGACTGTTTAAAATCTGGCTGGTATTTTCAATTTGCTCAGTTGTCTGGGATAGTGACATTTAGCACTTTCTTGTGTTGTGAACAAACTTATGAACGTGAATGAACACTGCAGACATTTTAAGTCTGCCAAGGCAGAAAAGAAAAGAACAAGAAAAACAGCCTGAAGAAAAGAAAAAAGGCCTGATGTGGTTTCTCTAACCAAAATGTTGCATTAAGAATTTACTAAACTAATTAACGATGCGTGCAACAGTATGCATAATTCATTTGTAACTGTGGTCACCATTCACTGGTGTGTTAGTGTGCTACATTTTAATGTCTCTGTTAGAAGAAGGTTTTAACTTGGAGCAAATACGTTCATGTAAAACAAACATTTCCTCCATTTCTGACATAATTATCATAGAAATCAAAGGAACTCTCCTGATATATATTAAAATGTGTAAACTATGATTCTGTTTATTTATTTATTTACTTTATTGTAAACTCAGCTCTTAAGTCCTAAGTCAGAATTCCAGTGATCCGATTGGTCAATAGTCTGACGGTTAGGTTCGGATCTAATTCTGCTCTGGGGTAGGTTAACCCTGCAGCACAGGTTACCATGGTGATCTACCATGGTTAAACGTGAGCCACCTTCATGATAGCAGAAAAAGTTCAGCCTAAACAAAACTGGACAACCCACTAATGATGCTTTGTGGTGCAGACCAATAGTACACCAGTAAACTAGCAGGCACAGTCCCAGACCACTGACACTGTTATCAGGTGAGAAAAGGTCTATAATGACATCACACAAACTCCACTATTTCCCCAATTCTGGCTGATTGATGTTACTGTCATTGTATTACTAGCTTGGTGTAGATGTTCCTTACCCTCCAGGTTGATGAGGAAGGTGCCGTGGTTCAGCAGGGCGTCTGAGGGCAGGTCGCGGGGCAGCGCACTGGTCAGGTTGACCCGCGCCGCCATCATCAGCTCAGCCAGCTGGGAGGAGGTGGATGTAGGCTCCTCTTGGAGAGACTGCAAGTGAAGTCAGGAGGGAATTAGCTTGGATTTGTTGAATTGTCCATTCAAATGGATTTACATAATAATAATAATATGTACAGTTAAGACTAGATAAGATAAGATTGCAGTGTCACAGCAGCAAAGTGGACAGTACAAAAGAAAAAGCAAAGCAAAATGAAAATATCAAATACAAAAAATTGTACAAAATATAAATAATATAGTCTAGCAATATAGTGTGTACAAATAGATATTTAAATATGTTAAAATATATCAAAAACAGCAGCAGATAAAGAATATCACACAGTGGGTGTTTGTCAGGTTTTGGTGTGTGTGGTCTACTCGGTGCAGTATTTGTTATTCAGTCTGACAGCAGCAGGAAAGAAAGAGCCTCGGTATCTCTCCATCACAGTCTGCAGGTGCAGCAGCAGTTATATGGTACATGTACCATAATATTACACTACTCTGGAACTGATCACGTCTGATGTGTGGAAATCTATACTACCGCCATTTTTATTCTCAAAAGGATTTAAACAGCTGGAAATGCAATAACTATACTCACATTTGGTCATTTGTTAAAGGGCACAGTCCGCTGACCTGAGGTTTAGAGCAGTTTATAGAGATTGAACTTACCTCCATGAGTTCAAACAGCAGACCAGGTTCAAGGGCAATAGTGAGGTCGTACTGAGCGGCATTTTTGCCTGGGATGGACGACAGGAAGGAGTCCCTAATGGCACACGCTCCCTCCACTGCCTCCTCCAGCCCTGGTTGTCTCCACACAGAGCTGCTTTTTATCCAGCCACTCTTGAACAATGTCTCCGCCTCTACACAAACACACAGTTTTTGTTAGAAAGCAAATGCAACCTATCTGCAGTCATGCGTAGACCTAAGGAGTAACTGCAGAAGTCGCACAACTACAAAAGCGACAGGCACATACTGTCATGTCCTGGCGCGTGTAGATAGACCTCCTCAGCTAGATGTGGCAGGATGGGAGCGATGGATCTGGTAACTCCATCCAGAACTTCCTCTAAAACAGTCTGGCATGATCTTCTGCCCAGTGAGTCCTCTGGGTCACAGTACAGCCTGATTTGAACATATGTCCGAGGTTAAAAGGTCATTTAAACACAAGCGTGCCTCTGATGTTGCTGCGGCAAACGTTTACCTGTCTTTGATGATACTGAAGTAAAAACTGGAGAGGTCTCTGGCGATGAAGGCCTGGAGGACACGGATGACCCTGCCGGCATCAAACTCACTGTAGGCGTCTGTAACCTGCAAACACAGACACAGACACACACACACACACACACACACACTAGCTCTTCAGTCACCAGCTCAAACTGTCTGGACGCAGAATAAGAAGTCATCACACCCCACAGTTACACACACCTTCATGCTGTATTCGCGGAGCAGGTGCAGCATGTACTGATCGATGTAGTGCATCTCTTTGGAGTCCACAGCCTGAGTGAGAGGGTCGAAGCCATGCAGGTTTCCCAGCAGGAACTTCAGAGTGTTCCTCAGCTGGGAGAGAAATCCAGAGGGAGAGAGAGGTCGTGAAGAAATGTGAAGAAACAGTGAAAACGCTACATTTTACTCCCTATTGCACTGTTACCTTGGCGATGCTGTCTCTGGCTGAGTTGAGTGCGGTGGGTCCAATCTGGACCTCAGAGAAGATGTTTGACTCTGCCACCCACCAACGCAGCACATCTGCCCCGTAGGCCGGTAAACCATTGTCCTGAGAAAGATAGAAGACATGAGAAGAAAGAAAGATGGAGGGGCGGTGTAGGAGAGACAAAAGCTAAAGCTGCAAAATTCGGAAAAAGCTGCTTTTTTTTTTTTTTTTGAATAACTGCCGAGACTAGACAAGGAATAAAACCAAAATTCCTTGAAACAATAAGAGACTTTCTCAAAGTCTCATTTCATTTCACCGCCTCTTCCATGATCTCACCTTCCCTCCATTAATGACTGTGTCGGGATCCACAACATTGCCCAGAGACTTGGACATCTTCTCTCCCTGCTCACTGATAGCAAAGCCATGGACCACCAGAGACCTACATACATGATTTATAGTTCATTATTTCAATTATGACAAATAAATTTAAAAAGTGGTTTAATTAGTATTTGTATGTATCGTTCGGTTATTGCCACATGCAACAGAATCCCCAACTTATGTGTGTGACTTTATTTGTGTTGTTCTTGGCGATTAGGCAGAAGCATCTTCAGCTTTTTAATCAAATAAACTTTAGTTAAATGAAGTTAAAATGTTGCTAAAACTATCTCAGTAAGTCTGAACTGATATACTTGTGGATAATAAGTGTGACTACATTACACCCTTTGTAGGCTTGTGATAGCAATGTTTACCAGATGCTTTTCTCCTTCAAAAATCATTGATTTCATTCATGCGTTTCCACTAAATTGCAATCTTTTATGTATTATAAATAAAGAATTATGTAATTTTCATAGAAAACAGGCCTTTTTCAGGGACTAAGAAATTAGTAAACCTCAATCTTTCCTGCAGCAATACATTTCTGAGCATTCAGAAATTATTCTGACCATTCACTATTTCACATTTTGTTATGTTGCCGCCTCACGCTAGAGACAGACTGGTTGGTCAGAGCTTCATCCGACATCGAGATAATGACCCAACACATTAGAGGAACAGAACCAGATGGAGGCTTCACATGATGAAGAGCAGCACACTCTCCAGACTTCGTTACAATCTGTAACTTTCCCACATTAAAATTAAATATTTTTGCGAATTTCACATTTTTAAAGTGAAACTGCTTTATTAGTTTATCTTTTTTAAGCCTGTGGTCCATTTGTTATGGGGAGGAGGACACCTGTGTGGATGAATGCTGAATGATCAGATCAAATTTTGTTCAAAGTGAAGATTCCATGATTCCTTTTTAAAATCTCCAGTTTTTATTTATTCTGTTCTTGAATTTCTGAAATAATGAGACGCTGAATCCTGTACATTCAAATAACAAAAGGAAAAATGGAGGTGTGCTTCAATCTTTGACCACTAGTCTGTATTGTCATGTTGGGGTCAATGTATTTGACACACACATTCAAAGCACATATACACAGTCATTTACAATCATCTGGTCGTCGTGCACACCGCAGCAAACGGATGGGTCACTCACTTGTAAGGTGCCTTGTTCCTCACAGCGACACTGGTGAGCAGCGACGACTGAAACCAGCCTCCAATCTGGTCCTTTCCCTCCACATAAGCATCCGCCCTGGGGTCTGACTCTGGAGGAGGGGTGGAGGGGTGGAGGAGGGAAGGTGGCGGAGACATGAGGGGCAAAAGAAAATCAATCAGTTCTACACTCACACCACAGGAAAAACTGGTGAAACAAAGGATTAGGATTTGTGAGGAATGTCTAGAAAAGACAGGAGAGATGAGCCGATGTTAGTGAGCCCACTGAGAGGTGACTCAATCAACATGCCTTGTCTCAATAGCCAAAAACAGCCAAACAGATGGTTATACATGTCGTACAGACAGCCGTTTAACAGACAGACGTTTCAGTCATAAACAGCTTTCAACCTCGTCCATCTCCAACCTGAATCTATTGACAGAGAAAACAAACAGCAGGGAGGAAGCACAGAGTTTGGGCCATCCCTGGGAAAAGAAACAAACTGCCAGTGTTCTCCCAAGAAAGATGCTGTGTCTAAATCCTGCATGCATGAGGAGAGGGGAGGAAGAGGGTGGGTTGAGATTCATGCTGTATCGATTTGAGGAGTTCTTTTTAATCTCCTTCTTCCACGTTTGGTTTTTCTTAAATACTCCTTAAAGCACATGCAAATGCTTTTGGATTTCATTTTCTGAATTGGAACAGAATGCCTGTTTTAAGTGACCAGACACCGGAGAGGTGCGGTGTTGTTCAGCGGTGGAGTGAAGATGAGAGATGCTCATCTGGCATCTAACTGACATCTTAGCCAACACTGTAAAACTTAATTAAAACATATCCAAGAGCATTTGAGAGCAAAAGGAGGAAGAAGAGGCCGAGTGAGACACAACAGGAGTAAGAGTCTGAGAATCAAAGACAGAGAGGGTCGAAGGCTGCTGTGCAGGCCACAGCAGGTGGATGGTCAAATAACCTGCGACCAGAGGTTTGCGGAGCGGAGCGGGGAGCCAGCTGAGACGTGACTCAGGCTCTTGAGAATCTCCCTCCATCTCCTCTGGAAATGAAAACACAAGCAAACACAGACAATGCAAAACACGTCCGCTGTGGCAAGTTATTTAATAACACATTCTGTCTCATGTCTTAAAACAGTAACGGCAACAATACAGCTCGAGGTTCCTGCAACATCCTGACTTGTTATAAGAAGACCGCTCCACTCGACAGCTACTGTATGCTAGCAGCTGTGTGTGAGGCTGTACTTTGGCACAGCTGTGCTGTGAGCTAAATGCTGTTAGCAGGTAAGCTGTTCACCTTGTCTGCCATCTTGGTGTAGCCTGTTAGCATTATTTAGCACTTGGCTTACATTAATTAGCACAAAGTGCAGAGGCAGATTGGAATATGATTTGTTTTGCAGGTTTTTTGTATTGGACAAATTAAAGGTAAAACAGTTAAGGGGGGTTCTGTAGTTTGCACTGTCGCCTCACAACAAGAAGTTTCTGAAGTTTCTAGGTTAGAACCCCGGTTTGGCCGGAAACGCAGTGATTCTCTTTGGAAATGTTCCTACACTGTGTGTAGGATGTTATGATCTGCACAGCTGCAGCTAGACTTGGTTATTTGAATATCTCTGCAGGTATATCTGCCATAAGAATTCCAGTTGTACTGTGTGTCAAGGAGAAAACACGTAGCACTGTGACCTGCTGAGACTGCACTGCCCTCTAATCCAGCTCTGTGGTCAACAAGCCTCTGCTTTTGCTTACATTACACTTTGCAAAGCAACTTAACTGGTGTGGGTGACTATGAGGTAGGTCTAAGTAGCTTTCTCTACAATAAACTAATTAAGGCAGACCTGATTAAAGGCATTTTGAAAGCTGGTGGTGATTGAAGTGAGGCGGAGACTTAACGGCTGCTACTCTTAGAACATGAGTGTCAGTGGAGAGAAACAGGTGTAGAGGAGCGGCATCACTGCATCACTGTACAGTATAAATACACAATCTGGGGCCGGTTTCACAGTTTGTACTTGGTCCGATCTGCATCACAGAACAGACTGAAGAAATCTGAGATGTACCTTCTAGTACAGCGGCCCATGATGCTCCGCTGTCAAACCAGATGTCCAGCACATCCTCTCCACGAATGTAGTCAGTCACTGGACCTGCTTTACTCTGAAAGGAATACACAGGTGAACAGTAATTAATTCATCAAACCGGATGAGTTTTAATAACTGATTGCTTAAAGCTACATTAATTCATTTTTGGCCACTGGAGGCAGGATAATTAAAACAGATTAACGGCCCTGACAGTATAGCACATTATCAAACACAAAGGTTGTTCAATTCCATTAAAGTATAAAAAATACAAGTAAAAAGCATAAAAAGAAAAGAGTATAAAAACACAAAGCATAAAATAAGTAATATCTAATTTAAGTGCAAGATGAACATTTGAGAGATATACTGTATCTAGGGCCCGGGCCATTTAATNAACTTAACTGGTGTGGGTGACTATGAGGTAGGTCTAAGTAGCTTTCTCTACAATAAACTAATTAAGGCAGACCTGATTAAAGGCATTTTGAAAGCTGGTGGTGATTGAAGTGAGGCGGAGACTTAACGGCTGCTACTCTTAGAACATGAGTGTCAGTGGAGAGAAACAGGTGTAGAGGAGCAGCATCACTGCATCACTGTACAGTATAAATACACAATCTGGGGCCGGTTTCACTAAGATATCTCAGACTGGTCTGTTGTGTTGGTCCAGTCTTCATGTTGCTCACAGATTTGTCTAATGCAAGTCAGACCGTTTCACAAAAAAAAAGACTGACTCATTTTAAGCCAGAAAACACACATCCTACCCCCCCCCCAGGTTAACTCAGGTCACAGACCAATGTCACCATGGTAACAATTAATGACACCTACACTGAGCAGTAGCACCCAAAAACAAAAAACAGGAAAACATGGCTCATAATTTGAGGTTTGCTACGATTGCTATGGAGAGAGAAATGATAAGGGAAATAGTTTTTAGACACTGCAGCCATTTCTTTCCAAATCTGATTTTTTTCTTTTCTTTTTTTTTTTTCTTTTGAAAAAAGTCTTAATTTACCCAGCATTCAGTGCACCACAGTCTGGCTTAAGATAAATCAAGAACTGAACTGCTTTGTGCAACGGATGAATTCAGACGTCTATCTGAAGTCTGACTGTTTGTTCGATCTGAGACGTTTGTGAAACTTGCCCCTGATATCAGAGGCGTCACTTTCTTTGCAGCTGTGGACAGTTTTCACATTTTCTTTACTGAGCAGGATCGTTACTAATGAAAGGCGTGTAACTTGTATTAGGATTCACAATACATCACAGATGCTGATTCAGTTTCAGATCAGTTTGTACTTGGTCCGATCTGCATCACAGAACAGACTGAAGAAATCTGAGATGTACCTTCTAGTACAGCGGCCCATGATGCTCCGCTGTCAAACCAGATGTCCAGCACATCCTCTCCACGAATGTAGTCAGTCACTGGACCTGCTTTACTCTGAAAGGAATACACAGGTGAACAGTAATTAATTCATCAAACCGGATGAGTTTTAATAACTGATTGCTTAAAGCTACATTAATTCATTTTTGGCCACTGGAGGCAGGATAATTAAAACAGATTAACGGCCCTGACAGTATAGCACATTATCAAACACAAAGGTTGTTCAATTCCATTAAAGTATAAAAAATACAAGTAAAAAGCATAAAAAGAAAAGAGTATAAAAACACAAAGCATAAAATAAGTAATATCTAATTTAAGTGCAAGATGAACATTTGAGAGATATACTGTATCTAGGGCCCGGGCCATTTAATGACTTGCAGGCAACAAGTAAAACTCTAAATTAAAATCTGACTGGAAGCCTAACATCCAGCCTGACTGGAGGAGTCATGTTAACTCTTTTCTTCGTGTTAGTAAGAACCTGAGCAGCAGCATCTGAATAAGCTGTAGCTGCCTAATGGTCTTATATGGTGAACCAGTGAGGAGAATATTGCAATAGTCAACTCTGGAGGATATAAAAAGGCATGAACGAGTTTCTCCAAGTCTTGTTTAGACACAAAGTCTCTGACCCTAGCTAAGTTTTAACATGCCAAAATGCAAATTTTCTGTCAAAATACAAGATCGCCCTCCATGATTACACCCAGATTTTTAACATGGGTTGAAGTCTTTAGTGCCTTAGACTCCAGGTAGGCACTACGTTGAAACCTTCCTTCTTTGTTCCCAAATAGAACTATCTCTGAAAAGCCTCTGAAATCACATCCATCAAATTAAAAAGGGATTACACCGCCCGTAGCCCTCATTTATATCATGGCCCAGTTTCATCGGATGTATCACTGACACATGTCCAAACCCTCACCTTGATCCTAACTCACCATCACATACAAACACTAACACACATATTCTCACCTTCTTGAGGACCTCTGCTGGCAGCAAGGTCTCAATGGGAAGCTCCCACCAACAGTCGCTGCCCTTTTCTTTGAAGAGTGTTGCTATGTGGGACACTGTGTGTCTGCAGAGGCCGGAGACAGGGAAGAATGTTTAGTGAGGAACAGATATTGTGTGTGTGTGTGTGTGTTTGTGTGTGTGTGTGAGATTTTCTTGTTGATCTGTAATATCTCTGATAAAAGTGAGCGTGTGTGAAAATATGTGTAAAAGCCTGTTTGTCTGCATGTGTGTGTTGCGTGTCTTACTTGTTGACGAGAGCCTCTCCAGTCTCTTTGTGGTAGAAGACTGGGATCGGGACGCCCCAGCTTCGCTGTCTGGAGATGCACCAGTACGTCCGTCTGTCCAGCATGGCCAGCAGGCTGCCCTTCGCCGACTCTGGCAAAACACGCACCTTCTGCAGCACCTCCTGGACAACCGCACACACGCACACACACACACACACACACACACACACAGGAAACAAACTGTAAATGTGAAGCAAGTACCTTCCTGGAAACATTCCCCTCTTGAAAAAAAATTTACAAAGCATCGCTTTCAGTGTACCAGGAACAGCAAACAGGAACTCAATAAAAAGGAGTGTGACGGTAACATGGCTGTCCAGCTCACCTTGGCTTTGTCTTTGAGTGATGCTGTGTTGATGAACCACTGCTTACTGGGCCTGATGATAACGGGCTGCTTTGTCCTCCAGTCATACGGGTAGCTGTGGACACACTTCTCCTCTTTCACCAGAGCGCCACACTCCTTCAGCATGGAGATCACTACCACAGGCAAACAGACAGAAAAACAGACACAGATACAAGACAATATTTAACTAGAATCACCTCCTCGTGGTCGTCTGCCTCCGTCACTCAGACTCGTTCCATGTCACATCCCTGTTTATCCAGAGTCATAGAGAATATCAACCATTTGTGTGAAATTATGTGTGAATTATGTGTGAAGTTTGGAGTAATGGCTAAGAAGTGTTTTCTGAGGTCACCGTGACCTTGACCTTTGACCTTTGACCACCAAAGCCTGATGAGTTGTTTCCTTGAGTTGACATTTGTGCAAAATTTGAAGGGATTCCCTTGAAGAGCTATAGAGATATCACGTTCACAAGGCCAAACGAGGTCACCGTGACCTTTGACCTGAAAATCTAATCAGTTCGTCCTTAAGTGAACATTTGTGGCAAATTTGAAGACGTTCCGTCAAGGCGTTAATGAGATATCGTGACCACAAGAACGGGATGAACGGACGTATGGACGACCCCGAAAACAATATGCCTCCGGCTCTGACTGTCGTCGGGGCGGAGGCAGAAAAAATATGAAACACTAAAAGCCCTCGCACATGAGCTACAGGAGAGCGTTATGTCCTGTTCTCACACAGTCATGCTGCACCTTTGTCAGTGCCTTCTCTCATCACGGACAGATTGTGTAGATCTGGTCCAGCTGACTCGGTGAACTTGCCGTCCTCGTCCACTATACACTCCTGAGGCGGAAGCGAAACATACACACAGTTACAAAGAGTTGCAGGCACGTTTCACCAGGTTCATTCAGGATGTCAGCAACATAATGATACCAAAATAATCATAACTAAAAGCAAGTCCATATTACTGTTAGAGATTTGTATTCATTAACCTGAATTTATCATAATATTTGAACCTTGTGTCATGTAAATTTTTAAATACATATATGGCTTGTAACATCATCTCTTATATTAAAAAAAACCTCTATTACAGCTCCAATTTCATCTATAAAATGTAAAGAAATGAACAGAGAAATGCAGAAAATCCTTACACTTAAATAACACAAAAAATAACTGAAACAATTATTTGATTGACATTTTTTTTTTCTTCTATTGACCAACTAATCATTTCAGCACTAAATCTTATGGCCACTCAACACAACATATCTGTGTGGAATACACTGTGAACTATAAGGGACAATGGTGTGAAAGGTCCAACAGGTCCTCTTAATAAAACAGAACATACCACAGACAGTTTATACTGAGAAGCCACACTGTAATCCTCCATGCCGTGAGCCGGCGCCGTGTGGACCAACCCTGTTCCTTTTGCCATAGTCACGTGATTAGCCGGCAACAGCGGCACTTCCTTGTCAGGAATTGTGGGGTGTTTGCAGACCCCGCCCTCAAGCTGGGAGCCTTGGAGGAGAAAGACAGCGGACGTTTGCATTGTTGTTTCTGTAACTGACAAGACAAGACCTCCAGGCTGTTGTGTGTCAGTGTGTGAATGAGTGCGTTACCTGTGAAGGTGCCCACACTCTCCAGCTCTGTGCCCAGCAGTGCTGCCACGCTGGCTGTGCGCTCCGTGGCCACCAGGAGCAACTGAGAGTTATCCGCCCTCTTCACAACCGAGAACAGAGCGCCGATGTTCCACTGCAATTAAAGATTACGCTTTTATTTCTTTTCTTTTTTTTTTTTTAATTAGAAAACATCACTTCACTGTTTCTCAGCTCCCATTAATCCTCAAAACAAATTCACTGCAGCAACAACTAAAAGAGCAAGAGGCAACGTTGCAACGTCCTCTTTGGGACAGAACTAGAATCTCCTCCTCGTGGTGGTTTCCTCCAGCCAAGCTGTAGGACACATGCTCACAATCTCTCCTTCTGTTCCTGAGTCACAACACTGAATAATGACCAGAAGTGTTTTTGCAGAACATTATGATGTCACAGTGAAGTTGACCTTTGACCATTTGGATATAAAAAGTCATCACTTCATTTTATCCTTATAGACATTTGAGTTAAATTGTGTCATGTCAGTGAATGAATTTGTGAGGTCACAGTGAGACAGAAGTGATGAAGTTCCCTCTGGGCGTTCCTGATATATTGTAATCACAAGAACATGAGGTCACAGTGACCTTGACCTTTGACCATCAAAATATAATCAGTTCACCTTTGAGTCCTAGTGAATGTTTGTACCAAATCTAAAAAAAATTGTGCCAAATATGAAGAGTTTGAAGTTCCTTCAAGGCGTTACTGAGATATCACCTTCACGAGAATGGGACGTACGGATGTGTGGCCGTGCCCAAAACCCAAAAACATACTGCCTCCGACTCTGGCTGTCGCTAGCGTGGCGGCATAAAAACAACCCAGGGTGGATGGGAAATATGGTTTGGGTTTCTGGAAAATGGCACATCAGTAAATGTAATGCAGCTGTTCAGATAATTGATTAACTGTTTAAATTTTTAAGGAAAATGCCAAAAAAAAACAAAAAAAAAAACGCAGCTTCTCAACTGTGAATATTTGCTGGTTTACTTGGTCTTCTATCATAATTAATTGAAGATTAATTGTAATTACTATTTTTCATTATTTTCTGATGTTTTGTAATGTAAACAGTTTCAGTTTCAGTGTAACCTTTTTTGGTGGCGGGGGTACTCACTGGGCATTGGGCATGTAGCATATGGCCTGGTTTGCAGGAATGGTCCAAGGCTGGGTGGTCCACACCAACACAGAGACACTTTCCAGACCTGCTGAGGCACACGTGCACCCACACACAATGAAGAGCTTGGACAATGTGTCAAAAAGCTCTGAATTGAATGTGTGTGTGTGTTTGTTTTACCTTTCTCTGAAGCTATCTCCGCTGGCAGTGTGATCAGGGGAAATGTGGCGTAAATGGCTCTGCTCACATGTTCGGGGTTGTACTCCAACTCTGCCTCTGCTAGGGCCGTTCTACAGACGCAGATCAAAGTTTACAAGAGGTTATTAAATGGTGATGGAGACTAGAAAAATTAAAATGTAACGAGCATATCAACTCAGTACTTTGATGAAGGAGACCAGAAGATCGGCTTGTAGTCCTGATAGATGAGTCCCTGCAGAAAAATACAGTGGAAAAAACTGTCAGTCTCGATTCCATTTCTTTGCTCACAGTTGTTTCCCTGTTGGTTTTATATTGTTACAACAACTGCTAATGTTACTAATTAGTGAACAGATACTAAGCATTTTAAATGTGTTTATGAATCATGGCAAAAAACACTGAGTGAATAGCAAATGGTTGTTCACCTTGCTGTGCATTTCTTGGAAGACTTTCAGCTGAGCAGCCTCATAGGCCCCATCATAGGTGTAGTAGCACTGGTCCCAGTCAGCCATCACCCCCCAGCGCTGGAAAGCAGCCTTCTGACGAGCTATGGCCCTCTCTGCAAACTCCCGCGCTGGATGAGACAGAAAGAAAACATTAGAGCGGCTGCTAATCTGATAGTGCTCATGTTCAGGCAGTTATCCGTTCTTTCTAACCTTTCTGTCTGATCTGTAGCGGACTCAGGCCGCTGGTCCCCAGCTCTCCGAGAGCCTTCAGCTCGATGGGCAGGCCGTGGCAGTCCCAGCCTGGGATATAGTGGACCTGCCGCCCCCTCAGCATCTCAAAGCGGTTACGGATGTCCTTTAGGATCTGTGTAAAGAAAGATACAATTAACTTAATAACTACTTTGCAGTGTTTGAGCTGTCAGCGCTGCCAGAAAGCTTTTACTTTTAAACTACATCATGCTGCAGTTGTCAGCAGAAGTTAAATTACAATTCAATCATTATTATTTGCTATACCATAACAGTATGAAATTAACTTAAATATAAAAAGAACACTGTAAATAAAATACCTTATTGAGTGCGTGTCCAACATGAGGGTCTCCATTTGCATACGGGGGTCCATCATGAAGGCAGAACTCCTTCTTGGCCTTCCTCTCTCTCTGCCAGGAGTACAAATCTGCAAATCCACACTCCTGCAACACACGGAAGAGGAGAGTTTTTATACTGTCAACATGACAAAAAACAAAACAAACAAAGCATCATAATGAAGGAGTTGTCTGTATCAGGTTAGGATTTGTGTTATTAAAATATAAGTGTGCACACACACAAACTAGAAGTGATACGTCAGAAAAGTGACACACAGTATTTGTAGTCTGCATAATCCAGATTCATGTCTGTTGAGGGACATTTCTTGGAGATAGGATAAAGCAGAAGAGAGGAGAGTGATCCCTACTGTACCTTCTGTATCTCGAGTTCTCGGTCCAGCAGCTTCTGCCCGGTCAGTTTCATTGGGAACTTAGTCCGGGGAAGCAGCACTGTATCTCGGTACACTCCCTGAGCAGAACCCGTCTCTGCTGGCTGAGCGCTGCCTTCTCCTGAACTCACACCATGACAGCGGCTGGAGCTGAAGGGGAGAGCCTGGTGGAGGAGGCCGCCTCTCCGATGTGACCTCCGTCCCCATCTCGCTAGCGCGTGGCTCACTGCCGAAATGCGGCACAGCAGCATGGGGAGGTGAGGCAGCTCTGTGGCCACACAACTGAAGAAAAACCACAAATAAACTGAAAGGTGTGTGGTTGTTTTTGTTGTAACAGTATACAGGTATCGTGCCGCTGTGTTCCGCCCTTCTTGGAGAGCTGTGTTTCTTCCGGAAGGAATTACAGAGAGGACAACTACGGAAACACAGCGGGGTCTTTAGTAATCGCGCTTTTAATTGTAATGTCGCGAAAGCGGTCACTGGAGGGCGCTATTCATCCGTCTTGAAGGGCACCAGTAATGAGCTTTTTTCTGCAGGCGTGCACACATTAACAGCGATATCAACAAGAATATTATTTTTATTGTATTTTTCTCATAGATACGGACATCAAATATACGATTATACATTTTAATATAGTAATACTTCTTTATATGTAAATATTATAGTGTTTTTTTTATGTTTGTTTTAGTTTTTTTGTTTTTTCTTCTGTGGTTTTTTTTATAAGCAAGCCTGACCGAGATAGTGTCAGAGCATAACACTAGCACGTTAATGTACCACTAGACACACAATGACTATTGTGGTGGACAGTTCAGTGCCCATTTTAATGATTAATGCAATTCCTAAATCAAAGACATGGGGGAATAACTCGATTTTGTAAATTAGAGTCGTTCTCATGCTCTAAACTTTCAATAAATACAGGCTTTTCCCGACAGCACCCGAATGTATCATGGTATGTCCTGCAGCAGGTGATATTGAGTTTAGTTGATGATGTCACAGGCGCATAAAGAGCGCAGCTGCACCTCGTTTCATGTACTTATTCTCAGGACCTGAGCGGAGCAGCGAGTGCAGCCCTTCTTCACGCGCCACGCCAAGATGAATAAAATGTGTATAACTTACATTGGAGTTCTCCTGCTGACTCTCCATCTCTCATCACAGGTTAGTTTGTACTATTGGTTTGTGTTGAACTTGAAAAGGGAATAACTGTAATTTGTAGGAGTAAACCAGTTTTTGTGCCTAAAAGGGGACAAAATGTTCAAGTTTAGGGCAACGCAGGGTTTTTTGTTTTTTTTCCTTCCTAACAAGCCTTCCTAACAAGGTCTAACGTGGCCTTCACTTCCAATTAAATAATATCACTAGCTATAAACTAGTGGTGTTAAATGTTTTTTTTTTTTTTTTTTTTTTTTTTTTTTCTTATTAGGTATTTAGAAGAACACCTCGGCACATAAAAAACACATTGTAACATAATGCAGTGTTATTTAACACAAGTTTCTTAAAATCTTTTTATTGGTAAAATTTCAAGAACTAAGATTCTGAACTTATTCCATAAAGTAACAAACTGAACTTAATACTTATAGCACAAATCCTGTCATGTGAAACACGTATCACTTCTCTTAAACGGTTCACGAAGAGCTCCAACAACTTAGAACCCGTTGGATGTCTTGGATTTAAAATGTATTTGACATAAAAGCTAAAACAAGGCCGTCTTAAGTCTCAAGCATTGTTTTCATGTGGCTGTATTTGAAGATGATTGATGCGTTTTTAGGGTGAAATGAAGTAGTTTAACCTGCTGGTGAATGCGCCTCTGTGGCATCCTGTCTGCGCCCATAGGAACGCCCAAGTTGCTTATAGAGTTAAGTGAGTTTTCTACAGTCCTGCCTGAACTTCTATAATGAACTGGAAACGATGTCATCTTTTTATTACAGGTGGTCCGAACCCAGAACAATAACGGGACCACGACCATGCCCAATATCACCATGATGACCCCCAGGAGCACGACGGCCAAAGACAAAAACGGCTGCGAAAACATCGCCGGCCTCACGCTCCTGGTGCCGCTGGCGCTGACGGTCTCTGTCCTCCAAGGTTGGTCCCCGTAACCGGACTGATGGCTCTCCGTACTGGACACCACCATCAAGGCTGGACCTGGGGGGGGGCGCGATGTTTTTTCACGAGTACTTCCCCCTCTCAACCCCCTGTCAAACATGTGGATTTAAAAGGTGGGACGCACCTTGGTGTCGCACCTAGGCTTGTCCCAAGGGCTTCTTGGTTTAAGGGGTTCTTGGGAATGAAAATTTTCCTTTGTCCGGCAAGACGCTGGTCTCTTGAGGCTTTCTACTGGTGGTAGTTTGGAGGCGTTAACTAATGGCCCTTTGAGGCACTAAAAAAAATCATGTAACTTGATATTTTTAAAAGTCATTTGTAAACACATTTAGAAGATTTTGTATTACAAATACTGGAAATAAGTGACTACTGTAAATGTTGTGCTTTTTAGATCTTGAATTTTGTAAGCTCAATAAAGCTCTAAATTGTAAGTGACATGATGGAACTGGTGACTAGTTTATTTGCAAATGTGTAACAAGAGGAAGGGGTTGCAGTATTTTGTTTCTAAGGCAAAACTTGGGCTACATGTAAATTTCATGCCTACATTTTAAAATTTCCAACTCAACTAATTAACAAGGCCTCACACAACTTCAGTGTGTAGACTGACGGTTTATAAAATTGAGTGTCGGTGTGTATAAATCCCCCTCGGCTTATCCAGATCCCCTTTTTTCTGTTCTCCTAATCTGTTTTGGTAAATGTGTCAATGCTGGCACGCTTGAGAAACCATACTGTGGTTGACTGGAAACCTCAGAATTTGTCAATCTAATGCAGCCTGTAGGAAATTAAGAAAGCAGTTTGGCATGTTGCTGTGTTCATTTCCACCTTTTTTTTTTTTTTTTTTTTTTTTTTTTTTTATTTAAATTGTGGTGTTCCTGGTGCAGTAAATGTTGAGTTGATGCACAATGGGCTTAATTGAGGTATTGGAGATTCATTTCAAATGTCTTCAGTTGGTGGTAAAAGGTCACTAACCATGAGTGAATTTAAAGGCTGGTGAGGCCTGCCTCCATTCATCTGCTGCAGGGTCTCCATCAAAGGGCCCCTCTCTGTGAAAGACTGCTGGAATTCACCTGTAGCCCCTACACTCACTCTTTATCTCTGTGGCAACCACATCCCACGCTGCTTACATGACAAAGGCTGAATTGTTCTGCTCATCTTATCTGCTCCAAAGGTAAACTTAGATCAGGACCTTTTGCTCTGTCCTGTGTGTGCCCCCCCCCCAAATCAGGTACCTCCAGCTTTCACAAGTTAAAGCTAAAGAGGCCTTACAGAGCAAAGCCACGTTCCTGCACACAGGCATGAAAAGGTAATGCCACTGTGGTGTGGTCACATGATCAAGAGAGGAGTTCTCCTTTAGTTGACCGCCAGAGTGTGACCACTTAAAGCCGCCGCACCCCCCTCCCTTCCTGCCACTCCACTCTTCTCCTCCTGTCCCACCAAAAACATAAGTAGAAACCCGAGTTTGGGTTTAGGTGTTTGTTTGCCGGGAAGGGAGCAAATACGAGAGGGGGAGAGGGGGTCAGGGAGAGGTGAAGGACACTCCAGAGCTTTCATCGCTGAGCAGTGCAGCCCCTTCACCTGCCCTCAGTCTCGCTCTTTTCCCAGCAGGATTCTGAAACAATATGGTTGCAGTCTCTGTTAAGTGCTTCAGCATCATTCACTAAATGACCACACAAATTTTCAACATTACTTTCAGAACCAGTTTTATCCTTTAACACATATTCAACATAGTGTCACTGAGTCTAAACCAACAGGCCAGGGTTTGATAGTCATCAATGAGCGAAAGGTTTATCACCCGCAAGCATCAGCAGCTTGATGCTTGCATCGACATTGTAATTGTGAGCATGTTAGTATGACTACTTTAGCGCCCAACTCAAAGTTTGCTGTGTCTAAATACTGCCTCACAGAGCTGTTAGCACAGCTGTAAATGTCCTCAACTAAATTTACATTAATTTATCTGCAGTTTTCATTCACTTTTTTTTTTTTTTTTTTAATTTTCAAACATTTAATTGTTAATGATCCTTTTTTCCTTACATGTATCTCTTACAGTTTGGAGGTGATGGACAGGTACCACCTGCTAGAGACAGAAACAGAGGGAGAGAGTAAAATAAAAGTGCACCAGCTTGAGCATCCACTACAATTCCTCAAAGTAACCTTCAATGCCATTTAGCTCTGAAAAGAAAGTGGCATGTTATTTGGAATTTCTGAATGACAAGCATCTGAGATAAACATGAACTAAACTGAGTGACCAAAACCTCACCTTTGAGTCGGGTGGACACAACCCAGAGAGAGACTGTCAGACTGTCAGCTCTGTCAACAAGAGGAAGAAGAGAGAGGAACACTTCCCACTGCTCTTTCCAGCCTATATAAGGACATAAGAACCTATTTCCTTAGCAAAATAAAAGTCATAAAAACCGAGAATGTGACATATATTGTCAGACTTCTTAGACAAAGTACTCTATTTACCTGGGAAAAAATAACTTCACAGAGGAAGCAGTATGTCACAGCCTGAGGGAAAACAGAGCCCAGTTGCTTCAGAACCATTTGTTCTCATTTGTTTTTTTTACGTTCTGGTCAAACCACGGTCATACTAACAAAGCAAATTTTTCAAAGTCAATTAAATGCTGATTTATTGATTTAAAACAACTTATGCACTACAGATTCAGACCTCCAACAACCTGTGTGGGAAAGAGAGAAGTAGTAATGTTGTACAGTCATCCACTGAATGGTTGTGTGTGTTTGAAAGAGAGAGAGAAATAGAGAGAGAGAGACAGAGAGAGAGAGAGAGAGAGATGGAGAGATTGAGATCTAGTTTCAAAGCCTAATGTGAGCTTAGTGGCTGCAATGAAAAGGGACAGGGAGCAACTCCCCCAATTTTTTTTTTAAGCTGCATTTATCTCAACTGCAACTGCATGTAAAGGAGAAGCTCAATTTTACTTTGACTTTGAGGAACATATTGATGTTGATCACTTGCATTTCCCTGTGCTTCCCTGTCATTCAGGTAGAGGATGTAGTGACAGCACAACAGGAACAACAACATATTTTTAGAGATTTCAAAACCTTATGTGTGTAATTATGAATCCTGCTGTACCGATATGAGACATCATGGCATGCATCATTGCTTCAGGGAAGTTCAGATATGCTCTATCACCACATCCTGTACAAATGCGGAACTTGAGATATAGTTCAAAGAGGATAAACATAATAAATTAGACTGCAGCAATAGCAAACTGAAGCTAAATCTGATTGTGTTCAATAACGGTCAATAGACTGCCTCAGTTTTTGTAAAGTTTGTGCTTAGATGAATCACACTGACACACCAGTAGTTGATGCTTGAAATTCTTTGTTTGTTTGACCATCAAGTATCTACGGTCTAGGCCACTATCATCTGAACTGAGGTCAGCTTCATGAATTCATGACCGAACAGGAAACGTGCTTTATGCTAATAAGACCTCTCTTTTGTTAAAGGTTTATAAAGTCTACAATAACTCAGTACAAGCATCCATCCATCCATCCATCCATCCATCCATCCATCCATCCATCCATCCATCCATCCATCCATCCATCACAAGACTAACACTGATCCTATGCAACCAAAAGAGTTAATCTTTGGAAGGTGCAGAAAGCTGCAGGAACCATCCTATGTGTTTGGGAAGTCCCAAAGAAGGGGGTTGATTTATGGTGCTGTCAACCTACTCTCATATATTGAAATAGATAAATATAGATATGAGATATACCTATATTTTCAGCTTGATAGACACTGGTTCATTAGTTACACCTTTAAACTCTCTTTTCACACATGACAACAAGACATTAAATAATATGGTCAGTTGGCAGTTTTGGTGTTTCTATTATCTATTATTATACGTCTCATAGGGAGCAGGCCTGCTACCACGAGGACCAGAATTATGGAGACATGGCTTATGTGAGGAGTCTGTGTTTCACTGAGATTTCATTAGCACATCCTACTCTGTCAGCCGTGAGCAAGGGTGACATTTACGTAATGAACACAGAGATCAGGATCAAATGAGAGGCACTGGAAAGAGCTGGGCAGGTGGGAGGGATAGAGTGAGGATGAAAGAGGGCAGAAGGGGATACCACACAAATCCACACATCCGGAGGGGAGAATGTCAGAGGGAACAAGAGCCCCACATGGGCTCTCTGCACTCTAACATGTGTTTGTGTATATGAGATGTTGAAAACAACAAAAGGTAGCTCAATAGAAGTGACTGATCACTTATCACATTTCAGTGATCACACTGGTTTTCCTTTTCAAATACCCACGTTGAAGGCTGAATAGAAGCCATGTTGTAACAATCTTGAATGATGATGACCAGTGCTACGACCTTCTCTGTCATGGAAGAGGAGCTTTAGCAAAATTCTAATTACACATTACTCAACCAGACAGTTTAGAATTTGATAATAGCATTTCACTGTTTTCTTAAAAGAAAAAATATGTACCATTAAAAATAATACACTTAATAAACATTCAAGATATTTTAAATACAGCACAACCACAGATAGATGCTTTTTGTTGTACTCAGCCTGAGTCACCCCTCTTTAAACTGATACAGAACAGATTTTATGCTAAAGGCAGGCATGCTAACTGCAAGCTAATTGTAACAACACTGAGCTGAGATTCCTGGCTACCATAAAATTAGGTAATGGTGGCCCTGGTCTTGAATACCACCACACTTCACGAATCATTTGTCATGTCATTTTTGGCTGTAATTTTATTTTCTCACAAGAGACTTAATCTGTCAGTGCAGTTATACAAATCAATTTGTTTTAAGATTTTTTTTCAGCCTAAGTCCTTCTTCTTCCAAGGTAAGGACAACAATTTATAAAAGATTTTAGAATTTTTATCTATTAGGAATAGGATGTAAAATTTAGATGTGTTTAAAACTTTTTTTTTTATGAAAACAAGGTTTTTAGACAAAAATTTCAGTGCACACTATAAAGTAGCATTGTTGAATGTGAGCTGAGCTTAACTACCATGCTTTACCAAACACAAAAAACAATGAAGTTGTCAGAGTGATGTGAGGTAACGTAATTATGTCAAAACCTTTCTGCAACACAGAAGTATGTTGCCATCCTCCTGGTGTTGTCTCAGGCAACCCGATATATTGAAATTTAACGCATTTATGTGACGATGAGAAGTAAAAAGAGGAAGAACAGACCTGTCAACAGTAGGAAATCACATAATTGTGTTAATTTGTCAGTTATGCAGTGTTCAGAATGTAGCCTACAGCTTCAATATCAGTCATTCATTCATAAAAAAGGATGGCATTTATAACATGCTAACTATTTTAAAGATCCACGCTTTTGCACAGACCCCATTGATACACAAAAAAACAACAAAGAAACAAACAGCAAAGCATTCATGTAAACGTATCCTCTTGTGCTCTTTTTTTTGAAAACTCTACTGAGTTACAGTATCAGGATTAATCATGAACACTTGGACCAAGTATTGATTCCCTCCTGCAGGGAAATGGGTCAGGAGTATGTGGAACTGGAGTCAACTGTGAGCAGGTTATTGTGGGCTCTGTAAGCACTCAGCGTAGCACCTTATTTTAGGCCAGTTTCCAGAACTACAATTGGCTGACTGGATTGATTTCACTTGAATTGATTCCAGCACTTTAATGTGGTGAGTCTTAGTATTTCAGGGAAAATATCTGCTTGAGCCAAAATGGTTCTAAGAGTCTGTGTCATGTTTGGTCATGCAAAGTTGTTATTCATTTCAATTTCATGGAAATGGACCAACGTGTTTTTCTTCTCAGACACACACTTGCAGAAATATTTGTTTAGTGTTTTCATAACTTTCAAAATGTCTGCACAATTTGTCAACCTGTAGGGACTGGAGAGGGAAATTTGAGACAGGGTCTAGACTTGTGACATAGATAATGCCAAACGGTGTGTGTCGCATGTGAGATTAGCCGACCTCTTTACAACCATGTTCTGGAAATGTCAGGAAAAATCAAGTGAATCTGCCAGAAAGAGGACAAAAATGTTATATTAAGAAGTAGAATAATAATTTCTTGACAAGCATAGGAACTAATGCATAAATCTATCTCAGCCATCAAAGATCCTGCGTAGACCTGCTGTGAAAATCTACTTGAAAAAGCAGCATCTGATATAAAACAAGCAAACTGTTATTTGTAAATTTTGGTGGTTTTGGTTTCTTGCCGGGAGCAGGTGGTGGTGATTGTCACTTGACAAGAGGTTCAGCCATTGATGTCTTCATAATACAAGATAAAATATTGGAGGCTACAGTGAGTCGCTATCAGAAAGTGGGGGCTAGCAGGCGTAACTGGTTAGCGTGCTAACTTCACGAGAAGAAAAGCATTTGAGACAGCTCTTGGTAAGCAAAGAAATAAAGTTTGATGTTGAACTCACAACGTTCCTTCTAGACTGGTAAATAAACAGCTGTTAATGCTAATGTTGGCCATGTAGCATAAGCAAAACTTAGAAATAGCTCCTGTAAGATGAATGCTAATGTTAACATGTTCACAGTGACAGTGTTAATCTGCTGATGTTTTGTAGGAATAATGTTCATCATGCTAATTATCTCAGTGTGTTAACGTGCTAACATTTATTAATTATCACTTAACACGGAGCTGGTACAGCTGAAAAGTCGGAGGATCACCAAAGTCTCTAGGATTTATCTTCTGGGGATCACAAATGTACACAATATAAAGGCAATCCATCTTATTCTTGTAGGGATATTTCAGTCTAGTGGAACAACTGACCATCCAAAAGACTGACATTGCCATCCTTGAGGCCACTCTGATAGCATGGCTAAAAACCTCCTATCAACAAGTTAACCGATGCAAGATTAACACATTTTTAGCAGAAAATGTGTCATCTTGACTTGTCAACAGCGCTTAAGAGAAGTTTCAGTGCCTTCACAATGACTAAGTCAATCCAATATAAACAGTGCATGCATGCATGAATGCATGGACGCATGATAAACACCACTGTCAAAGTAAATCGCCCAACTTGCAATTATTCAATAGCAATAGTTGCACCAACAGACAACAAATGCAGAAGCATTTAACTGTTTGAATACCACATCCCTCCAGGTAAAGTGTGAAGCATGTTGCACAATAAAGAGGTTTTCACATGCTGCAGTTCTTTTCAGTCCATCAAGGAAAGTTCAAGCTACTACAGCATGATCGATAGATAACCCCACTGATGAAATCCCCAAAAGGCATTTTATAAGTAAACAATGTCCATAATGGTTAAACCATATGTCCATTGTCCATATGTGCCTGTAATTAGTGACTTTGTCAACAGGTGTGTCCTTGTGTCCACAGTTCTCTTTATACAGCTGAAGTCTGCTCCCGTTCCACCATTCTTGTGTCATTGCTGCCCTCGCTAGAGTTTCCACAATCACTGATGGAGGGAAACCCAACCCTCTGCTCGATCCACTGAGCAACACTGAGCATCTTCCTGTCTTGGGCGGCACGGCCAACGAGCTGTAAGCCAATGGGAAGACCTCGTCTTGATAATGCGGTTGGTACTGAAACAGCAGGGAGACCTAGGGTAAAGAAAAAAAAAAAAAAAAGAGTTGAAAAACGGTACATGGAAAGGCAATGATTGGGATCCCATGGTTAGTCTGGAGAGTGATAAAAGGCAGGAGAAAGTTTAACTGAATGTAAACACTCCCTTAAGTGTCATACAACAAGTATGATGCAATGTGCCTTTGTTACAGGATGGAAGGTCAGAGGAAGTGGTAACCACACTGATGTCATTTTAGGTTTTCAGTTCCAGCTGTGCATGGGTACATAGTGTGTGTATCCACGCATGCAGAATATACAAATTCATGAATCCTCCTACACTTCCTTTACATGCATGAGTGATGCCACAAGTACTTTTTTTCCTCTGTACCTGCCATGTTGACGGGCTGGGTGAAGACATCTTCCTGCGCACTGCGTGTTCGGTTGTCTTCCTGTTTGAAGTCAGAGTAACGGGCTGCATCAGTCAGAGTGGTGGGTGTTAGCAGCATGTCAACACCTGAGCTGAACACATGCTTGAAATCGTCCGCTATCAGCCGGCGGACTCTCTGGGCCTTAACAAAGTAGTGCTGGTAGTTCCTGGCAAAATGAGGGTGATCATGTCAGTCAGTTAATCCTGGCTGTTTTGGAAATGTTACAGCTCCACCAGTTCATTTTATTCTCTCTTAAATTGAAAGAAGGACAAAAGTACTCATAACTGTAGAGACTGATGATAACAGAGATCTGAGAGCAGAGAAAAGGTCAAAGAGATAAAATGACACCGTCAGCTATAGACTGGTTTGAACCCAGGGGAACTGAAGTACAATGGTGTGAGAAGGTTCACTCTGTTGTCTTACTGTTTAAGCAGGAAGTAGTTTCCGGACAGAATCCTCCCTCTCACTACATCATTGAAGCCCTCATGTCGGGTTGAAGCGTACATGGCCTCTGTCGAGCTGTTCACCTCGCTACGGTGGCCTGACAGAAGAGGGACAGAAATCAATAACATTACCTTTATCACCGTCTTGTGACACGTTGGGAACACTTTTGATTGGGTATAATCTTAGGCGTAATGTGGCGTCCACTGTAAAAATGCTCCACACCACAAATGTAACATACTGTGGACTGGTTCGTACCGTATTCGAGGCCGTCAAAACGGGCCATGTTGGATGCAACTTCAGCGTGGCACAGGACGTGGTAGCACACAATGGAGTATTGTGTATGTGGGAGGGATACTTGCTTCACCCTCGCCCCCGCTCTGTCAAACATATCAGCAACAAGACTCCACTGAGCTAGAGTCTCCTCAGACAGCCCTGGGGCGTGGTACTCCTGGCATACATTAGAAGACAGGAAAGACAAGGAGTTTTAGGAAATGTCTGTATTTGTGTTGATTTAGATCTTTCAAAGAAGTATGAATCATCTTTAAATATGTAACTCGTTGCTGTACAAGGAATTGGTCTCGGTGATATTGCTGCTAAGAAACACACATTTCAAGTACAGTACATGAAACCATCTTTCAGGGTTCGACAGTGCAGGTGTTTTGCCCACATTTACGATTTACATCAGATGTGTGCAAACTGTGAAATGTATTTAGAGGCGCATGTGCAAATAACGAGTGTTACAAAATTCTGCCCAGCATTTTTCAACAAAATGTTGACAACAACGACACAGGCAAAGTAGTCCCCTAGTCACCACTTCTTCTGTCTTAACAGGCTGAACAGACTAAGAACAACTACTTAATTAAAGAGGTGTTCATACCGTTCATAGTGTTTATACAGTTTAAAATATAAATAACTATATAATTATTAAATATAGACAGTTTGAAGTCAACACATACTTTTCAGTCATAATGAATATTGTTTGAGATAATAAGTTTTCCATAATTTAAGTCATTTTTTGTTTCTTATTTATGTGGTTGTGTATTTCTTCTGTCCACGTCTTTTACTTATCTCTGTAAGGATGAGGATCGCAGTTCCCTCCTAAGTGTTTAATATATACATCTTTTGAATATCATATTTATACAACACTGTCAGCCGGCACCTACCCTCAACATGCTCAGGGTCTTTGATTATTCCTGTTAATGTGTAAGGAAAACGACGAGAGATACTGACTTAATACGGAGATAAACTCACCTTAGGGATACCTATGCAGATGTTCTTGACATCAAAGTCCTCAGGTAGCTCTGTCAGGGATGAAGGGGCAGGAATTGTTGTTGAGTCTCTAGTATCATGGCCTTGAAGGATACCTGTGTAACATTTCAACAAAATCCCAGGTAAGGTCCACTATTTGACAGAGGCACGCCATACTGATTCATTCACAATGTCTCATATTCTTGACAACACATGGACAGATTTATTTCCTGTACATATGTATCTTTGAGGTCTAACAAACACTGACTGGATTTTCGGCCCCATGAAAGCCAATTTTTTGATGAATATTCTTTTTATATTTTTATTTGTGCATTGATTACTTTCATTGCTTGCTTGCCTTTGTTGGTGCATAGCTATGTCTGTTGGTGTGTTACTGCTGTCAACTGTCGATGACTGGAATAGTGTGAAAGCAATGGCAGGATGTGAATTGTGCCACCCGTGTGCCTGTTGCAAACAAGATGATGACCCACTCACAAAAACATGGCGCCACCACCAAAACTCCACAGTGTACCTTTATAGTTTTTCTCAACCGCTTTGATGCAATTCACACATCACAAACCTCACACTCACCACTCGTAATACAGCTCTCAAACGGTTCTGTGTTTTCAATCAAATCACTTTAAACTTTCTTCATATATGTATTAAAGAGCGAGGCCAGTCACACACTGTCAGTGGTCTCAGAACAGGATTTGACACAAAGACAAACACACGTTTTCAACCTTGTATCACAGCTGCATGTCGTGGCACTGCAGTAATTATTACAAACAACCATATATGGAAACACTAGTTTCACCCAGTGCATAGTGTTGACTGAAGCAGGAAGTGGGTGTGGTGCAGGTACATGAACCGGGCTTTATGAGAGGACAAGGAAGAGGCAGGGGTCGAGGAATAAGGTACCAGAGGGTATCTACTGAAATATGGGCACCAATTGTGGACCATGTTATCAACCATGGCCTAAGATTGGCTGAAGCTGGTCGACGGGTGTCATGTAGACACAATGATATGGGATTTCATATTTTGCACTTTATAGTAATTTTTGATTTATACAGGTATATACATATATACAAATATGGAAAGTGTGTCCAAACTTTTGACTGGTAGTGTATATAGAGATTATGGTGTGGATTTACTGTACTACAATTGGTGCTATGTTCTGTTCTTGATTGAATATTTTTCTATTTTTTATTTTTCTATTTTCTGATGCATAGTTCCATGTCCATAGTCCATCATTTAGCTTCCCTCAGCAATTATGTTGCTGAATTGAATTTACAAATAAATCATTCACATTTCATTGTGTCTCAAAAATTATTTTACACTTCATTACATTTTTCTCTTTTTCTAAAGTCAGTTTTTTTTATCAAAATATCAAAAGATCTGATGTCTATGTCTTCAAGCGCTGGTGAAAAGCATGTTTCAACAAGGTTTTGGTTGTTTCTGCGGCGTTTGCACGGGTGAGCTAGTGTTGAGAAATGCAGAACTGTTTTGAGAACTGTATCAAGAGAAAAAATTGCAATGTCAGTATTCATTGTGATATTTGGGCAAGCACATATGTAATAAACATGCAAAACATAGCAAAAAAGAGAAGTGGATTAGAAGCGACAAACGTCCCACTACAGATGGGAACCCATATACTGGTTGTTGGGTACAGAAATATGCCACCTACCTCTTTTTTTAATTAGTTCCCCCACAAATCCTGAAGAGCCAACGGTTCATTTCTGATCTATTTGGCCCTCAACTATGAGTTGTAAAAAACTTTGCTGTAAATTTGATTAAAATAAATTGGCCAGTGGATTGACACTAGTAATATGTATGATTCAATTTACAATTTTATCCCTTATTCTTTAGTTAACCAGGGGAGTCCTATTGATTTCAAAGACCTTTTGAGATAGAAAGAGCTGGAAATGTAGAATGACCCTACTCATAAAGAGCAAGAAAAGGTTTTCGGAAGGCCCAGATGATGTTCAACTATGAATATAGGACAGTGGGCTGCTCCGGGGCTCACATGGTAGCATACCATTAAGGCTTAGTTCTAACCACAGCTGCCTGGGTTTGGGTCTGGCCTGAGGCCCTTTGCTGCAAGTCATCCCCTCTCTCTCTCCCCAACTCTTCTCCTCTTTTCTTCTCTCACTGCAGCTATCATAATGAAGGCAAAAACTGCCCCAAAAAAGAGTGCCTACATCCATGCAGTGACAGGCCATCAAAGGTTTCCTACCTAAGACTATGGCTGCATCACTGACACTGCGGGTCATAATGCCGGGGACGTCCATGGAGTTGACCAGAGGGATGAGACCATGTCTGGACAGCAGACCGTAGGTCGGCTTCAGGGCCACGACACCACACAGTGCTCCTGGGTTACGAGTAGAACCACCCGTGTCTGAACCCAAAGCCCTGCAGAGTAATTACCGTCACATTAAATTTTCATTTGTAAACACCATTTTGTATCGAATCTTTTCCTGAACCAGTGAATGTGATGTGTATATGTGTTCCCTCACAGGTAGCTAGTGAGTGAGGCCACGGCTGCTGCACTTCCTCCTGAGCTTCCTCCAGTGACGACCCAGTCGGAGTCGGGCTCTGCCCCTGTCTGCTCTCTGTAGGGAGCGGCATAGCTCCAGGGGTTCCTTACTGGACCAAAAGCCCCATCAGTACTTCCTGAACTGTAAGACAAATAAATGAATAAATGAGACAATGGCAGAAACCTAAAACATGTACTCCGTACTAACGTGTCTCTTCCTGCAGGTGTACACAGCTGTAACAGCTTTATCAAGAAATTTAGAAAATATACGTTGATTTGTCACTAGCTGTTAGTAAAGTGGCCTTACCCCATGGCAAACTCATCCATGTTGGTCTTCCCCACCAGAACAGCGCCTTGGTCCATGAGCTTCTGCACCACTGTAGCATTGTATGGTGGAGTGTAGTCTGTAGCAGAAATAGTGGCAGGCTATCATTACTGGATTGACATAAACTGGAAAATATGAGTAACTTACACTGAAGTGAAGACAAACCTCTGAGCATCCGGGAAGCACATGTGGTCCTGATATTCTCTGTGCAGAAGTTGTCCTTGACTGCGAAGGGAATTCCATCCAGAGGACCTTTGGTGGCACCTGATGGAAGACAAGACCCTTATGACACACTTATGACCCTACACAGAACAGATGCAAATAAACACTCACGTGTCCACACCTTGCAGCAGCCTGGTTTCTGACTCAAGAGCCTGCTTCAGTGCCAACTCCTCCGTCACAGTAATGTAAGCATTGAGATGTTGAGTGTTCTTGATACGGTTCAGACACCTCCTACAAAGCTCTGTTGGGGAAATTCTTCCCTCCCTGAGTGCCAAAGACACCTGAAGAGAAGGTTTAGTTCTTATATGCAAAGGGGCTTTTTCAAAGCAGACATTTTTACTAATAGAAAAACAAAGTTTACCAATAACATTAACATTGACTCTATTGTACTCCAGTGTCCTAGCCAGCCATGGCAATGTGACAGTGAGCCAGGACCCTGAATCTGAGGCAGCTAAATGGAATTCAACCAACATTATTTTTATTATTTACACCTGTGCTTCTCCTACTGTAATATGTCAAAATGTCTTAGGCTAAAAAATCCCTATTACAGTACTCAAGTGCTATTCTGAGTTACTTGTGCTTTACATGTGTATTTACATTTTATTATATATTCATATTTTACTTTGTACGTCTACTCCACTACATTTCAATGGACAGCAAATGACCTCACAGGTAAATATTTTACAAACAAAAATAGAAAAATATTTTGTTAGAGATCTAACTACCTGGCACCCTCCTTGACAACAGTAAAATGCACCTTACATGTTGTGACATCAGTGATATTCCAATACTGTATTAATGATAAACATAACGCTCTGAATGTGTTCATTCTGCATCATGAGTACCTCTACAATTTAAGTGGATATTTCCTCTAATACTTTAACGTAAGATAACATTTTGAATGGACTATTAAAATTGAGTAATCTTTTACTTCTTCCACCACAATGTAAATTGTATCGTTTTGTTTCTGAAGAACAGACTTTTTTTTTACTACTAACATTTCATACACAACTTTATATATTATATATATTTTATCTAATACCGATTAGGGAGCAAAAGTATTATATATTCTACAGCTATTATCTAACCTGAGCCAATGTTTAGCTAAAAAGCAACACAAACGACAAAAGACAAACCAGCAGAACTATGGTCAGAGAACAAGTTAACACTCGCACTAACCTCCCTTATTGTCAGGCCGAGCATGTTCAATGTATTTCTGTGACAACCTTTCAAATTAACAACAACCTTCGCACACTGTGCAGCAGCAGCAGCAAGCTGCCATGTTTGTTTCGAGAGACAGCGTCTAACAACGCTTTCTGTGATTGGACAGCCGTTGAGGAAACCGCGCTCTGATTGGTGGAGGCGCTGAGCGCTGACTAAGACGCCGGTCGAGGAAGAGGCATGTCACGGAAGAGGACGTTGTTTTGAAATGATTATAGACTTATTTGTAATTATTGTATGTGTCTATACGACTAGTCAGACATGTTTATTTAAGAAGACGAACTTTAAAGCGCGGTTCACTTTAATTTAGCGTACTAACCGTACGGTTTGAATTGTCCTGTTAAAATGCATTGCTAATTTACAGTCGCACACACTTATTTGTCAATTTCTACACTTGTAAAAGTTTAAAGATGGCTTCTGTTAGCCATTTAGTGTACAGTAGGTGGTTGTTTCATCTTAGTAAATCAACATCAGTTTCCAGGCATAGCAGCCAGTCAAGACTGTTCAGTACCTCAAGTAGATGCAGGACTATTATGCCAGCCTGGGTTATTGATAAATATGGAAGCAATGATGTTTTACGGTTCACTAAAAATGCCAGTTTCCCAGTCATCAACTACCCCAATGAGGTTATTGTTAAAGTGTTTGCAGCAGGACTGAACCCGCTTGATGTCAGCATGAGGGGTGAGTAACAAGCCTACAGTGTGTACATGTTTAAATTGGCATCAGATTTGAACCTGCAGGCTGAGATTAAGAAAAGCATATTAGACCATGATTGGCTTCCAAACTAGTTCTGATGTCATAATATCATATTGTATGATGTAATGATTCAGACGATGAATATGTAAACAGCCTTCTGGTGTCAAACTCTCCACATGTATCACTCTGCACATTGAAAAATTAACATGCAGTGTACCTGAAGCTTTTGGGGCCCCTGGCAGTCTCAGACCCCAGGTCAGTTACCCTACAGACTCTGTTTTGTTAAATTCATACAATGACCTCCAGGTATTTCTCAACTGATAAATTAAAAAAATATTTGGCAGAATAATTAGTCATGAAAATAATCGCTCATTCATCATTACTTGCAGCCCTTTTATGGTCCCTTAGGTTGACTCCACATTTGTGGTACTGTTATTTGCTCTTATTGTAGATTTTAACACCACTGGTGACTGTATTCTCTAAAACCAGTGGGGAATTACTTGTTTCTTAGTTTACTGGTTTACTGTCTAGCAGCACCCAAAAGTACAAACATTTTCTCTAACTTTTTTTTTTAATCTTCTATATATATATTTTTTTTTTTTACTGTTTTCTCATCTTTTGCTGAGCTGCAGCTTTGACTACAATCAGAAACTCTCTCACTATCAGGTGGCTATGGCGCAGCTACACTGTCTATGAAGAGAGACCCTCTGAATATCACACAGTCAGGCAGCGAGTTCCCTCTCATCCTGGGAAGGGACGTGTCTGGGGTCATCATGGAGTGTGGCTTGGATGTGAAGTACTTCAGCGAAAGGGATGAGGTAAATGAAGCTTCATTTTCATGGAAACTGCTTGTTTCTGCACAGTGCATCATGTATGAATAAAGTATACATGACATGACATGAGTCTTCTCCATGTCTCAGCCCAAAACAACCCTTTGGGAATAGGTAGAAACGACTTTAGCAGCAAGCTGTGTATTGCACTGGTGGCTGTTTGAAACAGTGTGTCAAACTTAAACAGGATTCAACTAATAACTTGTGGTAAGCTGTTCCCTAACTTGGAATATTTTTTTAATGCATAATATATTAACAAATCAGAATGCATTATCAATGTAATCAAAAGTAATCAAAAAGTCACATGACAGAAAATTAAAACCTGACCTAAAATTTGATTAGTAACCTATTTTAAACTATGAAGCAATTTTGTTTTTTTCATGCAAAAATGCAGATAGTTCCAGTTTGTCTTTTTTTCAGCTGTACACAGACACAGTAACTCCCTTTTTTTTAGTTTAGCTAGGCTGCTAATGCTACTGACCTAGCCTGCTAACTAGCTAGGCTGTATTGTGAGTTTGGATGATAACTCTGCATCAAAATGAAGAGCCAGTGTTAGCTGTGTTAGCTAGCTCCTGTTAGCTACAGCATTACAAAATTCAGAGACTTTGGAAAACGGGTGCCTTAACATAAATAAAGTCTCAAATGAAATAAAAATAATTCTTCTGCAAATTATTGATTCATTTACATATTTTACATAATTTATTAAAGGGGCAATGTGTAAGATTTGGACAACTGTCAAACTCATACTCCAGAAAAATAGGGGGCAGCATATTACCAGGAAGTTGCGTTGCCCCCCCTCCATCGCAAGAAACAAGGAAATGCACTCTTTGGTCCTTCCTCCCCCCTCCCCCTCCCCAGTGCCATAAGTTGGACTGGCCATTGGACAAAATCCATAAGAAAAAATCTATAAACTTTTTACCGGCCCTCTCGGTGTCCCTGTCATTCAAGGTGCACATGAGAGCGTGCTGCATATGTGTTCTGGGACTGGGCTCATTTTCAACCCTCACCCTCATGTTGAGCTAACGTTAGCTTGAATAAATCTAACCTCAGCATTGGGCAGTTGTTGACATACTGTCAAACCTGCATGGATTGGGGAATAATGTTGTCCACACAGGTTCACCTTGCAGTCTGATTATGTAATTGGTTATTTCTTCACATTCTGTTGATAATCTTAGTTAATATTTGAATGTTTTAAACTAAAATATTTACACATTGCACCTTTTAAACAAACAATTGTTTGATTAATTGAGAAAATAATTAATCAGTTAATTAACAATTAAACTAATTATTAGCTGCAGGGTTGAACCTATGTCCTTTCGTATTTTGAATGAGTTTCGTTCACATTGGCTTTTTCAGTTCATCCTCTTCAGTCACCTCATACTTCCTTTATGATAATTATTCATTTTTTACCCTGTACAGACAACTTAGCTCTTTTTTTCATTTAGTAAAATTATATAATATAAATATATATATATATATTATATATATAATCAAATATAATTAGAGTTTATAGCCTCGTGGTTAACACCTAGTTTCCACCTCACACATGATTTAGATTGTACATTATGTTCAACAATAATGTTGTACAGTCTGTTTGTGTGAAGGTAAACTGAAGCTTTATATAGGCCTGTTTCAGCACGTCTTGTGGTCATAATATGCTTTTCCTCACCACACATTTGGTATAATGATGGAGGGACTCATGGTGTGATATTATAAGTGCTACTTCTGAGAAGAGATTTGATGCATTACACACTAAATGATTGTGAACTAACTGTATAGAAATGTAGACAAACAGTTGTTTATGTCTTTGGTTAATGAATTTTGTGTTGCTGTGTGTTTACCCCCAGGTTTGGGCAGCAATCCCACCATGGAAGCAGGGCAGCTTTGCTGAGTTTGTGGTGCTTAGTGCCAATGAGGTATTGCTCAGCTGATTGACTCATACATTGTTGCTTTGAGTTATTGTTGTTAAGTGTTACAGCAGATGTTTCAAATAAGCTTCATAGTTTTGTTTCTGTCTATACAGAAGTGCATGATGATTTCATCAGTATCAGCTCTGTATTGTCTTTTAGCTGTTTGTGGTTTGTTTCAGTGACACACCCCATATGTGCTGCTTACTACTGGAGCATGGTGATGAAAAAAAAACAACTTGCTCTAGTTCTACAAATTATTATTATAAATGTGTGTTGTGCTCAGGTATCCCATAAACCAAAGTCACTGAGCCACACAGAGGCAGCAGCCATCCCATATGTGGCAACCACTGCCTGGTCAGCATTGGTCAACACTGGTGGGCTCAGCAAGGACAACTGTGCCAAGAAGCGGTGAGGGAACGTGGACAAACACTGAAACACTGCTACACACACACTTTCTGCTTGTTATCAGCTCCCCCCCCCCCCCCCCCCAAAAATAAAAAAGAAAAAGCTCCTTGTCTTTGATCTAGTCAATTATTCCACTCAGTGCTCTTTCTAAGCTTAGCCCCTGATGTGCTCTGGTTCTCTGGCAGCAGCTCAAACAGCTCCTGTAAACTGCAGTGCACTTGACATGCTAAAGCCTAGAGTGTATCTGACATGAATCCTAATGAGGGAGAATCTGTGCATCAGTAGTGTGGAACACATTGTTGACACATCAATTATACACGTCTGCTTTTATCTCTTCCCCATAGGATTTTAATCCTTGGAGGATCTGGGGGAGTGGGAACATTTGCTATTCAGGTATGGATAAGAAGGTGCATAATGATGGCCAAGCATCACATTGTATATATTATGTTATTATGTACCATGTTTTAAGTGCATCAGATGAAAAACAGTCTGCTCTGAATACTACAACGAATTACATCACCCATAATTAGTGATAGCAGTGTAAAAATAAGCAAGAACACTGATCATGAAATAAATTGTGGTGTTATAAGATGCACCTTTCTTGGTAACTTGAATACTGCTGTTCACATTACATGGATGTAATATTCAGCTGCCAAAAATACTGAATATTTGTTGTGTACTTACAACATAAATGACACAGATTACTATGAAATGTTGCCATTTTCGACACACTTTAGTCTGTATTAATAAGCTTATATTTGAGGACAGAACTGTCTTTTGTGTACAGATGCTGAAGGCATGGGGAGCCCATGTGACTGTTACCTGCTCCCAGAATGCAGAGCAGTTTGTAAGAGCGCTGGGGGCGGACCATGTAGTGGACTACACTGCTGGACCTGTTGAGGAGCCACTCAGTACGCTGGAGAAGTGAGAGAGAGAGAGAGAGAGAGACACACACACACACACACACACACACAGTCATTTTTCATTCATGTTGATATTTAATTGGAGTTTGTGCGTGTATGTATCAATAACTTGCCCAAGTTACCAAGGCAACCCAATCCATCTAGCTGTAGTTAGATTGTTAGTGTGGGAAAAGTGAGCCCTTTAATTTTCAAATGAACTTAATCACATTGAGACTGAATCTCTTTCCATGTCTGTCATCTCTCCACACGTCCTTATGTTTCCACACAAGGTCTCTCTCTCATTTACTTATTCTTTTATTCCCAATCACCACACACTCATGTGTCTTCGCTTGTGTCTGTTACCCCTTTCCGCCTCCAGATTTGACCTGATCCTGGATAATGTTGGGGGGGGGACGGAGCGCTGGGCACTGAATCTGCTTAAGCCTTGGAGCGGCGCCAAATATGTCACCCTGGTAACGCCTTTCCTCCAGAACACTGACAGGCTGGGTATTGCTGATGGTATGATGCAGACTGCTGCTACAGTGGCCACCAAGGCCCTCAAGGTAATCATGGTAAAACAACACAGATGCAGCTTGATCTTTTTTTACTGTACATATTTATTGTTGATTGAATCACACGTACGCTGTTTTGTGCCCTTCAACCTGAATTGATCCAAATACAACATTTTGATCATGTTGCCACATTGAGGGGAAACAATCTGAAATTTCAAGAATAAAGTCATAATATTATGAGAATAAAGTTGTAATTTTAGGTTGCGTGTTGTTTTAGAGGGAAGCTTTAAAATGAGGAACGTGGAGCATCCTGTGAAATTCTACTTTAGGTTTCACAAATAAGGAGAAACTTGATCTTTTGGCTCATCATCATCATCATCTTCAGCATCAGGACACTGAAAAGATTGTGAAGAGACTGAGTCTATTCTTTTGTTAGACAGACAAACAGCAGCTACCAGAAGCAGCTCAGGCTGACACTGACTGTCCTTTCATCTGTTTTATTGGTTGATGGTAATATTCCTAAAAATTATGTTTTTTTTCTCTTGAAATTTTACATTTTTAATTCTCGTAATATTATGACTTTTTTCTTGAAATATTCTCATAAAATTACAACTTTATTCTCATAATATTATAACTTTATTCTTGAAATTTCTGAATTCTTTTTTTTTTTCTCAATGTGGCCCAAATACTAATTATAATGATAATTCTGCCATGACTGGAACAAAATTCTTGGACAAACATTTTGCAAGCTATTTACAGTCTCTAACTAATAACAGTCTTGGTCAATAAATTTCACAGACAAACATCAGGACATCATCAGATGCGTCATATCATTTAGGATGCATTTAGACAGTAGCATAAAAAACAAAGCTCACTCACTCATTTGAATGGGACCACTGCACTGACACAGCCGGGGTGCTCCAGCATAAGAAGTTGAACCTGGCTCCACTTTTGCCACAACACAATGCAACGTCATCCACGGTGCTGAGTTGGTCAGACAAATGATTACAAGTGCACATTCCTGCTGGATTACTTTGTGATGTGAACCCTGTATTTATACTGTGTATCTACCGAATGCTGTGATGACAGATATAATGATTGCCACCATGATAACTTTCCAGACGTGTCCAAAATGATAAACTTTGGTTCACATGGTAGACCAGTATGGAACTACATCACTAATGATGTTGTCTTGGGCAGCTAAGTTGATGTGACACAGACACAGCATTGCGCTCTCAGTGCACTCAAATCTGGCTTCCTACCTGAAAATCTACTGTCTTATGAATAAGCAGGTGGAAAACAAAATGAATAAGCCAAATAACTCAGTCATGTGTAGCTTGTCACAAAGCCGAGTAATGTGGTCTGAATACCAGCTGACCTGCACTGTGATGAACTGTGAAAATCCCTGTCATTTCCTGTACGATAAGGGTGGAAACTGCTCATCGCCAATACCACAAATGCAATATTATCTTTCCAGTTACCATGGCTACAGTGTTTGTAGTTCTCAAGTGAAAATGAGATTAAGACATCTGTCCTGAACTATGTCTTCATTAATCAAGGTGCAGGTCAGGACAAGTAAGGACAATATAAATATAACACCTTTCACCACACACACACACACACACACACACACACACACACACACACACACACACGCACGTGTGCACTTACACTCGCACACACTCCCGGAGCTCAGTCGGTGTAAGTGGCATCCTGTCAGTGTGCCCACTATGGTGAACATCATGCAGAGCAAAGCTTGCATGCAGTGCATTTGTGGTGTGTGTGTGTGTATGTCTGTGTGTCTGTGTGTCTGTGTCTGTGTGTCTGTCTGTTTGTGTCTTTGTGTCACAACTGTGCATTATCATCATTACGTCTTTCCACTCAACTCCTCACCACATGATCTACAGTACTAACTGACTCAAATGTATCATTGTGGTCTTCAGTGGTAAATTATTTTTGCAATTGTACAAATAGATTCATCAAAAACTAACACCTCTGCTTCCTTCATGGTTTAATGATTGGTTGCACTGGAAGCTAAGTTCCTTTTTTTTATTAAATTGAGGTAATTTAGAATTACAACTATAGGTATTGTAACTGTATGTACCCTGGAGTACTAAGTGAACACCAGTACTATTAGATTCAAGTGGTAAGGACATGCAAATGATTTCCATTGCATTTTCAAAATACCATGGAAACTGTGCCTTGACAGATTTTACCTGAAACAGAGAGTGTGGTTGAATTACTTCGGAAAACTTCAGAAAGTTCTTCCAGTGTGCTTTGCTCATAACATAATCTTTAGCCAGACCATATTCAGGCTCATATCAGGCAAAACAGAATTCTCAACATCACACTATTTTGTTTAATTTCTTTTTGTTTGTTTTTTAGAGCCAAAATTAGTGTTTGTTTTTTTTAAAGCTGTTTAACCATTATTTTTATATTAGTGTATCAAATGTCTATCTGTAATGTGAAAAGTGTTGCTAGTAGTGACAAATCCACAGAAAATTATCAGCTGACATCTTCCTTAGTTCTGTCGAGTGTTTTAGCATCTTTTAGCTCATTGTTTTGATTTTCTAGTCTGCAGTTACACAGCAGCCAGCTGTTTTCAGCTAAAAAGCTAATTGTCAGTTGTTTGGTGTGGGGCAGGAAGTGTACAATGAGTTAATTTTAGAGAGTAGCTGGTGTACATTATATAACATCAAGAGTGGTTGAGACCAAAAGAGAGCTAAAAGGAGAGAGCGTATTGGATATTGGAGTTACATTCATCAGAAAACACAACTCCATTGCTAATGTTGCTCCGTGTTTACTGGATGTGTAATTGCTTATTTACATGTTTGTCACAGCAATTTTATGTGATGATACAGTGGGGTGCAAAAGTCTGAGACCACTTTCCCAATGCTAATTTATTAATTGTTTTACCAGCAAATATCTATGAAATTGATTACATTCTCATCAACCTCAGCTGCACATTGTATTTAGTGCCAATTAGCAAATGTTAGCATGCTAATAGCATGGCATAAAAACATGCAAAACTAGGAATATGTGAACATGTTACATATACCTGCTTAACATGTTAATGTTACTATTGACATGACAATATCTTAGCATTGTGATGTTAGCATTTAGCTCCCTAGCTTTTGGACAAATATATATGGAGCTCTATGGCACTGATGAATAATTTATGTTTAAGTCATGGGGTTTGTTGACAGTAGTCACTATAGAACATCAGCAGCCTTATCTTTTACATTTGAAAGAGGTTCACTGACACATGTTAGAATAGATTCTTTCTGACTTCCTCACTGCTAACTTCCTTCATAGAGTTTAAGTAAAGCTGGACTTGAATTACTCATGAACTCGAAACTTTTAAAAAAACCAGTGAACACAGAGGATTACAATGGTGCGGGACAGCCCCAGAGAAATTTCCCCTATTCATTTGTTTTCTTCTTACTTTAAATGTTGGATTAAAAAACAACAATTTAATTAGCAATGCATGTGCAGTGTTATACACCTACACCAGGAACTCAGTTTCTTTACTTCCCTTCCAGTATATAAAGAAAGTTTCTGGTTTCCTTTCTATCTTATAACCCCTTTCCCCTCCTCCTTGCAAAGTGTAACCAGATAGGATAGTGTATCATGCAGTGTGAGGCCTTAGAAATGTTTGTTCTATCTCTATTTCTATACAAATTGAATGAACAGCCATGTGGCTCACATACCCTCTGCATAAATAATTTGAACTCCCTAAATAGGAGCTGATTTTTTTTTTTAATATGGTCACACCTTGCTCTTCAGACAATGTAATATAAGTGAGACTAGGAGAGGTGTGCTCTCACAGGGAGGATCTAATTCACAACAGCATTGCCATTGCTACGTTAGCACCCACACTGTCCAATCAGAGCTACAATCTGGACTGATTAATCAGACTGACGCAACAGAAGGGTTTTTTTTTTTCCCAGTTGCTGATGCATTGTTACAGTGTTGACGACTGGATTTTTCTGTCAGAGATGACAAGTTGTTGGTTGGAGATTCTCTCATCTCAGCTGATATTGCTCCAAGTCACTGCAGTTAATAGAAAGACATAGTTAGAGCAGAATGATGACAGCTCTATGTAAAAAGAATGGCAGAGGCAGGTTTATAGACAGGAAGCAAAGACATACTGTACACCTAATTCTCACACCTCCTTGTTCACTCACGTATTGTGTACTTTGTTGGTAAAAGGAAAACTAGTGCGCCGACAGCTGGCTTGGTTATCACAGTGTCCTCATTTCTAAATTGGCCTGAAGGAAACATGTTAAGTAACTCCTTTATATTACAAATCCCGACACCCTAAACCACACACACACACACACACACACACACACACACACACACACACACACACACACACACACACACACACACACACAGGGTCAAACATAACTTTCACTTTCACGGGAAAGTTGTCTCAGCCTTTTGGACTCCACTGTATAAGTTAAACAAAATTGGAGATAATACAACCCTGCCTAATGCTCATTGACAGGAAAAAAAGTCAGATACAGTTTGCTGCCATTGACTTGCATGGTCTGAGAGACCGATGAAGACACAGGAATTCTGGGTAGATATGTATGTATACCTATAACACTCATTTTATAAAGGTTTGATAACCTAAAATGTATAAAAGGAACAAATAATCATGGAGGAAATTTTAATGATTTCCTTTAGAGCTATTTGGCTTTTAAAGTAACTTTGTAACTTTTGTAGCCTATGTAACTTTTGCTCGACAGTGGTTACTGTATCCAAAAGTGGCAAGTATTGAATAATGCTTAAAGGTAATGTGTAGTGCAAAAGTAACAGAGGTAGAGAAATAAAGAGCAAATTTGAAGCTCAGAGTGAGCTGCTCTGACGTCACAATCTTGGCAGTTCCTGACTCTGCCCATAACTCCCAGCTAATCTAAAAATGGTCAAAGAGGTAGAGCATGTGGAGCTGAGACTTTGGTGCATGCTGGTTTGACGCGAACATATGCTCACCCACCTGTCGCTCAAAGAGGCCACACCCTCAATTATACATAACTTTAATCCTTAATAAAATGTAAACAGGTGAGTTATATAAACAGTTGTCATGAAGGAGGAAATTAGCTCTAGAGACCAAAATTGTTCTTGTACCAGGCTGTAAACATGTTTATTTCTGCTGTAAAGTTGGACATTTTAACCAGGGATTCTATGGGGATTGACTCACTGTTGGAGTCAGACTCTAGTGGTCAATTAGAGGAACTGCTGTTTTTGGCACTTCTGTGTTAGCTTCATTTTTCAGCCCCAGATGTTGCCCCTTCGGTAGAGAGCAGTCATAAAGTCAGCAGACTGACTCATTAATGTCAGGTACACAACAATATCTATGTAAAGTTTGCTATTAGCAAGCATAAGCTACTGGTCATACCAGACCAAATGAGGCTATTGAGTGGAGCAATGGTGCATTTTATTTCATATGAATTCAACCTTTAAAATTTTCAAAGGAACAATATGTCTTTTTGTCTTTTAAAAATTACACAAATGCCAAACTGGTGAACATTTACGAAGACAACAATTTCTAACCTGTCCATCAGAATTCTGTCACACACTGTAAAGTACAAGGTAAAATAGTCTTTTATGACAGGAACTATCAACACCATGATCGTAAAGTCAGGTAGTCAGTCACTGCTGCGAACTAGTGAGCCTGAAAACGTGGTGAGAAGAGGAAGTTTCTTATGAGTATATTTTAGGTGTTCTGTGGTCGGCTCCGCATGCCTGGTTGTATAGGTTTGTTACAGTTTAAGACACTTAGTCAGACCTTATTCTCACCCACTGTCAAATTAACATAATCAAAAATATTGTTTCTGCTATGCACACAGTTAAACATGTTGTAGTAATGCTGATCTTCATGCCTTTTCTCTTTTTACATTTTCTTGCAGCACCTTGCTAAAGGAGTTCACTACCGTTGGGGATTCTTTGCACCAAGTGGTCCTGCATTGGATGAAATTAGGGAAATGGTGGATGCAGGACAGGTACAGTACTAGATTTATTCTTTAACTGGCCAGTGACTGATGAATTAAAAAAAATAAAATAAAATATTGATTAAGAAATGCACAATGAAATGGGTCACAAAGGCAGTACGACCGTGGGCCACATGATTTATAAATCCATTTGACATTCAGCAAATTAAATATTGCTCTCTAGTTGGACTTTTATGCACTTCAGCTGAGGTTATCTTAACCACTATGCAGACAACATAGAGCAGCATCTAGAAAAAGCTTGGTTTGAGGAAACTACATTTGAAATCAGATTCAGTTTGATGGTGGATAACATGGTGCAAAGCTCACATACAGATACAAAAGCCATTAGATCATTTTCATCCTTAGAGGAAACTGCAAAAATTGGTGACTGCTTTCCTCTCTGCTATTATAATTTATAAAACTTATGAAACAAGGCTTGTGTGACCGATGCTCAGCCTTCCTCTATCTCCTCTCCATCAGATCCGGGCCGTGGTGGAGGAAACTTTCAGCTTCTCCCAGGTTCCCCAGGCTTTGGAGAAGGTGGAGAAAGGTCACGCCCGAGGAAAGACTGTGGTCGAGATCAGCAAAGGGGGAGATGACTTATAGCATTGACTCCTGGATACTGTGCGCAACTATGAAACAAATGAGATTAATGAAAATAATTTGAACTCAAAGTTTATTGTATCTCTGGCTGGAAACATGGTACATAAACAAGGTTACTACAGTTACTGCTTCTCCCTTGTGTGGGTTTTGTAGCTTTACTCTGTGTTTGGCTGTCAATGATGTGTACACTCTCCAAGCACTTTATTAGGAACACCTGTACAGCTGCTCCTTAATGAAATTTGGAGACGTGCGGACCGGTGCATTTCAGAGGCTCACAGTCCGGCTTCTGAAATCATCAGCCAGGAGGACCCCTCTCTGGCAGGCCGGTCAATGTGCATCGATATCCTGGGAGGATGAGGAAGTGTGCAAGCCGTTTGGCAGTTTACTGCTGGTTTTTATTGTTAAGAGAATTACAATATTTTTAAACCTGGGCCATATTTCCCCTCTTTTTATGTTTAGAATTGGTCCAATACAGGACTCTATAACCGGCAAACGCAAAACGGCTGTAATGTAACAAAACGGAGCGTTTGTCTGTGTCGGTCGCTGCACTCACTAAAAGAGCCCGATTCACCACGAACAGGTTCAGATTGTTACAGGCGTTTGGCAGCATCAGTTTGGACAGGGTTTCTATTTTTCTGTAAGGAGTCGCACATATACAAACTATACAGCTAGTACAGAGGTAGTTCTTAAGGTAAAGGGATGCTTTGTCATGAGTGTGTGTACTGTATGAGAGTGACCTTTGAACTCATTCTCCTCCATACTGTACGTGTGTACAGGTAGCATGTTGATGACCTCCAGTGAATGTGGCTGCTGCCTCTGCTTGGTGACATAAGCCAGGAAGGCTACAGTTTGTCGTCTATAGTGTACATTTAAATACAACTGTGAGTCATCTAAGTGAAATGACAGGGCCTGAACAAAATAACACCTTATGATATTATGCTTTCCAATACAAAAGCCTTGTTTTACATACAATCTTTGTGAAGGTTTCTATGAGGATCATACTTGAAGGCTTGTGCCACAAGTAGCTCGCTATAGTGACGGTAAATCCATCCCAAACTATCTATACTATAGATTCACAGCAATGGGTATTGAAAACCTAAAGATAAACTTGTTTTCTAAAAAAGAGGCTGCAAAGAAAAGTTTTTTTTTTAATTTTCCTGTGCAACCTTTTCCTCTTTTACATTCACATATTTACAATTAACAGTGGGCAGCATCATTTTATTGCAGTTCTCCTTTGAAATCTAAAATCATATCTATACACATGATGCTTATGTACAACCTAAAGCAGTAAAAGTACAGTTTGTGTAGAAGTGTAAAAACCTATAAAGTCCTAAAAAGATATCAAAACTTTACAATAGATCATTTTTGATCTACAGTAATTACAAATAGAGCATCTACATACATCTCTGGAGTGTAGGCACATCAGACTCCATATTGCAGCCGTCAGTGTGAAGTGTACATTCGTGTTTGTCAACAGTAAGATCAAGATCAGGAAAAAAGTAAAGTACCATAAAGTAAACAGAAGTATGCAGCATTGAAACAGGGCTGATAAAGTCGAAACACAGAGAGGGCATGGAGTCTTTGGTGTAGTGTTTGAAATCAAGTGGCTAAAATTACCAACATTTTACATCACTCATTCATTCTGAGAAAGAGGAAACAATTTCATCAACTGCTATATTAGTGCACGTATCTCAAAAGTTTGGTTAATAATTATAATATTGATCCAGTCACTGGTTAACCCTCTTTAACAAAAGTAAACGAGTCAGAATACTACAAACAAGTGCAGTGTTTGCAGAGCACATCTCTGTGGTATGGGTTCCATGGTGCAGCTGCAACACAGGGCTTAGTGTCCTGGCAGAGCTGCAGCACAGAGCTGTGAGAGCCCACGGCAGAGCTTCTCCTCTCACAGGATCTCCAAGGTCCACCTTTGGTTCAGTTTCCTCTCATCAAATGTGTTGAGGATCACCTGGTTCTTGTCATATTGTTGACCACCTGGGAAACAGAGTAAAGCATACATGTTTTTTTATATGATAAAAGATGTTTAGACTTTTAACACTAATGGATAAAGTGATATTTCTTGTCCACATGTGAAACAGATGAGAACTGTAAATGTAGAAAAGTCACATAGAATCTGATATTTTTATAGATGCACTCCAATTAAAACAAAATGAATAATGAAATCCAAACTATAAACTCTTGTAGTTAAAGCAACACTTATTTTACAAAACAGACATTTGTGAGTGCACTTTGCAAACCACTGCAACTCCTAAACACACCAGGAGATGGAGCTGCTAGATTAGGACTGAATCTCATTTGCACACTGGAGCTGTACTGCACATGGTCATTTAATCCTTTTACATATACTCCATAAAAACTAACTCAGTAATGAGAGGTGGGTAAGTTAAGACAAAGCCTTCTGACCTTTGACCTCCAGGACCAGATCAGGGTTGAGGTGGCAGCGCACCAGGCCGTCTGCGGTGATGCTCCACAGCTGGTTGTCCTTGCCCCGCTCTGGGGAAACGCAAAGTCGACAGCCCGCCATCATCATGCTGCCTGAGGTCTCCAAGCAACAGTCCTCCACCAGCTGGAGACAGGGAGGATGGAGTTAGACAGAAGAAGTACAGGTTCATTTTCCTTGCTGTTAAAAAAATCCAGTTTAACCAGTGATTCCATTGGAGCAAATTGGTTATCAATATAATCTGCAAAGAAAGAAACCCTCTGAAGTCATTCCTTCACTTTAGCTACCACAATCCCCTTACTGTGTTACATCATTATAGACGATATTTGAAATCTCAGTCTGAATCTGCATTGAAGTATACAGTAATAAATAGTGATACAGGATAAGTGCACATTTTTTATTTCAAGCAAATGCAGAATCAAAATTGCAATGTAAAGAAATATTTTTAGGAATGACATTAAAAGTGTTTGATGCTTGTCCCATTGTCTTAGATCCACCAACTCACAATGAAATCTGTTCAGCAGTTTTTCATCTATCCTGCTAAGAGACAACAAACTGGACTGAAAACATTGCCTCTTTTAGCTTCGAGCTAACTGGTGAATTGAATGAAGTCTGTTGGGAATACATGTTATTTCCTGTTTTTGCACATTGTCTGACCATATCCTTGATGTCAGGTGCAGAGTTCATGTCAAAGAGTGAAGTATTTTCACCACAAATCACGGAAACTGTTCAGTGATTCTGTTTCCTAATGATCACACTGCACTTGTTGTGTTGTGTAATTCTTAGAGCTATAAAAAGACGGTCTTGTTCACTTCTGTGGTTTTAATGCAGGTTAAGATGCAGTTGTCTGCAGCCATGAGTTTGGTTAGTAGATGAGTGGGTAACCCTGACCAGTGCTTTAGCAGTTCTGTGTGGTGTTGATGTAGTCTAATACCTTGCAGGTGAGCTGTCCGTCTCGATAGAGCCACACCTGCTCTACGCCTCCTGTCTCCTCCACGGCCTGAACCCTCATCAGCTTAATGTCGTCCAGAGTTCCTGTCAGGGACATCACACATCCTGTCTCCCTGTTCCGCAGACAGAAGTACATCTGTTTCTGTGGGAGGAGAACACGCAGAACAGTCAGGAATACATGTCAACGTGATTTCCAATTATATGTGTCACTTATTTTACTGACCATTTATTATTGTGACAGTGTTTCATTTGGTATTTTATTTATTATATATTCCTAAATTTTAAAATTAATTTCCATGTGAGAACAAAAAAACTAACAAAACAGAGACACTAACTTAAAGTATGAGACCTATCAGCCCTACAACACAGGGAGACACCTCAGAGAGTAGATACATTAGAGGACAATCATTTCAGACTGGCCCATCGTTTTCCTTCTCTACCTGCAGTAATGGGCGCAGGGATCCTACTTGCTTCCAGCTGCTTAATTTGCTCAAATCACCCACTTCACTCGGCCGAAGAAGCAGCTGTCGTCCGCGGTAGTTACTGCCTTCATACAACACCCACCTGCAGAGAAGACAGCCAGCCATGCATGTTAGTTCAGCCTTATCAATCTGAGTATAAACATGTTGGATAATGTTAAAAAAAAAAAAAGAACAGCCTGTGTTTACATTCCAGGATGAGCTCTGTGATTTACAGCTGTTGTTTTAACACATTTTATTGACTTGGTGGCTTCTTCACATCTCTGACATGTTAGCTGCTCTTAATGAGAACACGTCCGGCTCTATAAACTAAACTAACACCATTTATGGGAATTTCATGAGTCCCTGTCAAAGCTTTTGCAGGAATATGAAAATAATTTGAATGCACAACACTTTGCATCTCCTCCACACCTCAGTGGCTAAGAGTTTGGTTAGGTGTTTAGGTAAAAACTCTGCAGGTTTTAACTTACATAACAAGATTTACTAGATAAACTGAAGGTATACTCATATACAGCCAAAGAGTTCCATTTATTGAAAATAAACAATCAATATTTACATAACTATAAACACTCATAACTTCAGTTTTATTTTGTTATTTGTTATTTTATGACCTGTCAATAAAGTTGGGATTAATAGCTGGTGTTCATTGTGTTTTGATTGATGGTGAGATGGCTTCTTATTTGTTATATTTTGATTAATTAATGTGCCTGTAAAGATACAAAAACAAATACTGTACTGTGACGTACATTCCTCCCTCCACCACCAGGGAGCGTATGCGTGCGTCTAGGCCGGCCTGCAGCAGGTTCACAGTGCCGCTGGTCAACACCACCCTGCGACCACTGCAGCCAACCTTACTGAACAAGATGATGGAGGGCAGAGAGAACTCCTGCAGAGCAACAACACAGAGTCCACATCACTCACATTCTCATACAAGGGCACAAATATAACTTTTTAACATTCTTTTCCATGCACACACACACACACGCACACACACACACACACACACACACTACACACACACACAGTACTCACACACAGTACTCACATGTCCATTGGGCTGTAGGGAGCGGATGGTAGAGTCTGAGGACAGGAAGCCCATGGCCAATGTGTTGGGGTACTCTCCCTCCTCCAGCACATACATGTTGTCTGTAAACCTGGCACCTTCATATGCCGCCCAGCTGACACAAACACACACACACACACACATTTTTTGTTGCCAATAAACTTCACTTATGCCAGTAACTGTATGTATATTTCATTTTTTTATATGACTTTTTGTAACACTATAACACTTTACATTTAACTTAATGGCATTTGGCGCTGTCAGGTAAAACTTGGGACCCTGAAACATTCATCCACTGTGGTTCTAAACAGACTCATTAGCACCAAGGTCTGTAGAATTTCCACATTTGTTTTAGCTTGTTGCCACATATATACAGTATTAATTTTATTATAAAACAAAGTATTTACAGCCAACTATGACAAACATGGCTAATCGTTTCTACACAGAATGCCACTGACAGTTCCAGGCAGTGTTTGGTGCCAGTTGAGCTGTGCCTACCTGCCAGCCAGCACCTTGCAGGACCTGGGCATGAAGTCCTCCTCCAGAGCTGCTGCACTGTCCTCCAGAGCCACCAGCCTGCCCTGGAAGTCTGGCTCAGAGTACAGCTGCACCTGTAACACACACATCCAAAGAGCTTTAATGACCCAGCCAACACAGATGGTTTCAGTGGTTTAATATGAAGCCTTGAATGGAGGGATGATACCTTGAATTTTGTAGATCCCATCAGCATGTCCTAGAGAACAGAGAGGAAGAATGCATTAGGAACATGAGCTATTGCTAACATCAAATACCCAGAATCCTGTTTTTAGCTTATCTTACAAATTAGTGGTGCAACTATTTTTATTATTATTATTATTATTGACTAATCTGCTGATGTTTTTCTGAATTAACTGATTAGTCTACAAAACATCAGAAAAACCGTAAAAACTACAAAAAAAAAATAAAAATACACAAAATACAAAAAATACACATCATGATTTCCAAACACCCAAAGAGATGACTAACGGTTCAAAATGCAAGAAGAGTCAATTTACTATAGTATAAGACAAAGAAAAGCAGCAAATTCTAACATTTGAGAAACTGGAGCCATCAAAACTGACAAACCTACATGACTTACAAGGTTAACTGATTATGAAAATATCTGCTGCAGCTTTACCACACATCATTTCTTACGTGGAAGACCGGCTGTATGGATGAGATCTTGAAGTTCTGGGCTCCCCAGTCCTCTGGACTCGTATACAGGCCTTTCTCCAGCACGTAGAGCTCTCCATTGAATCCAGGCTTTTCAAATCCCACCCACCTGCCGGCGACACAACAAACCACATCGTCAGATGCAAAACACCACAGTGACAGAGTACTTCATCACAACTCATTTATTAGAGATAAATACAAATAATACTATCACTTCATAATCACAGCATTCCATAAAAGCAGGTCATAGTGATCTGATTAGTGATAAAAGTCGACGCCTCTAAGAGACTGTAAAAGGATTCAGCAGGCGAGACAGAGGTGAAGCATAAAGGTGTTAAATGTTAAACAAATTCACCAGCTGTTTTAAAGGTATTATGTAAGATTGTACGGTGGCCCTGAGAGCTCAAAGCACTGCAACTTAAGAAAACACATGCAAACAGACAAAACACAAACAAATTTATCAATTTGAAAACACATGCGCTGCAAATACTCACAACACAACCAAATACAGGAACTTCCAACTTCAAAAGTCACAAAGCATTGAATAACAAGTACACCCCAGCCAGGTTCGTCACTTTTTTGTGTCCCCTGGAAACACTTCTTTTGTTCTGTCCTACTTGCAGCGCATTTGTGTATTTGGTTATGTAGTGAATTTTAGCAGCGCATGTTTTGTCAAATTGATGAAGATGTTTTCTGAATTTGTTTGTGTTTGGTCTGTTTGCATGTGTTTTCTTAAGTTGCAGTACTTTGAGCTCTCAGAGCCACCGTACCATTGGGTTAGGGTTAGCCTAACCCAAACTGTTGTGAAACTTATGTTTTTAAACAATTAGCTACTGAACAGTTTGTTCTGAACTCATCCTTCTCTTTGTTGAAACTTGTACAAGAAGATTGTAAAGTACATTTATCATTAACAGTAATTAGAAAGTTTTATTTTATTAGTATCATCACTGTAAACTTTTGCCTCCAAGAGATGGAAGCGCTTTTTCATTCTGTGTCAAACCAGACCCATCAATTACACAAAGGGATCAATCACACTATTCATAAACGTATCCTCTGGGGCTGTATGTGTGTGCATGTTTGCGTGTGCAGTGACTGAACACTTAGTCATGACTGTGATGTGAGAAGCACACACCCATCAATTGTAAGGGCGTGAACAACACAGAGGCAAAACGTTTCCCTCCTCCATTATGAATTTTAGCCTCTCGAGTTATCTTTTTTGTTTTTGTTCTTGTTGTTTTTTTCTTTGCAGAAACTGTTTGACTTACACTCCACCCATGACGTTGGCAGACTGGGTTTTGATGCCATGGCTGACGTCCTCCATGTTGAGGACGGGACCCAGCAAGTCCACGTTGAGCCCCAGCTCATTTAAGTTCCGCTCGCTGAACAGTTTCACATGTGGAGACAGGAAATCCTTGGGAAGATAATAACACAATAAAAAATAATGAGAAGGAATTAAAGTCAGAAAAGCTGGTTGTCTTGTGTCAGGTGCCTCACTGTCCAGTCAAGTTCTGTTAGTACAAACAGGGGAAGGTTGGGAACCGTTTAAATGATCAGTGAAGTCTGAAAGATCTTGCAGGTGGATATTTCAGGCGATACTCACTGTGCACACAGGCCGCAGTGACTGGAGCCCGTCTTCAGACCCTCCCCAGTCACTGCAGTGAGGATACTCCCCCTCCTCCAGGATGTACTGCTGGCCCTCAAAGTCTGCCTCGAGATAGCCCACCCAGCTAAAACAAAGAGATATGACTAAATATTAATTAACTATACAATAACCACCAGAGACGAAGAGCACACAGAGAGGTGGATTTGATATTAACTCAGCCAGATACTCACAGGCCACCGAGTATCTTTATAGACCCCACTGTGGGAAGTGTCTTCTTCTTCTCCTCAGGTTTGTCCGTTTCCTCCTCTGTCTGTTCTTGCAGATCGTACACATCACCGTCCACCTCTATACACTCTCCAACAAAGTCGGGTTTCTCGAACACCAAGGCCTGGATGAGAGAAGGAGTTCAAGATGAGTCTCTGCTGCAGACAGAGGCCGCACACATGTTTACATGAGTTTGTCTGCTACATGTGTTTTTGGCCCATTCCTGTCCCAGGGCAGAATGTCACTCATTCCATAGATCACAGTGGAAAGTACAATATATCTTAACATACGACTACGTGAGGTACACAGGCTACACAATACAGACTGATCTGCCGGCGCACCAGAGGCACATTGTAAATAAGTGAATGGATATGCTGTTATGTCCTTGAGACTTCTCTTTCAACTGTTTCTAGTAAATGTTTCCACTGCAGGAACTTTCCCTGGGAACCAAGAACCTTTTGACAAACTCAGGGACTTCACGTGTGTTTCGACTGAGGGAGCTATGGGCTGAGTTCCTGCAGGAGAGTTTGAGGTATAAAAAAAAAAAAAGTGGCTGCTCTTAGTGTAGTACTTCACAATCGTTCAGGAACTACTGGGGAGGAGTTTGTAGTGTCTGATTGGTCAAACACAGACACAGGAACAGGACTAGGGGTACTGGGCTAAAGCAGAAGATTTTTAGTCTCCTTGTCCACTCCTGCGTGTCTCCTTTCTATTCCTTCATCACATCTAGGGCTGCACAGTTGTTTTAGCAGATCTTTAATGCAATACAAACCTTGACTTCGTGAGGATGCTCCACCCTTATTGCTCCCTGAAATGAAGAGACACAAATTTGTCAGAAAAAGACAATTGACAAAATGACAATATATTACAAATATAATACAGACATCATGTACAGTACCATTCGGAGGGGTCTGAGAGACCCAACGAAGGGATCAGAGAAACCCCAGGTCTCTGGGCAGGGGTACTCGCCCACCTCCAGCACTCCCACAAATCCTCCAAAGCCTGGATCAGTGTACACCAGCCAGCTACAGATACACAGAGATAACAGGGGAGAGAGGGAGAGAAAAAGAGGAGAGGAGAGGAGAGGAGAGGAGAGGAGAGGAGAGGAGAGGAGAGGAAAAGAAAGGAAAGGAAAGAAAAGGAAAGCGGGAAGGGTTTTGTAAAGTAAAATTAGTATCAATCAATCATCTGTGTATCATTAATTCACTTTGTTATAATTGTGTGTTTTCAGAACAAACTCTACCTCCACCTAAGAAAGTGAAAACATCATGCTAATGAAATCCAGATGTCTTGAGGCTTCTTTTCCCTGGCAACTGTAACCAGACCTATGTTCATCCTGATTGGTTATGTTAGTGACTGTCCAGCTGGTGGACAGTTCATGGCTTCTTTCCAATTGGTTGATATTAGATTGTTTTTGGGCAAGTGGCCAATCATGACCTTCGGCTTTGTCTTAAAGAAAATAATAAAATCCTTTGTGTTAGGAGATCTCTCCCCTTGGATTAAAGGCTGTAAGGAACCTTGTTGCTTGTATTGTATACAATATATTTATAATGAACTTCAATGTATCAGTGTTTTGTGTTAACTTGACGTCAAGTGTTTCAACAGATCAACTTCCCATAACATTTTTTAACACTATAAATTAACAAGAGTGTAATGACCATTTCTTGATTTTCTTCTTCCCAGTCTGTGTAAGAGACAAACTTGTCTTATCCTGTTACATGAGGGACACGAAGGGACTAAAAGCTCTCTCTGCACCATGAGCCAGTTGAGAAATGCTGAAAGTTTAAAAGCACTAACCATCAGTAATCAGCAGCAGTGAAAGCTATGACAACCACAAGCTCTAGCCTGCAGCTTGCATTCCTTCGGAGACAGAAAACAGATGCTCCGCACGGACTCTTTCCCGTGCAGTCATCAGTCTCTCTCTGTGACCTTTAAACCTACTAGTTAGCAGCAGGGTTGCCACCAGCTATGCCATTTCTTTTTTATCCAAACTAAAAAGCTCAAGGCAAATGATTAGACACTAGATATAAAATTTGGACACACTGTCCCATGGGAAAGTGTGGGAAAGTGTGTCCTGTATATTACCTGGGATGTTTCCATAATGCCACCTCCTCAGTTACATGCAGTACATTCCCTGTTACTTTAAATGAGTGACACAATAACAGCAGTTGGAGTAAGTACACAGCTGAACTTACACTCCAGAATGGACCTTAATGGAGCCAGTGGTCTGTGGGATCCCATAGGAGCCGATCTCCACAGTGTCTTCACAGTAAGATGCCACCCTGCCCAACCCATTGACCTCTGAAAACAGGTCGATCCGGGGTATGTTATAATCCTATACAAAACAAAAACAAAAATAAAATTGTGTGAGAATTTCAAGTTTTTAAGGATGGGTGTTTGCATAGCGATATACAAGCTATAATCTTATTGATACTGCACTTTGAGTGATATAAAAAAACTTGCCTTTTTTATACTTAAAAAGAAGCCAAACTTTTCTAAATGTTAAATCTAAATATTAGATCACCTGCGTAAAATATCATGTAAAACTGGCAAAAATGTTATTAAATCAGAAAGTGTCTGACAAAAGAAGAATTAAAGAAGAGCATGAATCTGAAGTATTTGTACTAGACACCCCATTCACTTTTTGGTTGGTTAGGAATTCCACATGGATCACATGACGTGATATACATTGCAGGACAAACAATAACAATAACAATACAGATGAAGTATAACAGACTGATAAATAAAGTTTAACTTACTCTAACTGCCAGTCGCAGAGAACCTATAACCATAGGTGCTGCCGGGACAGGCTGACCAGTCTGGTCCAGTGTTGTCGGAGCTCCCTCATCTGCCCATATATTCACTATCTGCTCTGTAGGACCTTCCTCAAGGGCGATTATCCGCCCCTGGAATCCAGGCTTTTCATACAACAGCCAGCTAAGAGAAGATGAAGAGAGGAACTTTTCTCATTAGTTAAGGGATAGTTTAATAGCTACAGTACATCACTGCGGCAGATACATGCTGATGGGAGCAAAGAGAAAATGTTGACTGAATTGGAGAACAGCAGAAGGGATCATGGAGCTCTGAAACACTATAACCAGTCCAGGCAGACTGACAAGGTAAAGTACAAAGTTCAGTCTCATCACCTGATTGGTTATTTAGATTATGATATTCATCAGTTAAACATACTGACTTTAAATGAAGAACACTTGTGAAAAAGATATGTAATGAAAGCAGGATATTTTACAATTTAACAATAAACTATTGTCCAAAACAATATGTATATATATTATATATTTAACTTGAATGTAAACAAAGGATCAAATATACATAAAATCCTGCCGATATAACTGGACTTGACCTGAGCATTTCCACTGCATTATTGCTTCTTAATATAAGTATTCACATCAGTACATATCGGAGAATATATGCGCCGATACCGATATATCTGTGATAGGCCACTATCGGCCGATACTTACCACCCTCTGATGACTCTGACAGAGATGATAGGGGACAGCTTCATCGTGGTGGCGTCTTCCACATCAGAGTAGAACTCCAACGCTTCCCCTCCAAACTGAGCATGTTCATGTACGACGATCTGCATCAAGAAACAGAGATTTCATTGCAACAATGTGTTTTTCCATGTTAAATGTTATCAAAAATGTGTGTAAAGAGCATTTAACCCTTACCTTTCCAGGCCTTTTGTGGAACCCTCTCACCGCTGGTATCTGTGAGGAAATGTAACAATTATGAACTTGAACCTTCAGTCAACTATTTCAACTGTTCATCCATTCATTTTAATCAATTTAATACCTCCTAGCAACTGCAGAAGTACCCTTTCAGTACAAATACACCTATTAAAGTACCACTGAGGTAAAATATACATTTTGACTGGGAAGAAACCAAAACAATAGTCTTGCCCATGGCTCTTAAGGGAGAGAAAGAAATAAACACTTTCTAGCAGGTATTGTAGTGTACATTGTGTTCATCAAAACACAAACACAGTTTTTGCATAGTTCAGTGCTCTATTTGCACATTGATGCAAATATGTTATCATGACGTGACAGTAGAACTTCAGACAAGTTGAACCTGGCAAATATTTCCTGTGCAAAATTCCACTGAGGACATGTTCCTCTCTCCTGTCCTCACTTGCACATGATTCATCTCTTTTATGGGAGCAACATTGCAAAAGAAAGGAGCAGGATATAAAACTAGAACAAATACCACTGTGGAAATGAAGTAGGAACTACCAGTGACTTGTATAAAAGCCTAACAGGTCAAAACCAATTCAGGCTTTGGGCTGTTATTTCCCCATTATTTCTTTAGAGCTCTTCATTTAAAATATTCAAAATCTTACCTTTGACTTGGTAGACTTAGTAGAAAGTCCATTTTGGGAATTCTGCTGGCTGGACTTGGTGGTTGGAGGCAGAGCAGCAGGGCCTTTCACATCCACATCTACTCCTGCTACTGAAGCTGGATCCATAACAGTCTTCCCCTCAGGATTCAGATTGGTTTTAGTTGGGTTTGTGGAGCCCTGAGAGGCCTCAGAATCTCTTTTATCCTTCATGTATTTCTCTAAATGATCAGGCAGCTTTACCTCTGAGAATGTGGGAAGACTAGGAGGAGAGGAGGGGCTAAGTGCTGACTCACCAACTGTACCTCTACCACCACCCATGAGCGGGCCATGATCTGTGCTCTTCACACCCTCCTTATCTGCTGTGGCGCCAGGCAGAGGTGAATCAACAACAGCCTTCTTTCCAACAGAGGGCAGGTCTTGTAGTTGCTTAGATGTCAATGAGCTATTTGAGGCAGAGGTAGTTTCCTCTTTGTTCTTCCTGGAGGAGCTCAGAAGGCTGGAGAGGATGGATATCCTTCCTAGTCTTGATGTCAACTTCCCAGGCTCCTCTCCGTTGCTTTGTCCCTCTGCTTCAGCTTTGGTCCCCCCTCCATCTTTTCCTTCCACCTCGTCAAGTGATTCCTTTTTGTCTGTAGACGTGGGCAGGGCATTGTCTTGGGCACGTTTTCCCAGCGTCCTTCCTTTCCTATTGGCTGCTTTTTGTTTTATTACCATAGCTGGTGAAGGATCCCTAAAACTTATGCCATTTTTCCTTAAGCCAAACTGGAATTCCTCAGGATTAAATGTCTTCTCAAAATGGTCCTCCTTGATGGCCGGCATGGCAAAAGGTGGAGATGGGGACTTTTTACGAATGTGCCTCTTTGGAGGGAAGGAGAAAGGTATTCCACCCTCCTTAATACTCTTGATGAAATCCTCAAACTCATCAGGCTCCAGAGATTCATCCTCACTGGCTGATGCATTCAGTCTTTTTTTGTGCTCCTTCTTCTGTTTTTGATTGTGTTCCACATCCAACCAGCTTGATGGAGATTCCTTCTTTAGCGGAAGACTTTGAGACGGACTGGATGGTTTCGCTGCATCAGGAAGAAACGAACTGCCGTTGAGCATTAGCTTTGTCGGTTTTTGTTGATCACTGAGGTTCAGGATGTTGTCCTCTCTTGAAGTCTGTACTCCCTGTTTCAAACCACTACCTGTTTTTGTCCTTTCTTGAATGTCTTCCTCATTCTTCTGAATGTCAGTACTAATGGGTATTTTATCTAAAATAACATTGGACTTGTCTATTTGTTCTCCACCAACCTTTTTACTAGATACATCTTTTACAGAAACAGGGTCTGACTCTTGGCTGACATCTGTCTTTGATACGTTTATCTGCTGCTGCTGTGGCTTTGTCACTTCATTTTGACCTTGTCCACATTCTTTAACGAGGCTTTTCTGGTTCTGCATCTTATCACTCTTACTAACTACCTTTTCAGTTGCGGAAACACTTGATTCTTCAGGTAATTTGGCATCTTTTGTTGCCTCCAGAGATCCTTTTGTTACAGTCATTGGTTTCTGTTGTTGGCTACCATTTGGAGCTTTGGAATCTGTGGATCGATCAGTGTCTGTCTCTGGTTTCTCCACATATTCGTCTCTGACAACTGAGGACTTCCCGTGTTTTTGGGTACTAACATTCACCAAACTCTTCAATGAGGAATCCTTTGTTTCAGTCTTCTCTGTTGTTGCCTCAGCACTCTGAGTTTTGGTGATTTCAACTTTTAGATTTTCTGATGTCTTCTCTGTTCTTACTTTCTCTGGTTCCTGTTTCAGGTCAGTATTTGAACATTTAGATTCTGTCAACTTGTTTTTCTCTAGTTTTGTAATGTCCTCATGTTGGTCTCCAACTATTTTGGTCTTCTGGACCTGTTGGTTGGTAACTTCATGTTTAGCATTCGCAGTTGGTGTCTTAGTCAAACTCTTTACTGATGAATCCTTGGTTTCAATCTTTTCTTTGCTATCTTTAGCACTGGTGTTTATGGAGGTACATTCTTGAGTTATATCTGTTTTCACATTTTGGTTCTCCCTTGTCTTCTCCAAAGCTTTTGCTCTTGCTGTTTCTGGTTTTATGTTAGATTTTGGATGTTTGGATTCTGTTGGTTTCTTTTTCTCTCCCTTTTCCCTGCTCTTAATTTGGTTTCTACCAATCACAGACTTCTGGTCTCTGACAACGGCCTCATCTCCAGTCTCTTTCACCGATGAATCCTTTATTTCAGTCTTGTCTTTGGTTCTTTCAGTACTAGTTCTTACAGAGTTGAGTTCTCGAGTTTTGTCTGTTTCTTGGCTCTTCATTGTCTTCTCTTGAACTTGAGTTCTTACCCTCTCTGGTTCCTGATCCAACTTAGAGTTTGGACATTTGGATTCTGTCGATTTGTTTTTATCTAGTTTTGTTATGTCTTCAGTGTCTCCAACAATTATGGACCTCTGGTCTTGTTGGATGTTAACTTCACTGTCAGCACTCACAGCTGCAGTCTCATTCACCACAGACTTTACTGATGAAGCCTTTGTTTCAGTCTTTTCTTCAGTACTTTCACCACTCAGAGCTTTTTGAGGTCTATCCATTTCTGGTGTCTTCTTCTCTGGAACATTTTGTGCTTCAGGTTTCGGTTCTAGTTTAGCATTTGGACATTTGGATTCCGCTGATTTATAAACTTTTCCCTCTGTTTTTTTAATATCTTCAGTGAGCGCCTTCTTGTCCTCTTGGTTGGATTGAGCAGTCTCATTTGAAACCTCATTTGGTAAACTCTTCTCTTCTTTATTACCTACACCACCCCGCATTTTAGTGCTTCTGGCTTTTATATTTAGAGTTTGGCTTTCCTTTAAACCGTTAGCGTGTTTGTCCTCCTCATTTGTGTTGTCGTTCTTGACGTCATCTCTGGTTGGAAGTCGTTTGGGCTCCTGTTCATTTTTCACTGTTGATGCCATTCTCTGCTGCTCCACTCGCTGTGTTTCTTTACAGCCACTCTGTGCATTTTCTTTCAAAAGGATCGCACATTCATGTTTTGTATCTTCCACACTGGCAGTCGTTTCACGAAATACCCTTCTCTCTTGCTCTGCTTCTGTCCTCTTCTCTTCCAGGGTTTCTGTAACTACCGTCTGTGGTTCCTCCTCTGAGTCAGGCTGTAAACATTTCTCCTCTGATGATAGACCATATGGCTTTTCTGCTTTTGTAATGTCTTTCTCTGCTTCATCCACTGTGGTTGTGCCCTTGAGCTCCTCTATGCGACTGCTCTGTGAGTCAGTGCTTTCCACTGCTGCGTCATTCAGCTTTTCATTTGGTTTTGAGTCTTTCTCCTGTCTTTCAAATTCTCCGGCCAGTAAAAGAGGCTCTTTGTCCGGCTTATTTTCAACATTCTTGGGTAATTCACAAACAGTCACAGCCTCTGTTTGAATGTCCAAAGCCTCTGAGGGTTTTGTGCCAACCTCCTCTTTACTTTTCTCCTCCACCTCAACATTTTTCACTGAATCTTTGCCTGATGTGGAGGGCAATCTATCATTTTCAGGAATTATATTCGTGGTTTGATCCTTTAATAAGCCATTTTCCTTCTGCTGCTCTGTATTGGCCAGCTTCGCATCGACTGAAACACAGGAATTGGCTGAAAGTTCATCTTTTGGCTCAGCATCTTGGTCTTTTGATGCCAATTTAGCAGGAAGATTATTTGTGTTATCCTCTTCTTTTGCACTGACCTCAGTTTTTGCTTTAAGGGAAACGTTATCAGGCATAACACCTTCCTCATCAGAGTGAGTCATTATGTCAGAGAGTATGCCATCACCCACAGCAGGTTTGGTTGACATATCAGTTACATCCTCATGAGCTGGTTTTGTGACCTGAGGCAACACTGCAGAGTTTGGCTCCTCCTCCTGGATTAAATCTGGTTTTATGTTACTTATTATCTGGGCTGTCTTCTGTTCCTGTGTGGTGTTGTCACTTTGCATGAGAGATACATTTTCAAGTGAAGACTCCATGTGTGCTTGCTGTTTAGCTTCATGTTGTCTTCCCCGTCTATCTGTCTCAACATTATTTATATCAGTGACTGGGAAATGAGCTGGATTTGCTTTAGCAGCCCCACTGCTACACAATAACTTAGATACTGGTTCTGCTGCTGGTGTAACTTCCACCTGAGCATTTGCTGTGATAATCCCGTCATTGTTTTGTTTTGGCTGTATTTTTGAAATCTCTCCAGTTGTAGGACTGGTTATTCTCTCTAACTGATTTATTTCTTTTCCTTCCAGTTTGATTTCACTGGTACTTGACTGTTTGTCTGTGAGTTTAATGATATGTTCTTCCTTCTCCTCCACTCGATTCACTACAACACTGTCAGCTGCTTTAACAGCTGTCTCTGTGTCAGCGCTCTGACTGGACTCCTGTGTAGATGTAGATGTGCTTGCAGAAGTCTCAGTTGAGGAATGTAGAGGTTTCCTGGTTTTGATTTTGTTGGAGCTCCTCTGACCCCGGGTAGGAAGCTTGCTCACAGACAGTGAGGGATCAGCTGACTCCTTTACTGGACTCTTTTGGTGTTGTTTGATGTTGTCACTCTGTTTGGAGAGCCTTGATGAGACGGTTTTCTCTTGCTTGATTGGAGGTGGAGAGACACATGATGTGGGAATGTCACTCTCTTCATGGCTTCTTTGAGAGAGGTGTTTGGATGGTCTTGTCGGCGGCATGCCTCCTGTTGGAAACACGTACACACGCAGTTTTAATACAACAAAAAACAATCTAAAAAGGCAAATCAAAGGCCCCATATTTGACACTTTTCCTGTGTTTTATTTGAAGTGTTGATCCATCAGAAGATATATTTGTGGTTTAAAGAACCAAGAAACATATCAATGTAGTTTTACATCTCCTCTCTCAGGCTTCTCTCTGGAGCTAATCAGAAGAGAGGAGGCTCTGAACCTCTCTCTGGGTCCAGGTGGGCAGGGCTTGGGGTGGTGACTGTTTTCTTGTGACATCACAAAGTTACAGAATAATTCTGAATACAGGCTGTGTGCATTTCTCTGTGGACTGAGCGCTTTGATATGGGACCTGTGAAGGAACAGTTCAGCAATTTGGGAAATAAGTTAATTTGCTGTGCTGCCAAGACTTGAAAAAGACTGAAAAAATAGTGTGCCGGACTATCTTTTGGCTGGGTCAGTTTTTGTGTAGATAAAATAAACAAGATAGAACATGTTAATCAGTGAGCTTCAGCAGGGCTGGTAGGTGGATTTTGTTATATTTGGATTGAGCCAGGCTAGCTGTTTCCTTCTGTGCAAGTCAGCAAATAAGTGTATTTTCCAAAAAGTCAAACTGTTCCTTTAAAACATTAATAATTTTAAACCTCACATTGAAGTGTATCTGCAAAGTTGAACTTACATTCACCGTCAACAGAGGTGACAAAAGGACTCATGTATTATGACAATGTAAACAGAACTGGAACCGACAGATTTACTGCCAAGCAAACAACAAGTCGTGATCGTACTGTCTTACCTTTGCTGGGACTTTCAGAGTGCAAGGAAGCGATGTCACTAACAGGCCTCTCACCAGGAGGTACTTCTTGCTGGTCTGGACTCTTCTTGGGTCTGTCTGAGTCTGTCTGACCAGATGAAACTTTTTTAGAGCTGGTGCCAGCGGCTCTTGTGATATCATCATTCTTCTTTCTTGTTGGCGATGAAATGGGCAGCCGAGTCTTTGTTGCCAAGGAGGCGTTATTCTCCAGATGTTTCGGAGGCTGTTTTTTGACATCCAGGCCTTCCTTGTCAAGTGGGGGTCCTGCTTTAACACTGCTCTCCTTATAATCTTTCTCCATGCCATTTACCAGGTTTACAGAGCTGCTGTCTTCATCTGACTTTTCTTTAACAAGCTTCGTTCCTGTCCTGTAGGTGTTTTTTGTTGGAGACATGTCTCCTGAGACAGATTTCCCTCCCTTAGCTTCCTCAAAACTTGGTTTCCTACCAGCTTTGGTTGCAGGGACCGGAGATTTCAAAGATTCTTTGGTTTTAGGTTGCTTTTGCAGTTTGGAAGTGGCTGCTGCAGCATCAGTCACTGATGTTTTATCTGGAGTCACCGGTGATTTCACATCAGCGTCTGACGATGACCTTTTAGGGATTTTAGACTTTGAACTTGTCACACTGCTGCTGCTGTGGTCTTTTAATGCTGGTAACATAGAGGCTGTTTTCTCAGCGCTATCTTCCCTCTGTGGTGGAATACCACTGGAAGTTCCCTGTTTTGTGCCCTCTGCGGAGCCCTTCGCCTTTGTTGTGACATTCTTGGCCCTGCTTCCAGCTGCAGGGGACGGGGTCTTTGCTCCGCTTGCTGTGGTATGCCGACTCTCTGCTGCTGCTTTCAGCCCTCGTTTGGAGGGGATATCCTGGTTGGCCTCTGGGCTTGTTACCCCAGATCCCAACACTCGTGACTTTGCTCGGTACATGTTTGAGGATGCACTGGTATCATCAACGTCACAGGCCTCAGAGTCTGTCTTTTCTTTCGCTAGAAGTGCAGCAGTGTTTGTGTCACAGAGTGTAGTCTCATCTTTTGTTGTGCGTGGCTCAAGGTTGGCGCCCTTGAGTTCTGCATTGTTGTTGTTTTGGAGGTTTGGCAGTCTGTCAGGAGAGAGACAGAGAGGGGAAATGTTTTTAACCTTTAGAACCACAGTCTTCAAATAAGAAACAATCAGTGTTGTAAAGTTACTAAATACATTTAATCAAGTTAATTTGAGGTACTTTTACTTTATTTGAGTATTTCCATTCATTCTACTTCATACTTGTACCTCACAACATTTCAGACTGAAATATTGTACTTATAACTCTGCTACATTTATTTGATAGATATGTAGATACTAGTACCAGCTTTTAGTCAGTGGAAAGAATTTTGTTTTATTTTGAAAAATGTGATAGACCATACACTGTGTTCATCACAGGAGAAAAAACAATCACAGTCAACTCCTCCGCTGTCAGTCATGTTGGATCAGCTCAGTTTGAACCTGGCAGTGTCCTAACGATGGCTACATTAGATAAAGATGAACCACAAGATTCAGCAGAGCACCATGGCCTTATCTTAAGTTCACGTTTGAAATTTTAGAAATAAAGAAAGATTCCTTTCATTATAAATGTTTGCTACAAAATTTTTCTATCCAGCTTGAGAAAGCGTTGAGGTTTGTAACGTTTGATCAATTCTATACAAACTTTTAAACAGACAGCTTGTAGTAGCTGCCATTTTTATGCTATGCTTGGTCAAATGACTTTTTATGGACTTCATATTTGGTCCTGTAAGAAACCGTTGCCAACGCATAGCATACTAATAGCCAATGAAAATGCAGAGTTAACATTACTGACTAAAGTTTTATTCTACAGTCAGTCAGTAGGTTGTTTCAGAGTCATTAGGTTCTTTAAATGTGGAACAATATAACACTGAGTTGGCATAAAAAAATAATTTACTTTTGAATATTAGTAGTATTATTAGTATAATAGTATTTTTAAAAGCAAGTACTTCAGTACTCAAATAAAAAAACTTTCATTTGTACTGGAGTAATATTTGACCAGGAGGAACTACACTTTGACTCTTCTCAGCATCTATTGCATCTATTTAAGAGTGAAGGGCAGAGGAGAAACTTCAGCTATGCTTGACATTCACCCTGCGGTAGTTCTGAAACCATAAATCTGTCCCAGTGTTCAGCTTTTTTCGGGGCATGACCATCTTTAGCCTGGAGTAACTCAAAAATGTACAGGGTGTTACCACGGTCACATCACTACTCATGTTTTATTCTTCTGAGAGCAGTAGGCTATCTGTACATATACACATACGTATGTATGCAAACAGAAGTGTGCAGGCAGTAGTCACCAGTTGCCCGTCAAGTTCTGTAATGACTAACTTATTCTGGTAGTGAATGTACACCATAGGTAAACACAGCAAAGGTGACCTTCATTTCAATTCACACTTGACAAAATGAAAAAGAAAATCCTCACTCACCATCACTTCATTTGTTCTTAAGCAGTAACAATCATTTTTAAGGACTTGTACGTGTAATCTACAGTGTTTTATAGCAGATGTCTGTGTTTCTGAATGATTAGATGGACTGTATATGAATATTTCAGAGCCTAAGTTCAGGTTTAGCTTGCATTGTTCTCCTCTGGTACAGTGGAGCATGGGAACTCAGAGCTCAGGTTGCATGTCAGCTTCGCTCCCTGTGGTTCCCCTGCTTTCTGTTTCTCCCAGGATCAAAGGAGCTATTAAACAATAACTGCAGCAAATTAAAACAGGCAGATGTAAATAGACAGCTCAGCTCTCTTTAGCTCCCCTTGCTTTGTGTTTCTCCCTGGAACAAAGGGGCTGTTAAACAATAACTAGCAGAAAGTTAAAATAGACAGATACTCACAGTTTCACTTGTGTTGTGTCTGAAGTCTTTGAAGTTGAATCTGTGCTGTAGTCCTCTCCTGCCGCTTCGTTCTCATGCGAACCCGGCTCTGGGCTAACGCACCCCTTCTGGCCAGAAACCTTGTGCTTCGAGGGCAGATTCACAGTCTTGCGCGTCACACGAAGTTCTCTCGGTCTGCGTTTCTCCTGGAGGGAATTTTGCTTTGAGCCTGTGCCAGTGTCAGGCTCCTCTGGCTGCGGTGAGCTTGTTTGGAACTCCCCTGTAGTCACTGCCAAGGAGATGGCCGAATCTGGCGAGCTGCCACCGGGCGGCAAAGCTTCTGAGGGGGTAGAGGGGCCATCTTCGGTGCCCTGAGCGACCGAGTCGTCCTCTGGAATTACAATGACAGGTATGGCCAGCACGGGAGGCGAGTCTGCTCTGTAGCCCTCCTCCCTTTCTTTCGCTATATCCTTCTCTTTCTCCCCCTCCCCCTCCCCTTCCTCCTCCTCCTCTCCCAGGTGTGTTTCCACCCAAATTGCTTTGTGGAGTCGGACAGGAGAATCACCTCTGGGTATTTCCTCAGTCTCAGGTGAAGGGCTCCATGCCGTGGCTGTAGTTTCCCAAGAGAATATCTGAGCCCTCCTCCTGGCCTCTGAGTTTTCTTTCTCTCTTTCGCTTTCATCTTCCTCTTGAGTCGTGATGAGGTGTGAGGTGGATGACTGAGAGCCTAATCTTATTCCTGTTAGAGCAGTGCTGTGCCCCTTCTCTCCGACTCTCACACAGGTTTTCTTCGATGCTAAGCTTATAGAAGTTAAGTTAGGAGACTTTGGAGCCTCGGCTGTCTTGGAAAGGGGGATTTTGAATGTCGTCGGTGTGGTCGGGGTGAATGTGCTGTCCTCACTGGAACCCTCTGTGTTCATCAGCATGCTTTCTTCTAAATGAACCTGCAGCCTCTTGCTTACTTCCTCCACCACTGACGCTGCAAAGCCTAATTCTGAGCTCGCATCAGCACGCGGCCGAGAGGCAGCAGCAAGGCCGATACTGGTGGGAGTGGTGGGAGTGGTGGGAGTCACATTCCCAGAATTCCCTTCACCGCTGGCAGTGCTGACCCTGCACACTATCACCTCCCTCACGCTGCTTCGACCGCTGCTGTCGCTGTCTGCGAACGGGAGCTCGGCTTCATCTCTCCGCACAGAAATCACGCTTGAGGCACTGAGACCGGACCCTTGGCTGAGGGTGTCATCGCCCTCCGCTCCTGTCCTGGTCTCACCGCGATGTGACCCCATGAGATCACTGTCTTTTCGAGAGGGAGTAGGTGTCTTTAGCCCATCCTCCTGTTGAGATATAGGTGAATGTTGGGACAAGGGGGACAAGGGGGACAAGGGGGACGTTGGGGAACTCGCGTCAGTGGAGGCATCTGAATGCTGCCGACTCCTGCTCTTCTTTCTCTTGGAGTTGAAGAAGCTGCTGAGGCGATCGAACACTCCCCTCTTCTCCTCTGGATTCTGAGAGAAGACAGGCAGAAAAAAAGACAGAGAGGAACATAGTGAGGTGGGGAAAACAGCCAGCACAATTTTTGTCTCTGGCTTCGCTATAGAAGTAAAACAGAAAATGAAAACTAAAAAGTATGCTCTGCAGCAGACATGCAGCCAAAAGCTAAGCAAGAAAAATTTCCATTGCTGAACTCCAGTTAAAATATGGACTCCCACAATCACATTTTTAAGATATCTCCAGGCTAGAAGCAGTTTACACAACCTTGAACTTAGGGGGAAGTCAATAAATGACCTGCATCCACATATTCAATTGTAAGAACTATGCATTAACTAATGCAATATCAAAGTAAAAGCATATACAACACTTTAGAACAGGGACATGATAAAGATCTACAAGGGAGGAGAAGTGTAGATGTCAATAAAAACATGCCTGAACTTATATCACAGATAGAAATATGGTATATAGATATAGATATATTTGTGGTTTTAAATACCAAAAACCATCTCAGTATAGTTTTCCATCTCCTTGGTTTCTCTCTGGAGCTCAAGTAACAACAGTTCAGTGAGCCAATCAGAAGAGAGGAGGCTCTGAGCCTCTGACTGTTTTCTGAGTGATCCAATAAAAATATAGCAGATTTAAGGTAAGCACTCAGAGAAATCAAATCCTGCAAGGTTGGATGGTGGGTCCACGTGGGCAGGGCTTGGGGTGTGGCTGAGAGCAGTGACTGCTTTGTTGAGACATTGTTACAGAAGTCCTGACGGCTGGTTTTAAGGCTCAGTGTCTGAATACAGGCTGTGTGCATTTCTCTGTGGACTGAGGCTTTGATACTTTCACAGTATTAATATAGAACCTAGACCTGCTTTATAATCAAACAACACATGGACATCTACCTTTATACTAGATGGGACCTTGTGTGTGTGTGTGTGTGTGTGTGTGCGCGTTTGTGTGTTGTGTTTTTATGTTACTGTTTTTTCAAGATGACAATAAAAACGTCAACAATATGTGTAAAAAAAGAAAAAGACCATAAATGACTTTTCCTTGAGATTCTTTTACTAAAAAGAGTCAGGTTAAATTCAGACAACCTGGTTGAAATAACAACACACTGTGGCTGCAGTGGCACGACTAATGACTAACTAGACAGATATAAAACTTCTTTGATGTTTAGCTCAAGGGTCACTTACCCTTTACCGCCAACAACTTTAAACAATAAAAAAAATGAAGTTGGTCAAGACAGGCTTGGGTCTGAAAGGACACTAATAATCAATGAGAGCTGCATTATTATCTAATATAAAAGTAGATTAGAGTGTGAGACGGCAGCAGCGACTTTAACGTATTTATACTGTATACTCTAGTCAAACAAACGTCATAGTGTGTCCATGAGACTTTTTAACAGGGTTGACATCACAGCCAGAAGACACCAAGGAAAAAACTTCACGCCGTCATAAAACACACCTTTCAAAAGGGCACATGTTAAGACAAGAAACATGAACCACAGTGTAAAAGACAACAGTTACATACCATCTGGACTTCCTGGAGTCTAACCTGTTGAATTCCTTCGGAGTTTGGTGTCTAATTAATGCTTAGTTTGCAGAAATAGCAGATGAAAGTTAACATTATGTCTTTTTTCTTTTTGTCTGTCTTTTTTTTTTTTTTTAAGACATAATGATCCTCAGAATGATCCTTGAACTAGATAGAGCTTGTAAAGCCAAAGATAAAAGCCAGTGTCCTACTTAAGTGTTCGACATTAAAAAAAATAAAATAGTCCTCTCGTATGACAAACAGCGCTCACTGCAATTACTTGTGTGTTTCCACAGTTAAGTGTCTGACTGTCTCTGAACAAAGTGCCTGACTTGAGGGCATGGCCATTTACATCACAGCTACAGTGTGGAGAAAAAGAAATATTGTGAAAGACTGTTCACATGGCAAGCACGCAAAAGAAATTCACAATCTAGTCAAAGTAAAAGGGTGTGGACAGGCCTGCTGGAGACAACCCCACCCTTCCTCATTCTAAAGCTGGGCAATTCAATGGGACATCTGTTATTTGCTTTTATTTAAGAAGAATTCAACCTGTGTCAGTTAGGAGTGCTAATTCAAACCTTTTAGATAGTCTTTTAGATAGGAAGTATACAGTGATATGGGTCAAAGGTTCCACGACCCAGGGCTGTAACGGTAAGTAATCTTAACTTTATCTTAACAGTTCTGAGAGTATTTCCAGAGTACTATCTGAACAGCAATTTTCTGTTATAAAAACCAGTCACCACACATCTCCAGTGGTGTCAAACATTCACATACTTTCAGTGAGCAAACAGCAGGTAAAGAGAGCCTGTGGCCGGGCTTTCCAGTTCATGCCTACACAGAATGAAACCCAGACACACAACTGAATACTGAATCTGGTATCGCTTTTGTTTAAATAAGTAGTCAAAGCTGCGACACTGTACCTCCACGTTGTTTTGACTCATTCACAAATCCACTGTGTTGACGCAGAGAACATAAAAAAAAAAAACAAAAGAAGGGTAAATGAAGTATCCTGTGTTCAGTGTATGTGTAAGTCTTGGAAGGCAACTCCGTCTATGTTACTTACTGCTGTAGTAGTAGTCTAGTAGTCTCCACTGAGTATTCACCTTGTATTTACTCATAGCAATGACAAATGTCAGGTAGGAGGAGATATTGTACCATATCTGTGAGCATTTTGACCCACTTCCTTATCTGCCAGCCAAAGCTCTGCTTCATTCTCTGATGTCAGTAGCAGATAATGATAAAGGCAAACACAGGAACAATGATGTTGATCTTAATTACACTTAAATACTGCAGGGCACTGGATCTTTCAGCCTCTGTGCCAAAATGTAAACAAACTGAGTTTATGGTGTTTTTTTTTTTTTTTTTGCAGCTGTAAACTGAATGCAATTAAAAATCTTTCTCGTAGATAGATAAACATATTAATATGACGTGCTTGAATTCCTGAAAACTCTTAATTTAAAAAACACATGAGCAAACGCCGGTTGTGTCTTTTCAAAAAACTGACACAAATATCACAGAGAGCAGGTCTGACAGGTTTGAGTCTATGGAAAGTAGCCCAGGGACAATGGGATCCCATAGGATTACAGTATGTGCAGCTCATCTTAAAGGGGAAGCACACGTTTACGGCCCCTAAATGTGTTCTTTCAATCTCCTCAGGCAGTCACTGAGCAATTATCACTGTCCCCTGCAGGCAGAACTGAGAGACAATGGTGATGTCATGTAGTTGTTCAGCTGTTAGGAGAATAAACTAGAAAAAGAAGCATGAACATATCCTTTAATGGAACCATTATGATAAAGAAGCTGCATTAAATAGAAAGTGGAGAAGTCCAGACTATCCGGAGAAAACTAATCACACAGTGAGCTGGATTTTTATCCACTGGTGAATGAAAGCACACAAAACCTACCCATCTACTGTATGCTGCCCCACTTTCTTTCACCTGTGACCTAATTACTCTTTTTGGACTGTGTTGCATCTGTTGAGTCATTCCCGGTGTTTCCTATGAATGTGGATACAGCTCCTGTGCCCTAGGTCAACAACAGTGGTGACTTTTTAGACTACATGTGTATATTTTTTAACTATTATCAATTGTGTGGTCTGTTTTGTGTTATTTTTGCTATTGACTGTTTTAATTACATTCCACATGTAAAAGCCCAACTGGGGACAGGAGTTGAGAATTAGCAACAACTATATAACACATTAGTTTCATGCCCTATTTGAAACTGTGTTCAATTGGCCCTATCAAATAAACAAACACACAAACAAACAAACAAACAAACAAACAAACAAACAAACAAACAAACAAACAAACAAACAGACTTTGCAAAGCAGGAACCGTTATTTTCCTACAAATATGGGAAATGCCAAGTGTGACATCTGGAAAGACTAACTGGAGGATAATCCAGTGTTTTTAACTCTTGATAATCAAATTTTGAAAGTGCAAAGTGCTCATAATGCAGAAAAATGTGAATATTATTCCACTGGATTATTGTTGCTGATGAATGAATGTGTAAGTAGTATTTTACTGTTTTTGCTGTTTTTTTTTAACTATTTAGTGCATCATATGTCTGGATGTTAAATCTTTCTCAGAGGTAACTGTAGCTGTTAAATAAATGCAGTGGAGTCAAAAATATAATATTTGCCTCTGGAAAGTAGTGGAGTAGAAGTATAATGAAGCATAAACTGCAAATACTCAAATTAAGTAAAGTAAAAACACCGACACTGACAGAAAATGTGAAAATGTGTGAGTAAAACCAACCTTGGAGGGTGAAGTAGGGAATTTGGAGGGCGAAGCCGGGCTGATTGGCTGAGTCATGTCGAAGCTGATCATGGAGGTGGACTCAGAATCTGGGTCCCACTCCGATTCAGTCCGGAAACTGTACTCTGTGGAAACACTCATCTGGTCGTAGCTCCTGGTAGAGAGAGGCAGGAAACACAGAGAGAGAGAGGGGAGGGAGGGAGAGGGGGGGTAGAGGGAGGAGAGGGACAGAGAGGATGTTATGTTATTAGGCTTTTGTTTCACCTCTCACTGTATGATTCTCATGTTTTTACTATGTATTCATCAAAGATCTTGTCATTAAACCCTTAAATCTCTTTTGAATATGGAAAGACATTTCCAATTAGAAATTGAAGATAAAACAAATACAAGGAAAATACAACCATTTTTCTTTCCTATACCCTTGAACACACCACTTTGAAAGGCTTAGTTGCGACATAATTTTCCGTGTATTTTTAGGACAAAAGCTTACATAATGTTAGTTATGAGCAATAAACAAATAAAAACCTCAAACCCCTGAGTCAGCCTTTTAAAGGACATTAGACACATCCAATTGTTCTTAGAAGCATTGACGTGTTTCACTCTGACTTTGCGTGGAGTTTTAAAAACAGACAATGTGACACTTGACAGACAACAGTCAAACCCCAGCGGCGAACAGTGCACACCGAGCAATTAGAGGCCCATTGAGGATTTTAGAGCACGTGTGAGGCATGAGGAGGTGCGTCTTCTCTGAGGAGAAGCAGTTGTGGGTTTTTTTTAGTAAGTTGCCTGGAAGCATTTACAGACGACTCACACCCAGCCTGAAGGCAAACAGTCCTGTGAGCAGTGAACAGTGCAGGACAATGACAGGATGACACACTGCATTCCACCTCATTTCAGCAACACCTTTGCTATATTTGCAATGCGAGCTAGTGTCTGTCATATGACGCAGTGTCATGGGTTTGGCTGTTTTTAATAAGTGCACAAAGACTGATGTCCAGATGTCATCATTTGCTTTTGCAGCAACATTGCATCCATGCTGCATTACGGGACATGTAGTAGAAAAGAACTTCAACCTACTCCGGGAGATTGTCTGTAAAGGCATAATTGCATTATGAAAGTATTTTACACCACTTCTCCATTTAGGCACCATGTCCTCAGCCATGACCACCACAGCCTGAGTCTGTGTGTTACTGTGTTTCTCCACAAGGTGGCAGAGCAGGATTAGTTTTCCACTGAACTCTGGCAGGGAGTGATTCAGTTACCCTCAGCTACTGTTTTGTAGCATTTGTTTTTGTTAAAATGTGAAAAGACTTTCAGTTAGTTGCTGAATGGTGGAGATGAACACACGACCTTTTTATAGCAGCTGCTTAGTGATACAGAATTTTATTTTCTTTGTGAGGACATGTTAAATAATTCATGTACAGTAGTAGAGAGTGGACTAGATCCAAGAGTTATTCTCTGCTCTCAAACAGTGAGCTGACAGAGAACCGGAGCAGTAGAGGCAGAGAGCTCATTATATTCTACAGACATACCAAAACATGTTTGTATAAGACCCAATGAAAATCACATCATTATCATTTAAACATTTTTTTCAATAGAATATAGGCGTGTTCTCCAAATATGCAAAAAATCACGCAAAAATATAACAGATAAGTGAAAAAGAAAGAGAACAATAGTGGATAAATGAGTCTTCTCACAGATGTTGGACAGAGGTGCGTTTGAAGTGGTCTAGCTGGAGATGAGGTGGGTTGGCAGAGGGGTTTGAGTTCCTGGGAGTAGTGGCTGTTTAGATGAGGGTGAGGCAGATTTGACAACATCCTCCAGTGGAAGAGACCACCAGCGAGGCCAAGTCACCACCACAAAACTGAAACCTGCATTCTGCACGGGACGGATGGAGGGGGAGCGGGGCCAGCAAGGGGGAAGAAAATGGACATTTTCCCAAAATGTCTCTCAACACCCCCAAAGAAACAAGCATGAACTAGTTGAACTTCAATCAAATGTGGCCATACGGGAATCAAAATTACATCAGAGTGTGATCGTGCTGACACATGTTGGTGGAGAGAGGCAGAGAGGCATTCTTTACTCTGGGTTATAAGTGGTGCATCAGGTATTGCAGTCCTGTGGAGGCCTCCAACATGTGAAGTGATTTATAGTACGGCGTGGGATTGTCATGGCACCAGCGTGATAGTAGATGGATGTGTCCTACAGCAATCAGGCTGTGTCGTGCATTCACTCAGTGGGTTTTGCCACTCCACAGATTTTTCTAATGTGATTGAAAAGATGGAAGGATATTGTGTGTTTCTTCAACTTACTTTATGTTGTCACTATTACTGAAACAAATGGTCTCTCTTCTATGCATTTCTGAGGAGGTGCATGTTAGCGTCACCTAGGCAACAACCCCTTAACAAGTTTAATTCCACAACTAAAAGAACCGTTTCAAATAATCATGAAGGATCTCGGTGTAATGTGAAGGATCAACCTGCCAATACTGTGTTTCACAATGGACCTGCCCATGATCTTGCAGCACTGACTTGTAAGCATTTCAACTTTAAAATAAGCAAAATATAAAATGAATACAAACCCGTCAAACAGTGAGACAGGTCTTGGTTTCAGGGTCGAGCCGCTTTGAATGCAGTGAAAGGGGGAAAAGTGACCAGCGCGTTCTGCAACCTTTGACCCCAACAAAGCCTGCAGGCTGTATTTCAAAAGAGTTAGGATGCGTGTGAGCAAATGTGGTTGAAGGCCGGGTGCTATCTTTGAAACAGAGAAAGCTAACTGTGAGAGGAAAATGAAACGTATGGACGACCCCCTGACCTTGTTAAAGAAAAGCTTCAGAGTCAGTTGGAGGAAATCTGTCTCCCTCACACTCTGTCAACACGCAGGCACCGGCCAGCTCTGACTTGTCTGAACCTCCTCTTTGTTGCACACAGACAAAAGCTCCACTGTTGTTGTGAGCACACAGTTTATGAGATTTTAAAGAGGAGTATTTGCTCTTATGTCTTTGATACACTATCACAACTAATTTCATTCCTCAAAGATTTCTGGTGACAGAGGATTATCTTCTAGAAAGGATTAGGTGTAACACAGAGCACAATGAATAAGACAAAACAATGTACGTTTAGGAAAGCTGACTGGGCTAATGTTCTTTAAGGAGCTGTTCCTAAGTTTTTGCTATTGCTACGTAGCCATCGTTAGCATTAACAGCTGTTTAACAGTCTTGTAAGAGCTTCCGCCATTGTTGTGTTTACAAGACAAGAGGTTATAGCAGGGCCACGTCTTCAAGGCAGCCTGGACGCTACAGTGACTCGGTATCAGAAAGTGTTGAGATGGGCCAACTGGTTCAGGGCTAGCTGGTTAACATACTAACTTCAGTAGAACAAAAAAGAGACAACTCTTGGTGAGTAATTGAATAAAGTTTGATGCTGAACTCTTAAGGTTTCTTCTAGACTTCTAAGTAAACAGCTAAATTCTAAGGTTGGCTATGTAGCAATAGCAACACTTACAAATAGCTCCTTCAAGTTCACTGTAGCTGGCCCTTTTTCCAGTCCTTATAAAGACAGCTAGTAAACAAATCAAGTGTATGTGGTTATGTATGATGGAGTGTCAGTGCTGTAATGTTGCAAGTCTGCATTCTCAAAAGCAATGTCCTCTGCAATGTATTTACAGCTTCATGCTGCAAACCTGGAGTAACCTCGAGTACACTGTGTAGATGTACTTAATGTTACTTCGGTAAATGGGGAGAAACCCTTCAAATCATAACCAATGCCGACTTCTGGACCCATATCTGCAGAAACATCTTCACTCTATCAACTAACCCATACAAGACAAGATCATTCACTACACAGAGTGCACTACACAGAGGAGAGAATGTTTAAAATGGGTTTCACGGATTCAGACATTTGTCCACACTGCACACAAAATACCACAGACCCCTAAATGCACACCAATCAAACAATTCTGGTGGGATATCACTGACACCCTCACTCTTATTTTTGGCTTCTACATCCCACCATCTCCTTCATTGTGCCTACTAGGAGACCTATCCAACATCAGTCTAAACAACACTATCCTCATGAACTGGAAATCAAGGAACACCATCTGGAAAAATCTACTATTTGATCACACATCAATGGAAAAATCTATCTGCCTCAATCAAGAACCCAACCACAGATTCTGACAATATCTGGAACCCTTTCATTAATAAGTTAAATTCTTAATTTTATACCCATACCATTCACCTCTTTTTGCCTTTTTGCTAACCACCCACAGTAAATGTATAAACCCAAAGAAGAAGAAAAGAAGATAAGGATAAAAAGAGAAAGAGACAAATAAGGGACATTGTTTTGTAACTTAGAGGTTGAAATCTTGAAATCTTGTAGATTTCCACAGATGTAAGGCATTAACTTACAGCATTGCGCACAATGGCCTAGCATAGCCAGACATATCAAAGGCTTTTATGGTTCATAAACTTAAATCATCTTATGGCACATATTGTCAAATCAACTCTAAGTGGAAATGACCTTTTTTCCATTAATCTGTTACAGCATTTATGATGTTGGAAGGGCTGCAGACTAACTGCCTCAACATGACATGAGTTCAAATTACCGTTTAAAAATGAAATATTTGATCTCCAATGAAGAACATTATATAAAAACCAATATATATATATATAAAGAAACTGTTCATATGGGCTGTTTTTCTCTGGTCTGAAGGACTTTTTGTTGCCTTGAAGGCTGCTCTGAATATGGGAGGCCAGCAGAGATAAAATAACCTAGAGAACCAATTGTAAATAACAAGAGAGATAAACTCCCATTTTTCACTGGGCTTCAGTCTAGCATCATTCAGCCACACAAACTTGTTCCTTTACTCTGTCAAAACTCAAATCTATGTGGTACGTACACGATGTATGTAAGCTATATTAACTATTAAATATGGGGACATTATACAGGTGCGTGCATGCACAAACATCCACCAAACCTCCATGAACTTAATCCACTGTAAATTCTCATGATTGTCATGAGATTAGCGCCACACTGACACAACACGTTAGTGCGAGGAAAAGGTTATCAACACAAACTCATCTTTCATTGCTCTGGAACAAACAGGCAAATAAAACAAACAGATTTCAGTTAGCTCAGCAAACCTGCAAACCTGTGTAGAGCGGCTGAACAAACTCAAAACAAGGGATGGAACGGTTACAACTCCTGACTCACCCTCTGTTGGGTATGAGGGGTATAATGAGTCACTGGAGGCTGTTGATGGAAGATATCTTGTTCTAATATGAG